AATTAAATGGGCTTATCAGGCATAAAATTTTTGAAATTTTTACATGTACATTTCAACAAAATTAAGTATTTCCTTCAATAACAAAATATAATTTTTAAAGGGGGGAAACCTAAAAACACGACAATTTTTCCCCTTTATAAATACCATCTTAAATCACCCAAATAACTCCACTTATAACAACATAAAAAATTTGTCAACTAACAGCAGATGTTTAATCATGTCAGATAAAAACAGATATAAAAAACAGCCAAAATTTTTCTTGTATGATCAAAGGCCTACACTCGATAATCCCAAAAAGATATTTTAGATGAAAAAAGAAACATTTTAAAAAAAAAAACCAATCGAAAATTGCACCAAAAATTTCCGTCCTGTTCCATTGAAAAGAGAATATCAACTGAACGAAAAAAAAAAAACTAGTATATAACATAAAAATATGTAAGCCTCGATAAAAAAACCCTTTGCTAGACAATTACACAGGCAAAATAATACTAACTTTTTAAAAAATTTTTGGGATTTTTTTTATCTAAAAATAAAATGGTTAAATTTCAGCCAAAGCCCAAGAAATTCACCTGTGTGAAAAATAACATGAGCAATTTGCCATTGGTTTTATATACAACATTTTTAAGTGCTACTCATTTCAAAAATAAAATCTTAATCTCTGGACTGCAGCACCTGTTCATCTCTAATCAATTCTGTCCTAATAATCACAGTCTAGGTAAATGATGGAGTCAATCTGACAGGGCAGACCAATTACAGTGGTCAATGTAAACTCATCTATATTAATGAGACAATCTGGGGCAATCATTCTGATATAAACCATTACATTATATCAAAGCTGCCTGGTAAAACTTTTCACTTTATCTCCTCATACTGGATAGATTCTATCAATCTAACTGATAAACTGCAGCCATTTTCCTGTATGCAAATGTAAATGAATGGTTTGAAATTTTTCTTAATAGTTCTACAGAGTCAGAGTTTTAATGACATTCTTATAACTACATTTATTCCCACAATACCCATTATAAAACTAATAAACAGGGGGTTTTATACAACTTCAGTTCCCCCGTAAGAAGAAAAAAACAGTGTCAAAAAACACAAGGAATAAAGACTTTTTGAATTGATTTTTTTTATTTGTAACCCTGAAAATAATGATGGTTAAATCAAAAGCGGGACTTTTTAATTAAGTCAGACGGGGATCATTGAAAAAGCCCCAGGTTTTAAAAAACAAATGTAGTAAAAAATATGTCATTGAACAATATTAAGTAATTATTGCAAAAGGGCCCCCTTTATAATTTTATAAATAAGTTATTTTAATTGCCAAATCGTAACAGGTGTTAAATGAGTTATGACTGAAAATTTTTAATTACTTTTGCATAACAATATGTGAATAAAAAACGATAATAATTTTTTTAACGAATATTTTTTTAAAAATTTTGTCATCTAAGGGCCCCTTTTTAATGGAAAGCTAATTTATGAGAAACTACAACAGTTGTGTAGGATAGAACTGTGTGTTGGCTCCAGGTCACTGTACTCCTGTTGCTTGATATAACTTTGGTCAGACAAGACAGCTGTTTCCACCATGTCTAATTAACTAGGGAGTCTTTGTCTTCCAAACACAATTAAAATTCAATATATTGATTTAACAATATAAAACCACTATACCATCACATTGGGGAATAGAAAAAAAACTAAATTGTTCATATTTTAATGAAACAAATTATCCAATACCATGGCACCATAGCCTTTGAATCTAATTTTCTTCCCCAACGTAGCATCTAATTATCAGTAAACAATAACATAACATGACAGTCTGGCCTCATATTTTCTCTTCAAAAATAATACTGTCATGTTCAAAGGGCTATATAATTACTATAACACTGTCTATATCAAATTATTTGCACATTGTCTTGTAAATCATTTCTTGATTATGTTACATGTATCATTTTGAGAAGACCAATAATACATCTATGAGTCATTCTGATTAAACCTGGAGTATATCAAGATTGATTCTACAACCACTGTTGAACTTTTTATAAGCCTTAGGTACTTAACTGTCTAATAAATTTCATAAAAAGATTTCAAATGATCAAAACTCTGGTGCTGTTTACAAACTTCTGGTGAAATATGTTACAAATAATGCTGCAGTAATTCTGAACAAAAGAGCAAACAGGGCTGTATTTTAAGGTTTTATCATGGTCAATTTATTTGTGACATGAATGTGACATGAATCATCCAGATATCAAATCTTATATTTTATAATGTATAACCAATAGATTATCAAATGTCACTAATCTTCACTGAACATTTAAATCTAGAAAAAAAAACAAGATTAAACTTTTAATATTCTGCGTGTCCTGCAAAGTTAGATTTGTTGGATCATGAAGCTATCTTATATGCAGTGCAATTTCAGTCAAAATAAAAGAAAACAATTTTCTTCAGACATAGTATCTCTGACTTAATATCCATTTAAAATTAAACCGGGTATAATTAAATAAATAAGCTGCAGTTCTTTGTTGAACCAACTAAGGTATCTGTGTCCAATTAATCAATAAAAATGATGTGTAAATTTCAAATAACAGTCATAAAACTTAAAAGTGCAAAAAATATTCACAAGGAGACATCTGGAAATTAAAGTTGCCATGGCAACCATTACAACATCTGCAAGTTATGAAAATGAAGTGATGTTGTAACATGGCTCATTTAAAACAAATACATGTACTTTACACATAACTTAAGGGTCCCGTGGGGATACATTATACACAGGGCAGGCTTTTTACTCTTGCAATAAATCCCAGGAAAGAATGTCAATAATTTAGTTATAAAATAAAACACATGTGCACATATATAAGAACTCTATCAACTGTTGTATTTTTAGAAAGAAAAGTTAGAAGCAAAAAGCATTCCTTTCTTCATACAAACAATATGACATTTGTATGATATTCTGTTTAAACATTTTATGTAAGAACGTTTAACTTTTGGTATTTAATGATTCATTATCTATCATTTCAATGAAATACTGCAATTGTTGTTGTTTTTCTAGAGATGTATGTACTGTAAATTGTAAAAGCATACCTTACATAAAACAAAAAATGTTATGTTCTTTAGTACTACATTGTAATAAATATATATATTCTACTGACAGCTCTTGTTAAAATGTTTAAAAACTGATGATTGAAATATCAGTAATGTTATTTCCTTACATAATTTTAGAAAGTATCACTATTTCGATACATACACTGATTCCGTAGGCACTGAATTATTATTTATAAATATTTTCTGATATTTCAATCATCAGAATATAAACATTTTAAAAAAGCTGTCAATATGACAGCATGCTGCTTGATAATCAAATGTAGAATTTAAAAAGGGCTATTTTTCTGTCAAAATCCATGTTAGAAGTATGTGCCTTAGACATTGTCTGAGTCTGTACAATAGCCCCAATCGCCCATTTTTCGAATAAAAAAGCCAAAAAAAAGTCATTACCATCAAATCAAAAAAAATCTAAACTATATTAATTAAAGGAAGAATATTGTTAATTATTTTGTCATTAGGCTCTTTTTGTTTTTTTTAATTCTAATAGTTTCTTTTATTTTCCTAAAAAAAATAATCTTTTTTCTTTAGATTCGAGTCAAACATGTACTTATTATTTTTGCCAAACAAACACCCCATAAAGAAGTACAGTAACTTTCTAAATTAACTAGGTTCCTTTTCTTGCATCATTTTCAGCACTGGTAGTGACTCAAAAAATCATAGTTAAACCTTCCCCAAGCTTACACATGAAAAACTTCCTTGTGCTAACAAGACAGTCAGAAAGTGAATACACCCTTAAAATATGAGGAACCAATAAAGGAATTTCATTATTCAATGTGCAAGGGTAAAGGGAAACAACCCAATTATTTCTAACTTCTAATCTGAACAGAGTACATGTACTAACAAGAGCTGTCCGTAAGACAGCGCGCTCGACTTTTTTATTGCTTGCCAATAAAAAAAGTTTTTGCAGTAAAAGGCAATACAAGAATCTCTGTATTTTTAAAGTGAACTAGTTGTTTGATACCCTTGAATATTACAGCAATGTTTATATGACATAATTTATGGTAAAGTGAACAAGTGGATAGGAATGAATTTTTTTAGATTTTTTAAGTTTTTTAGTGCTTGCCTATAATACAAAACATTGACAGTTAAGGGCCATAATTCAAATAAAATCTTTGACAGAATTACCTTCTCCTGGACATGTTTGGGAATCATGATTGTAAACAAGTATTCCAACTTTCAAATTAATATCTCAAACAGTTCAGTCAAAAAGTGGACTGGTACTAAAAACTTAACCAAGATTCTAAGTCGATAAAAGGCCTTAATTTTTAAAACAAATCCTTGACAGAGTTACCTTCTCTTGCGTACAGATGGGTGGTAATGATGTGAAATAGCATTAAAAGTTTCAAAGCAATATCTCAAAGGGTTAAGGCAATAAGTGGATTTTACCCATATTCAATGTATTTTCTAAGTCAAAAAGGGGCATAATTCTGTCAAAAACCTTGACAGAGTTATGTCCTCTTGTCTGTTGATGAAGGTCGTGATGGTAAACAAGTATGGTCAGTTTCAAAGCAATACCTCCAATGGTTTTGAAATAAAGTGAGGTGGTACAAAAAACTTAACCAAGCTCAATACACTTTCTAAGTCAAAAAAGGGCCATAATTCTGTCAAAAACCTTGACAGAGTTATGTACTCTTGTCTGTAGATGGAGGTTATGATGGTGAACAAGTATGGTAAGTTTCAAAGCCATACTTGTAATACTTCTGAAATAAAGTGGGGTGGTACGAAAAACTTAACCAAGGTGTGACGCCAACGCCGACGCCGACGCCGGGGCGAGTAGGATAGCTCCCCTTTTCATAGAAAAGTCGAGCTAAAAAGGCACAGAGAAGGGGGCGTAATTACAAAAAACAAAGACATTAGAGGTAATGCATTCATATCTTTCCTGCCATCACTATAAATAAATCACTCACCTTTTCATGGGGATTTAGAATCTGTTCTTCGAAACAAAAACACTGTAATAGAAAATAAAAATATATAAATATAACAGGATAAAAAGTTTATCATTTATATATAACAGGATAAAAAGTTTATAATTTATATATAACAGGATAAAAAGTTTATTATTTATATATAACAGGATAAAAAGTTTATAATTTATATATAACAGGATAAAAAGTTTATCATTTATATATAACAGGATAAAAAGTTTATCATTTATATATAACAGGATAAAAAGTTTATCATTTATATATAACAAGATAAAAAGTTTATCATTTATATATAAAAGGATAAAAAGTTTATCATTTTAATGAGATGTAGTAACCATCGTGTATATCCAGTAACGCCAGAATGTGAAAATAATGCAAGATTCGTGCAATAAGTAACACAGAATTGTGCAATAAATGGCGGATACCCAACATGATTTCCAATGCGGTAAGTAAACAGGCCAATATATTTTTTATTCAACCGAACTGAAAAAAAAGAACAGCTGCATACGGCTGCAAAGACATAACTCTTTCTCCCTCATCAAGATTATTTCCACAAAATTGCTTACTTTTCAAGATCATTCGTGAAAAAGATGGCTTGACCACCGTTTTAAGCGAGATTTTGGCTTTTTGTCGGCTCTTATAAGTACAACAATGAATATTATACCTTATAATTGCGATTTTCGGTAGGCAAGTGACATTCACTAAACTTCTGGTAATAAAGAAAATTGAAAATAAGCTGATAAAATGTGATTCACGCCGTTTTATGAGGTAACGCCGATGTACGTGAAAAGTGCTTCGTGGTACATTGCAAAATGTGATTTTTTCGCGTTACCTCATAAAAACGGCTTGAATGTCCATGATGTCCTGGATTAAGCCTATGTCTATATCCTCCTTTTATCTTTGAAAAGGTGGTTGGGTTTGTCCACTCTATAAAATTAATGTGTGATGTTTTGTCCACTTTATAAAATTTTGAGGTGTGGGTTTTTGTCCATCTTCCATTATTTCCAGCTAATGGCTGTTCCCTTAGAGAAGTTATGCTTGATTTGGAAAAATTTGCAGCTTTTTTAGCCATGTTTGAGTCCCCTGGAATTAACCAGTACTCAGGTGTCATTAGAGGAAATATGTTAGTGACTCCTGTATGGCTTGAACCCAATATCCCCTGGTTTAATTGAGAGACTTTAGTTGAACCGCAGGCTCCATTCCTTTGAATTTTTTTATTGGTTCCATAATTCAAAAATTTCATAAAAACTGCATGTAAAGTTTTTTAAATTCCCTTGGGTTTTTCACTTGTTTTGCAACAATTTGGTGGGAATCAAAGAAAAATTATATCAGCATCATTGCTCCAAACAAGCTGATCATTATAGAACAACCCCAAAAAATACACACAAATTTTAATTTAAGTGGGGAAAAGATATTTGCAAAAAAAATAGGAAACAAGATATAAACAGGAAAATTAAATTATTTGGAAAGTTCAGAAAACCCCAAACCAACCTAATGGAATTTTATCAAAGTCTGTTTAGGTCTAAAACAAATCAAATAAAAATGAAAACTGTTTTCATGTATCAAGGTTAAATCTTGCACTATAAAGGGCAACAACTCTAAAATGCATAATGGGATCAGCCTTTTTAAAGAAAGAAACCAAGACAGACTGATGATATATGATTGCAAGTTTAGTTAAAATCTGAAATATAACTGATATCAATCAGACATGTTGAGCTAAAAATGTACAGATTTTCAGTATGACAAATAACTGGAGTTAAGCACTTGCTATACAGATAGTTTGTGTAGGAAGCTATAAGCTTATAGACACACTTTCTTATCCGTTCCTGGAACCAACCAGTACTGAGCAATGAGTGTAAAGTTTCTTGCTCAAGGGAACAATGACTTGCACAAAGTAAGATGAAATATTCAATATCAAGTTAAGTAAGGCATACTGGTATCTAAAATGTGCCTGTGCAGCAACTAAAGTGTCACAAATTTATGAGAAGCCAAAAGTCTGCCACTTTGGCTTAAATAGGTGAAGAATTCCTCAAACCCCTTCTTTAAACAAACAATGACCCTAAAACAAATTAAGCAGGGGTCACATTGCTATTCAAACATCAAATATCTTAGTTTTCACAAGAAAATTTTGACCCCAGTCCTATAATTTGGATAAACTTGGTACAACACCACTAGGTCACATTGTTTTAGAGATGAGCACTTTAAATTTAACTTTTTAATGTTGGCTCCTGTGACCTATATATACAATGGGCAGGGACCAATAGAATTTTATCCAAGGAACAACCAAATTTAACAAAGGGGTTTTACAGGAGATGTTATTTGAAGTTTGTGGACAATAATGAGAGGACAACCATCTAACACATCTGTCTTTCAATCTACAAATCTAAAACATTTTCTTTCATTAAACCAATCAGAGTGGACTGGTAACTGACAGAACAAGATCTGTTTATCTCTTTTGTTTGAATGAGGATAAATGTGAATAATATTTCACCTGTATTTTGTTGAAGTATGGAGCGGCTGTATATGGTGTCACAGTATATGTAGATATACCAATGATAGCATTATCAGTAGGATTTTCAGCACTGTAGAATGCGAGTGCTGTCTCTCCTGGTGTTACCTGTAAATTATCATAATAATGTATACATGTATATATGCCGATGATTCTAAATTCAAAATTTCACCATAGCCATGATTTATTGTTGAATTCTGCTTAAGCCGGTGCTAGGTGGCGAGGACCGTAGTTTGCACTTGACAGTACCATCCACAAACAGGCTCAATCAACTTTACAATTTTGACATTTTTAGCGTTCTTTAGAGATTTTTTATTTCTCTCTACTGAAACTTTAACCTCCCACTCCTAGAACAAAGTAATGTATAATTATGAAAAATAACATAATAATAATAGAGGGTTTATACACCTATTTCCTGCATTGACATCTACAGAAGCATGAGGATACATTTTAAGTCTGAGCCCACAGGGCAAGTAATTTAATATGTCCGAAGGCTTCTGCAGAAGTTCATGTATGAGGCATGAGCTCTTTTCTTGCATAAAGTAAATGTCTGATTTTGTTATTCTTCTTTTCATTATCTGTTGTTGTTTTTTTTTGTAAAAAAGAAACAGGATTTGTCATGCTTTTCATGTGCTAGTGTGATGTCATTTGAAAGTTATGTTTTGTTAATAATACTACTGGGATCATCATTGTAGTAAGCTATTTTTACATGACGCAGGATTTCATTTTTATCTGAGATAAAAATGTCCTTACTTAAACAAACTTTTCTGCCGAGAGTCAATGTGGGTATTTTTATCTACTGTTACTGTACATGCTGAAATTACAAAACATTTAAGCAGCATTTTATCTGATGATATGGATCGCCAATCTGTTAATAATGAAAACCCTGATGAAGCCCGGAGTCATGCATAAGAAAAGACGTGCATCATCGCCTACTTGTGGGATTTTATCAGAAAATGCCTGTTGTCTTCTCCTAGAATGTATACCTGTACCTGCATGCATAATTTTTATGCAAGATTAAATTCATGGCACATTAATCATCTACCCTCATTGTTTTTTATTTTCTCTCTATACAATTATATGCATTTTATCTCATAAGTTTATAGAAGCTAATTTGATCATCTATTTCAATGATTATTAATTATCACACTAATTTTTGTAATAATCAAACAGTGGGCAAAAGACTGCTAAATGTACATAATGATAATGATAAATTGTTGCTTTTGTAATTTTATATTTAATTTTGATATGCTTCCCCGTCTCTCAAATACTGTTGTATAGATTCAAGCATCTCAATAAAACATCATATCATAATGTTAAAATAAAACCACAGATAGGTTAATATATATGATATGTACTCACTGTTACACGACTCTGCTGTGGTTTAAAGTTCCATCTCATTGCAGCATCCTTGTCAGCATTAAAGTTCACTGTTAACTCACGATCTTCCACTTTTTTCATTGTACTAACCTTTGACCTATCATGACCCCTACTTAACTCAGGGTTGCCACCAAAACCAAATTGCTGAAAACCACAAGAAGACTTATTATAACTAAACTAAAATACAATTAACATCATCAAGTTCTTTACAGAATTGCAAGCATAAAATATAGATATGCTTGCTGTCAGGCATCTTATGACAAACATATTGAGTTAGTATCAAAGCAATTGAAAACAAGAACGTGTTTGTTAAACACAAATGCCCCCAGCTCAGAATCTTGTCAGTAGCAATACTTCAAAAAATGTTTACCCATTCACTCAGTTCTGGACAGAAAAATCGCCAAAAAATTGTAAACACAAGTTTTATAGCATGACAAAGTCATGGCATTTTGTAATTGTGAAAAATATAAGTTGCCAAGTCATTGCTCTGACTTGTGAAGTTGAAAAATATTCAACTTCATGCAAGTTATCTTCCTACCAAATATGAAATACATCTGTCATTAAATAAAGGCTGTATGGGCAAAAGTGTATAATATATCTTTAGCACTTGTGACCTTGACCAAACTGACCCCTTACTCCATCCAAAAGAAAAATACCATGCAAGTTATCTTCCTACCAAATATGAAATACAACTGTCAATAAATAAAAGCTGTATGGGCAAAAGTGTAAAAATCTATTTTTAGCACAAGTGACCTTGACCCACAGATCCCTACCCCAATCAAAAGGAAGAATACCATGCAAGTTATCTTCCTACCAAATATAAAATATATCTGTCACGTAATAAAGGCTGTATGAGCAAATGTTTAAAAATCTATTTTTAGCACTGGTGACCTTGACCCAACTGACCACTAACTCCATCAAAGTTTATGTTTCTATCAATTATAAATAACATCTGTCTATAGAATAAGGTCAATACACCTTGTAAAAATGTAAAAATCTATTTTTAACATTGGTGACCTTGACATTGGTAACATTGACCTTGACCCAAATGACCCCATACTACATCAAAAGAAGGAGGGCTTTGTATTAAACTAAGACATCAACTAAAAAATAAAGGCCGTATGAGCAAAAAGGTTTATATTTATTTTTTAAACCAGTGACCTTGATTTTAACCCTAGAGTAGAGACCGCTTACTCCAAAAAAATTAGAGGACCATCAAATCTATCCACCTACTAAATATGAAAGATATCAGTAAAGAAATTCAGCAATTAGGAGAAATTTAAGATAAATCCAACTTGCCGAAATAGGTTAACCAGACAAGGCCCTATTTTCAAAGTGAAAAAAGGGAAATAACTGGGAAATATGGATGACACAGTTATATAACTTGGCAATATCATGTGCTTTGTATTGATAAGTAAGTGTGGGAATTATAAAGCCATTACTATAGATAGAACTTAAGATATTTCCAACTTGCCGTTTTAGGTTAACCATTATTCATTTTCTAAGTGCTGAAAAGGGCAATAACTTGGTAAATATGAAAGCCAGAGTTATGAAACTTGCCCAGACCATGTACTTTGTATTGATTAGTAAGTGTGTAAACTTAGAAGCCATTGGTACAGGTAGAACTTAAGAAAAATCCAACTTGCCGTTCTAGGTTAACCTCGTACGGACAGACGGACAGACAGACGGACGGACGGTTCAATTACTATATGCCCTGGGGCATAAAAACTACCTTTTTTGTTACTTCATAGTAATTCTACATTTACAATGAAATATGTGTCATTGAGCATATATAATAAGTGCATTAGGGGATTTTCAATGTGACAAATATGATTTTTAGCTTGTGCATTTGTTTAGAACACAAGTTCAAACATTAAAAATAGTTTGGTTTGACTGTCATATTACAAAATACTGGTTGAAAAAAATTGTGTACCTACCTTACAAAAGAGTTTAAACAATGGTACTCCGGCATAGGCGAGTCCAGTACACAGCATAAGTAGGGAAAGAATGTACAGAACCAGGTCAGTTTTACTCATTCCAGATGATCCTCCACTACTTGACATAAATCTTACATGTAATGTCCAACTTCCTTGTCTGATTACAGGTATGATGATTACATTACCAGTACCAATACAACTATGACTATGCAATAATCTGCTAAATACTGGTCTGTACATTGAAACACATATGTTTGAATTTCCTTTCAAAAATCTTTGATTAACAAAACGCACAGATTTCTTCAACTGTGCGACATATTGTGAACGGGAAGATACAATGTGTCTGGTGGTCTGGTTGTGTGGGCATCTCGTCGCAAGCTGACCAGCACGTACAGAAAACCTTGAACATGTTCCTAGAAATGCTGCCATTATTTGTCTTGAAGGAAGATTTATTCACTCTATAATTGAAATAAAAGAGAAAAATATCATATCATTCACATCAGTATTGTAAAGGTCAATAAGGAAATGCTTCACTCTAAATATCTAAGCTCTAGATATTGTATTTCACATAATGAAACTCAAGTGTGTTTTCCTATATATGTCAAGTGATCACTTGGGCCGGCCAATTTTGATCTCAGAAAGCCCAAACCTGTGTTCTGCTCGTCATCTTATTTTAAGTAATATTTCTGCAAAAAGATTTAATTTCTTTTTATTGATATTAAAGAAGATACAGAGCAGACACAAAATTTTGCAATTGATAAATGAATAAGGGAGTAAGTGTGATCTTGACCGTGACCTGAGGAAGGTAAAACCTGTGCTTGCACATCATCACATTATGGTTAATATTTCAACCAAGTTGTTTCAATTTAAAAACAAGAAAACTGCTGACAGATCGAGATGACCAGGTGCATGACATTAAAAGCCAATTCTTTTCAGGGATATGTAATAGGATGGGTATTTACAGTAACCTAAGTTAACAGTTAATCTAAGTAAGTTATTAGTTATTATCTTTCATACTTATTGCATGGTATATACAATATCATAATCAACCAAACAAATTGTTGCAGTGATTACTGAAAGGGGGCAGCACGTAATAGTCCCAAATATTGCCCAAATATACTAAAAATAAATGTTTTATACAGTCTTCGAAATTAACGCCAGTCCGAGGCCCGAGGCCACTAAATTTAGCATCGGTCCGGTGATTATTGCAAGGTTGGTGGTCCGACAGGCCAGTAGATTTTTGGCCATGAAAAAATATTATAAGAAAAATTTATCAAAATAATGAAGCAGGGTTCTCTAAAAGATTGATCTTATTGCCTTTTTTGCAAATGAAACCCATCAACTCTGTCCTAAATGTTCAAAACACAGCTAGAGATATCTAAATTGTATTGAGTAATGGAGGCCGCCATTTTTTTCTTGGATATTTTCCATACCGCACCGTACAGTTACGGAAATTAAACCATTGTTTATTATGGTCATTATCTAGCTATGATTTTGTGATTATTGAGTTAAGTAAAAATTTTGTGTGAAAGTGATTTGTTTGAAGCCGATTGCGTTGTTCATGTTCAATTCTAGTCAATTTTGCCAAAACATTTGGTCCTAATAGATTTTTCAAAGCTGTCAACATATGGCCCAGAATACAAGAAGTATTATGCTTCTTTCAAAATTATCAAGGGAACCATGATAAAGTGTTTTCCTTTACCCATCAACTATTACCTATCTATGTATTTGGTCCGGCTCAAAATCACCAGGTCCAGTAACATTTGAAATTTTACTGGCCCGAATGTCCTGTGCTTTGTAAAGTTTTTCGTGAAGACTGTTTATACTTAAAAAGTGTTGTTCACTTCGTTATAATCAAACACACCCAAATATACATTTTCCTGTCATTGTGTTTTGAACCAAAATATACCCAAATATAGTACATTCCATTAAAGCTGTTATTTTTTTTAATAATACAATGGACACTTACAAGTATGAAATTTCAACAAAATTATACTCTAAAAATTTAAATGTAGGCAACAAATAATAATATATCTTTATCTTAAATTGCACCTAGCTATATAAGCAAATGTTACTTACAACTCTGAACTGCCCATTTCAACGGAATAAAATGAAAGTTATAGTCAGCTAAGTCATATTATCTTATTAATATTAATTCATTTTCTGATTATAATCTGCATTTTATACTAACAAAAATGAATATTGCTATATTTGGGTATATTTGGGTGTATTTGGGTATTTTGTGCCGCCGCTGAAAGGTATAAATACATGTAAGCTGAATTTGGCAATGTTACTTATGTTAGGGGCTGTACCTATTCTGGTCAGTACTACCAGGCTTAGCCTTGAAACTCTTAACTGGACTAAAAACAAACATTTCATTTATTGTTATGAACCTGATACAAAATATCTCATAAATATAATCTAAATTAAATAATAAGTAGAGTTGTTCTTAATAAAATAAATATCATTTAATAAGTATATATCTTAAAATTGTTAGGACTACTCAAAAGATAAAAGCATTGATTGAAATTGTATATATTAGTTGTTGTTGTTTAGTCAGTCATCTTTATAAAGTGACACTTATACGGGGAAGTCAAAGACCGGGCCCGCGAAGCGGGTCCGGGCTTTGGCTTGCCCGGCTATAGACTACATGTGTATATTTAAAAGAAAATCAAATAAAAAACAACAAGAATTTGTAACAGAGTTACCAACGTCCCCCGCCCCGGGAGTTTTATATGAAACATAAAATTGTGCTATTTCAAAAGATTGAGGTATGGATCTCAGGACATTCAGTCCAAAATCATGATCAATGCTAGAACTGCAAATGTAACAATAAATTTGTTAAAAAAATAAAATGAAACACGGAATTTAAAAATCTATCATGTTAAGCTTTGACCTCTTAAGTGTGAACTTGACCTTGGAGGTAGGGGAGCAGGTGTTGTGCATGACATAACGTCTTATTATTGTGACTATTTGTGCCAAGTTATTTCAAAATCCCTTGAACTATGAAGAAGTTCTAGATTCAATACAAAATATACCCTATAACAGACTATGTTAATTTTTGACCTCTAAGTGTGACCTTGACCTTGGAGGTAGGGATGCAGGTGTTGCGCATGACACATCCTCTTATTATAGTGACTATTTGTGCGAAGTATTTTCACAATCCTTTGATCTATGAAAAAATTATAGACCTGACACAAAATATACCCTGTAACAGACTATGTAAGTATTTGACCTCCAAGTGTGACCTTGACCTTGGAGGTAGGTGACCGGTTTTTTGCGCATGACACATCATCTGATTATTGTTAACAATTATGGCAAGTATTTACAAAAGTCCTTCATAGATAAGAAAGTTATGGACTGGACACGACATATACCTTCAAATAGACAATGTTGACCTTGAATCAACAAGTACGACCTTGACCCTGAAGGTACGGGTCTGGTTGTTGCGCATGACACATCGTCTTATTATAACAAACATTTGTGCCAAGTTATCTCAAATTCCTTTGATAAATGACAAAGTTATGGACCGGACACGAAATATACCCTGTAACAGACTATGTTAATATTTGACCTCCAAGTGTGACCTTGACGTTAAAGGTAGGCAACTGGTTTTTGCGCATGACACATCGTCTGATTATTATGAACAATTATAGCAAGTATTTACAAAAACCCTTCATAGATAAGAAAGTTATGGACCGGACACGAAATATACCCTGTAACAGACTATGTTAATATTTGACCTCCAAGTGTGACCTTGACCTTGAAGGTAGGTGACTGCTTTTTCCGCATGACACATCGTCTGATAATTGTGAAACAATTATGGCAAGTATTTACAAAATCCCTTCATAGATAAGAAAGTTATGGACCGGACACGAAATATACCCTGTAACAGACTATGTTAATATTTGACCTCCAAGTGTGACCTTGACCTTGAAGGTAGGTGACTGGTTTTTGCGCATGACACATCGTCTGATTATTGTGAACAATTATGGCAAGTATTTACAAAATCCCTTCATAGATAAGAAAGTTATGGACCGGACACGACATATACCCTCAAATAGGCAATTTTGACCTTGAATGAGCAAGTGTGACCTTGACCCTGGAGGTAGGGGTCTGGTTGTTGCGCATGACACATCATCTTATTATAATAAACATTTGTGCCAAGTTATTTCAAATTCCTTTCATAAATGACAAAGTTATGGACCGGACACGAAAGTGTGACGGACGGACAGACGGACGGACGGACAGACAGACGGACAGACGGACGGAGCCTATTTCTATATCCCCCTTTTTTCTTCGAAAAGGCGGGGGACAATAAGCTGACCCTGAAGGTACGGGTCTGGTTGTTGCGCATGACACATCGTCTTATTATAACAAACATTTGTGCCAAGTTATCTCAAATTCCTTTGATAAATGACAAAGTTATGGACCGGACACGAAATATACCCTGTAACAGACTATGTTAATATTTGACCTCCAAGTGTGACCTTGACGTTAAAGGTAGGCAACTGGTTTTTGCGCATGACACATCGTCTGATTATTATGAACAATTATAGCAAGTATTTACAAAAACCCTTCATAGATAAGAAAGTTATGGACCGGACACGAAATATACCCTGTAACAGACTATGTTAATATTTGACCTCCAAGTGTGACCTTGACCTTGAAGGTAGGTGACTGCTTTTTTCCGCATGACACATCGTCTGATAATTGTGAACAATTATGGCAAGTATTTACAAAATCCCTTCATAGATAAGAAAGTTATGGACCGGACACGAAATATACCCTGTAACAGACTATGTTAATATTTGACCTCCAAGTGTGACCTTGACCTTGAAGGTAGGTGACTGGTTTTTTGCGCATGACACATCGTCTGATTATTGTGAACAATTATGGCAAGTATTTACAAAATCCCTTCATAGATAAGAAAGTTATGGACCGGACACGACATATACCCTCAAATAGGCAATTTGACCTTGAATGAGCAAGTGTGACCTTGACCCTGGAGGTAGGGTCTGGTTGTTGCGCATGACACATCGTCTTATTATAATAAACATTTGTGCCAAGTTATTTCAAATTCCTTTCATAAATGACAAAGTTATGGACCGGACACGAAAGTGTGACGGACGGACAGACGGACGGACGGACAGACGGACAGACGGACAGACGGACGGAGCCTATTTCTATATCCCCCTTTTTTCTTCGAAAAGGCGGGGGACAATTAAAAAATATATAGAATTCTATACCTATCAATGAAATTTTCAGCGTCAGTTCTAGTCAGGCGCCGCCATTTACAATGTAACTAAATGATAATAGGCGGGGTATTCTGATAACTGAACAAACCTCGACTTTTCGGATAAATAATAAACGTTGAGTGTTCCGAGTGAAAACGGAAGCAGTGCAATTGTATTACCGAATGACAATTTTAAAACGGAAAGAATGAAAGGAATTTTTTAACGACTTCCCCGTTCACAGGCTTTGCCTAATTTCATATGAAAAGTCTTCTGAGCCCTGAGAATTTACTCCTGTTATAAAATGTGTGATCGTTTTGGTCTCTGTGTAAAGCTTTGATTCTCGTGAACCTGACCACTATCATATAAATGATTATCAGTGATATTAAATTGGACCGTGTTGATCTGTGCTGAGATTTTAAAGGCCGAGATGACTCGGGTGACGAGTAAGTTATAGTCCGAACTGACGTTGATTCCCTCACTCCCTGTCAACGCTACTTAAGGGTCTATTTCAACAGATTATTTACAAATTCAAGTGAGAAAAATAAACTGTACTTAAAATGACAAAAAGCTTCATCAGCTTGTCAACTCGATTACTGACAAAAATTCAGTTATATAACTTACTGCAGATATTGCTTCCCCGTCTTTCAAATACTGTTGTATAATCACTAAACCTTCAAACCCATGGGCGCAGACATCTTGTATTATAATCTCTACTTATTTTCTCTTAATTGTAATTTATCGAATTATTTTCGGTCTTAAGTTTAAAAACAAAAAAGAAAATATTAACAAAATTTTAGTGAATTAATTAATAAGTTGGAGCATCTTTAATTATGTTCCCTTCGAAAATTTGTATAGATCTGAGATTATTCAAAATGGCAGCCCCCTATAACCAATACAGAAACGTTGGCAAAGAATAGTTCTAAGTCTGTTTTTATCTTACTTTGTGTTAATTGAAGAATTCAGCATGGGGGTCCTTGAGAAGATTTCTGAAATCGAAAAGGAAATTGCTAGAACTCAGAAAAATAAAGGTTCTATCTGTTAATCTGTTTTTATGTGAATTGTTAAACATTGAAAACAATTGATATTTTTCACAGTGTCTTAGGTTAATCAGTTTTTCACTAAGTTTTAAACTGAATAACCAAGATATATTCTTCATTTTTATCTCTATTTAAACATAATTTTCTATGATATATTGTGCAGCAATCGAAAAAAACTTACCAAGCGCACAATGATAATAATCATTGGGTGTCAGACCTTGAGGGGGTTACAAGAGATTTCTGATCTCGCGACCCTACGCTGGATAAAGTAAAGTAAAGTAAATTGTTCTTCCCAACTACTTGCAGAACAGATGTGTTTAAATTTCATTCTTTTTCCCAGTGTCACCACAAGTCAGATTACCAGACCCATCCCAAAATGCAATACAACTGTAATTATGCTTATTTTTCCCAATCTTAAAAAGAAATTCCCATGGCAATTGGTTATTGAACTGAAATTCTCAATATCAAAACTGACAAATTTGCCAGAGGTTTGTCAATAAAACATGTTACTGGCATATAACAGTTGATGAACAGCAAAGAAGATTCGCTGCAGCATGTGATAATTATTGAATAATAAACAAGAATTAATTGTAAAAAGGGAATTTCCAATTAATTGTGGTAAATTGCCATAACTACCCAACAGCGTCAGGAATATGTAAAAAGAGAAAACAATTCTTTTTATATGAAGACAAGGGGTTATATTTACTATAAAGACAATGGGTTGAACATGGCAAGTAGGCTTAATCGTTTCTAGTTCAATATTAATCCAAATTTCAAAATCATCATCTCTAAAAGTTGACTATAAAATATTGCCAGGCCTATCTTCAACCGTTTTAGGTCTCAAACTGTGCAAGGTTTGACAAAATCCATTCATGTGAACTCTCCCACTTTAAGCGGGAAACTCCCACTTCCTGCAGCCATATTTTCAATGATTTTTCTTAAAATAAGGGTATTTTCACAAATTAAAGAAATCTCCCTATTTTTGATGTCAGAACTTTCTTCTTTGTTTATTGCAAATTCTAAAATCTCCCTCTTTTTGAGGAAAAATCTCCCACTTGATCATCGAAAAAAAGTTCACATGTATGAAAATCTTAAATCTGAATATTTACAAAAACACTTTGTTAACTCATACTGTTATGTTGGTAGGATAATTCTACCTGCCAGCAATCAGATATCGAGATATACATCAGAACCTCGCTTCAAATCATTCACACCAAGTTAAGCATTATAACATGGTTAAAGAGCAGTTGGATTCTGATTGTGACCAAATCTTTCAACATTTGTCTAAAATATAAATAGCCAAACATGAATCCACTCTGCCTTCATACATAAATTGACTCTGTATAGGGCTACTTTACTGCTAAACAAAAGGGGATTTAGAGTCTTAAAAATATATTACAGACATGATTTTTATTATAATTTGTTTCAAATAAAGCCTCTAACCTATTCTGTTGTTAAAAGGGTTAAGATATTGACTCAAATAACACTGTAAACTCACATAGTATTTAGATCTAAAACTAATCATTACCCATTATATATATAATGCCATATATATAATTCTTTTGAATATTTATTCTTTTTTTCAGCCACTGAGTACCATCTTGGTTTGCTGAAGGCAAAACTTGCAAAATATAGACAACAACTCCTAGAGCCTACAGGAAAAGCTGGAGCAAAGGTAGAAAGTAGTAAATGATATAAAACATTGACAGTTAAAAAAATATGTGCATGTATCATTACTTGTCTTTGTAAAGATGAAATGCATATATGCATATAAAAATGATATTTATTGTAAAGAAATGTATTTAAAGTTATTTTTAACCAGGTTTTCAACGAAAACTGGTTATTGTTATGCTGAAGTTGGCGGACTGGCATCAACTTTAGTTTTTTTGCTCAATAACTTGAGTTTGCTTTGGTCTATTAGCACCAAACTTGATGTGTAGGTAGCTTATATCAAGAGGCAGCTTGGGATTGCTATCCAGGTGTCTGTAATTAAGTTAAAAAAAGTCACAATTACTAAAATAGAAATTCAGTTTCCACTCAATAACTTGAGTTTGCTTAGGCCTATTGACACCAAACTTGGTTTATAGGTAGCTTGTATCAAGAGGAAGCTTGGGATTTTTACCCAGGTGTCTGTGATCAAGGTCAAGGTCACTGTTGCTCAAAATAGAAATTCAGTTTCCCTCAATAACTTAAGTTTGCTTAGGCATATTGATACCAAACTATGTGTATGGGTAGCTTATATCAAGATGCAAATTGGGATTGCTACCCATGTGGCTGTGATTAAGGTCAAGGTCACTGTTGCTTAAAAAAAGAAATTCAGTTTTCACATTACAATTTGAGTGCTTTGACCTATTGACACTAAACTTGCTGTGTTGGTAGCTTAATTATTATGATGCAGCATGGGATTGCTACTTAGATATCTGGGAGCAAGGTCAAGGTCACTTGCTTACAATAGAATTTTAAGCTTCTACTGAATAACTTCAGTACACTTTGACCTATTGATACTTAACTTGGCATGTGTGTAGCTTACATGACAATAAACCTTGCATTGCTTCTCAGATATCTGGTATATTTTTATTTTGAACTATTGAAACCAACTTTCTGTGTTGGTACAAATAACAGCATTATTTTTACTTCACTGCCCTATTTCATTCCTAATTCCTGTCACATCAATACTTGGTCGTTGAAAACCTGGTTTTCATTGCATTGCGTTGCTTGTTGTGAATCTATATTTTGTAAACTGTTAAAAACCTTTCAAAATAAAGACAAAATTTTTTTAAAAAAATTCTCAACAAGAAAAGCACATATTCATAATTCTCATATTCTACTGACCCAGGTATCAGTGCCGGAATTGGCATAATATTATGGTTAAAGTTTTGCATACAACTTTTTGTACAGCATCATATCCCATCAGCCTCTAAAAGTAATGGCTTATATTTTCAAATATGTCTATGAGACTATGACTGAAGCTGTCTATCCAAGTCCCATAACTCTGACATAATTTGAAGAACATAAGATTTTCTCAAAACAGGTAAACTATTAAAGAGTCTGAAATTGTATAGAAAATCTATGTATGTTGAAAACTAATTAGCCTTCCTTAAATGTACTCTGTGACTCAGAATTTGCTAATATAATAACATTTTTAGGGAGAAGGTTTTGATGTTATGAAATCTGGTGATGCCAGGGTTGCTTTAATTGGTTTCCCATCAGTTGGTAAGGTAAGTAGCAAAGTTTTCATGTCTTGTTTCACAAACTGTCAATGTGTAGTAGTACTAAATTTTAAACTGAATAAGAAAAATTTTAAGCTTGACTTGTGAAGGAATATTAAGACTATTCTACCAACCCAGGCATCAATGTTGGCATTGGCATAATATTATGGTTAAAGTTTTGCATTACAGCATCATATCCCATCAGCCTCTAAAAGAAATGGCTTATATTTTCAAATATGTCTTTGGGACTATGACTGAAGCTGTCTATCCAAGTCCCATAACTCTGACATGGATTTTGACAGAATTATAGCCCTTTGTGAATTAAGAAATTCCTGGTTGAAGTGCTGTATGCATCATCAATCTTCAAAACTACTGAAGGTACTTACTTGAAAATAATGAAAATTTACACACCTTTAGGATTATTGGAGGTTATTTTCCAAGGCCCATAATCCTAGCATGGATTTTGACTGAATTTTAATAGCTCTTTTTGAACTTAGACAATTCTTTGTTAAAATTTTGCATACATCATCAATTTTGATAAGCTAGTGAAGTTATTCTCTGTAAAAATTAAAATAATACATATCTCTGAGGTCACTTTTTAAGACCCATAACTCTGGCTTGATATTGAATAAATTATGGCCCTTTGTGAACATAGAAAAACTTTGTTAAAGTTTTGCATACTATCTTCAAAACTAATGATTAGTGAAATTTTATACATGTCTGTTTTCATAATTGAAGGTAACTATCCTAGGGTCATTACTATGCCATACATTTTGTCTTTGTTAATTCCACCATTATCCAGGTTTTTCTGTTACTATAATGCACAAAGAATAGTTGAGAGTGATGTTCTGCTGACAGCTTTTGATTTTTAACAAGATTTATTTGAAGCCACTTTTCCTTGTTCAGATAGAACTATTAATAAATGTTTAAAAAAAATATCGCACTGTTTCGAGGGAATTATCACAACCTGCTGATTTAAATACTCAGCCGTACATTGTATACAGCAATATACACATTTTATTCTTAAGATAAAACTTAAAAAAAAGTGATTAAAGTTTATTAAATTTTATTGCAAAATCAATTAGAAATGAAAACAGGTTATTTTAAGTATTTAAATATCATTACAGGGAATGAAGATAAGGTATCTTGAGGTAAATACCAAGAGTATTACACCAAACTGAACAATGATTTGATTTAAAACTGGGGAGGTACTGATATCATAAAGATCCTATATGAAGCCAACTGTACTATGATTTTATTATTGAAGCATATTATTTTATTTATGTTTTCAGTCAACATTGTTGAACACCCTAACATCTACACACAGTGAGAGTGCTAATTATGAATTTACAACACTGACATGTATACCTGGAGTTATAGAGGTATGTACTTTATAATTGATTATAGATCCTGTATGTTGTAATTTAGGTTGTATACCACACTTAAGTGAAATTATATACATGTATATAATTATGCTCATAAAACAGTTTTCAAACATCGAAGAATATATAAAATATGTACTGCAAATATTTGTACATATTATATGTAATCATTAAAATATATGCATTCATTTCTTGCTGAAAAATTTGGCTTAGACTTCATAGAAAATAATTTTTTTATTACCTTAAATTCCGTAATATCTTTATAGATAATGCTTTTTGGAACTTACAAAATTGATAAATCTTAATTTGAGCATCATATTTATGTTACAAAACCATAAAAAATTTGTGTTACAGGATCTTTAATTATATAGTATTATGAAAGGGGTAACATGTTTAGCCTAATAATTTCTTGTCCTTATTGTTAACATGTTTTCATCTTTCTAAATTAATATATGCCACATTCATACAAATTACTATTAAACAGCGTCATGTAGGGCAACTGCTGTCAAACACTTTACATGTGTTTAGTATTAAATGACTGACATTGACTTTTGTTTAAAGTTATTCTCCTTAATCTTTGATTAAAGCTGAATATGCAAGTTTGTTTGTCAGAAATTATATTAACATGTGTTAAATCATTTTGGTAAGGAAATACCAATTTGTTTGGTTTTAGTCTAGAAACAAAACTGTGAAGATGTTTGTGTGTGTGTATATGAGTTTATTTATACTCTAACTCGCCACCGGTTGTCCAAATAGGCAAGTCCTCCAAGAAGAGTTTTAGTCACTTTAGATTTTGGAGGATAGTGTAAGGTACACATTCAGAAAAATGCCCCAATTCCAGAAGCTTAGCAAGTCTGTTTTGTAATTTAAGTTGGCGAGCCTGGGAGTCAAACCCACAATGTTGAGATTACAAATCTCACACTCTAACTGATTGAGCTTTGTACGCTGGCAACTGCGAAGTTTTTCCTTGACACAAGCTATATGATAATTGCGTTGGTTTTGTTATAGTCATTTTAAGATGTCAGGTGTCAAAAATAGGTATAAACAGCTGGTGAGAATCTTTACTCTGTTACTGCTGTAAACTTTCTTTTCATGTTCATAGTAACAATGATATAATATAATTGAGAAACATATTAGCTGTTGCTATGAAATAAAGTTCTTGGCCTCTAATGCTTGAATGTAATCATAATACAGTCGACTCTCGTTACCTCGAAGTCATCGGGACCGTCCAGAAAATATCGAGATAACGAAATGTCAAGATAAACATATAAGGGTTTGAACAAGACAGAAACTGATTTTTACAAAAGACATGTGCATACCTTATGTCAAATAAACTATGATATCTCCATGTCTTGTTTTATAAACCTAGTATCGCAAAGTCAATATTTAACAAAGTAACATTAGCGGATGTTTACCAGCGGAAATACGGGAGTCTGTGATAAAAACACATAGTGAGGTTTACTCAGTAATACACCAAAATAGTGAAAACATTGTTTTCAGGGTGGTTGATCCGGATATCCCCCGGTTAGTTATTTGGCCCTTCTCGAGATTGCTCGACCGCTGTTTGATTTTTTGATGTTGTGAAACAATATTGCCACGATATCGTTTCTATACTTTCACTATTTCATTTACAGTTAAAGTCATAATGATTTAATTCAGTGTTTGAATATTTAAAAAGAACGTAAAATTCACTCATTTTGGACATAAGTTAATCAACACGCTAATAAATAACAGCCCAACTTGTTACAAACATAATCAATTTAATCATCATTATGACATGCGCTAAATTGAGCAATTATCGCTAGTTTGTGTTTTTCACAAGACGAAAATTATTAGTCGAGATAAACAAAGGATAATAGTGTGAAAATAACTCTTGGGGCTGAAATTTTACATTGAGATACTGAAAATATCGAAATAAAAATATCGAGATAAACAAATATATCCAATATAGATAAAGAAGGGAGAAAATCGGGACTTTCAAAATTTCATCGAGATAACGAAATATCGACAAAAGCGATGTCGAGATAACGATAGTTGACTGTATATAAATATATATTTATATTAATGTTTCAGTACAATGGTGCTAATATACAGTTACTTGATTTACCTGGAATTATTGAAGGAGCTGCTAAAGGTTTGTTATTGTCTCTACTCAAGCTATAGAACATTTTTAGATCCACTTTTGTAAGAAAAAGCTGAGTTATTTTCATGACCTATTTGTTTTTGTTGGCTTTACCTTTTTGGTTGATAAATTGATCAATCTTTTTATCTAAATTTTCATTTATGGTCATTAACTTCAATACTAACACAGTTATTACATTGAAACTATACATGGATGCACCTTGAGTTCTACCTGCAACACCAATTTTCTGGCCAAAATATCAAGGTCATAAAGGGCCTGTAAAATAATATAACATAAAACTGACCATCAAAGCACAATGTTTTGACCTAGGAACTTTGTATGTAGATGCAGTACTACAGTAGTAATCATGTTCTTGCTTGCTTTGTGGGCATTGCATAGAAGAAGTTCATGACCTTGACAGATTGCACATTTCTTATGTTGTTTTACTATTTTACTATTTAATTTGTAAAGTTTTGTAAGAAAGACATAGATGTAAGAATGATTTTGATGAAAACCATAATTAATCAACAGATAGGCACATTTATTCTCAACAACATAATGTTACATGTTACTGTAACTTTTAACTATGTTAATAATTGTCAGAGAAAAAATACATATACAACACACAAAAAATGCTTATCCCCAAAACTAAACAAAGATCTATTTATGTTCTACTACTTCTAAGAATAATTTTGTGATCAATAACATTCTGGTCAGGGTATTGTTATTAGACAGTATATGTTTTATTGTACAGGTAAAGGTCGAGGGCGTCAGGTGATTGCGGTGGCGAGAACGGCTGATCTTGTCATTATGATGATTGATGCTACAAAAAAAGATGTACAAAAGTTAGTTACATTCTTGTCCATTGATTCTAAAACAAACAAAAAAATCTTTAAGTTGATTATTATATTTATATAATAGTGAGAGCTATCTTACTCACTCAGGTTGTTGGCATCTTTGTCTCACTAATGGTTCAGTTTTTTTTATCACACCACTTTCTTTCAATGTTGTTTGAGGTGTTGCTTTTAAATTTTGAACAGTTTGACCATCATCCTTCTTGGCAAAAGAACATAACTCTGTCTTGGATTTTGACAAAAAAAATCCCCTTTTTTAGCTAACATTTTGGTTCAGTTTTTCCTTCTTTGATTACTTGTTAGTGGCCATCATTCCCACTTTCAGGTGCAGTTTTCTGTAGTTTTTAAAGACCTCTCTTCATTACCATATTACATAAAGCTTTAAGACCTGTTCTTATTCCACTATCAAGTACCTATAATATTTGAGCTTGCTGACAGGCAGGAATTATCTCAAGTCATTGTTGTGATAACAATTTTCAATATTGTTTAAAAATGTGTATTTGTTTGGTATTTGTTAATTTTAACTTTACACTACAATATTGTCTAAATGGTATTTAAAGAGAGACAGTCAATTAAGTAAACATGAATTAATAAAAGTAAATATAAACATTTCAAATATATTTCAGGGAACTTCTCACAGCTGAGTTAGAAAGTGTTGGTATACGACTTAATAGGAACAGACCGAATATTTATTACAAAGTAAGTTCTCACATGATATTTATCAATATAAGTAGTTTTAATCTGTTAAACTTTAAAAAAAATAGTTTAAAATCTTTGAGTTGTGGTAGCAAATGGTAGCTTGTGTCACCAATATAGAATCATACCTATCCATGCTGTGATGGGCGTCCATGGCCCAGTGATTAAGGTTGTTGACTTTAAACCACTTGCTCCTCACTGTTATAGGTTCAAATCACAATATTTGGATTATTTCATGTGAGGAAGCTATCTAGCTAGCTTAGGAAAAGTTGGCAGTTCTACTCAAGTGCTTGTTTGTGCCTGAAATAATGAACTGAAGTGCACGTAGTGTTTTCCTTCAACAGTAAAGCTGGAAAGTTGCCATATGACCTACACTGTTTGGTTGTGATACGTAAATCCCAACCAAAAAGACACATTGTGAAATATAGAGTTAAATATGTTAAAAGTTATGGTAAAATATGAATTGAAATATATCAATAGTAAAAATTTCAATTATGTACAAATTTTGACAAATTTAAACTTTATTGTTTTGCTCTTCAGCCAAAGAAGGGTGGAGGGATTTCATTCAACTCAACAGTGCCCCTTACAAAGACAAGCGAAAAAATGATCCAGTTAATTTTACATGAATACAGTATCCTTATGGTTGAAGAAATGTTAAGATTTCTGATATATACACCTGGAAATAAGTTAACCCTTTACCTCATATATACGCGAAACAACGCAATTTCGACCCCCCCCCCTTTTTTTTTAGGCCTGACATAGTGAAAAAATGTCCTATTTGGGCCCCAAACACATGTTTTCGTTTGAGAAATGTTGCTAAAAAAAGTGAGCACTTTTTCGGCGCCGCCCCCATGCAAAAGAGGGGGTTGCCAGAAGGGGGATGTGCCCCGTTCTGTTTGGGGGGTTTGAAGGGGGCGGAGTCCCCCTCATCACCAAGAAAATTTTGAACTTGTGAGAGGCTAAAAATGACCCCAGGTCGATCATAAGGTAATGTCTAACCAATGCTGAAAAGCCTTTGACTCAATCTCAATCCCTTGAGAAGTTGCAGCACTTTGAAATAAATTTTGATGGAAAAAATCGAGGCAAAATAGTGGTTTTTGGCAATTTTGAGATGTCCTCTTGTTGCCATGGTAACAGGAAATTTAAGACTGAGCATGTCATTACAAAGGCAATGGTCCAGTCAACATTTGTGCCTTGTTTGATTTGTATTGAAGCATTTTTCATAGTTTCATAGCAGTTTGAACTTGTAACGGGAGGCTTTTCAGTGAAAATGGCCATTTTTCACAATATGCTCATGAGGGAAAGGGTTAAACACACCCGTTAATTCTAATCGATTTTGACATGACCACAGCTGAAATTTTAAATTTTATTTGGGCTATGGTACGAACCACCTGTAGTCAACCTGCAACAACTGGATTAAGTTCTGCACCAAGAATGGCAAAATTTACCTCAAAATTGCATTGGACACCTTACTGGTAGTATAATGAGAAGGGTTGAGGCTATCATCTAGGCATGTGTCGTTTATACACATTATTAAAAATTTGGCTAAAAATGTCATTTTAGGTTACATAATTGTCAACATTAACTAAAAATATCCACCAGTAAATATTATGTAAACGCTCCAACACCATTTTATAAACACTAACATTTTTGGTAAAAAACAACACATTTGTGTATCATTCAATAATTTGGTTAAGAATCAACTAAACTAATAAATTTACTGGTTTATGATTACATGTACTAAATTGGTATCACTGCTTATCAAATTACTATTTCATAGCTCAATTAATTTGTCATCTCATTACAGTGCATTCAATCACTACCAATTTTAAATTTCCGGGGTGTGCTTAACTTATTTCCAGGTGTACATATGAACTGTATATATTTGGTAACATCACATAACTTCACCACTCATTAATGAGACAATAAGTGACAGAAATTTAACGCAACCAAAATTTGATGCTTGATTTATAACAAGAAAAACACAACAGTACAGGAATGGAATTTAACAAAGATTTTATGTAATTTTATTAACAAATACTTTATTCTTAAACTTTACTAGAACCATATAAAAAAAGTTTCAGTTCTTGTTCAACCAGTTCCTTAATAAGTAAATATATTTTACATAAGAAATATTTGCAGTATGAAATTTTGCAAAATTATGATAGTCTGTTTATCTTGTCGTATGATAAAAGTGATATTTGACATACACCGTATACATGTACACTGAAAATATTGCCAAGGTATGAGAACATCGGAAGATTTGTCTTCACAAGTATAGAATATATTCCTTAACTGTTTACCAGAAATATTTAATGCAGAAATAGTATTTCGTAGTGATTGTACTGCAGAGGAGTTTATAGATGTAGTTGTTGGTTCCCGGGTATATATGCCATGTCTTTATGTAAGTATAAAGTTATCTAAATAATATCTTTACTACTTTAAGTGGAAAATCTAAACATGAAAAATATTGTGATTTTATATTTGGATCATTTATGTTAGTGAGATTAGTTTGACACTATTATCTTCTTAATTTTAAATGAAAGTGTTGCCATAAGAAGGGTGGCTGAAGGTCAAAATGATTGTCTTGAATGCATTCTGAGCTGTTTCAAAACTAAGAAAACACTTGTTTGTTATAAACCAAAAACTCTTTTTTATGATGTCCAAAAATTGACAACAAACTGGCTTAAAAAAAACATAAAAGTGCTGCCCCATATCAATATTGCAAAACCACAAACATGATTGTACTTTTGGAAGAGTTTAACAGTTATGAGTAGGTACGGTATTTTTGTTTAATCTTGACTGTAATGAAAGCTTGAAGGTTATTTGAGTCACTTTTCCTGGAGGTATGTTACAAACATGATTGTACTTTTGGAAGAGTTTAACAGTTATGAGTAGGTACGGTATTTTTGTTTAATCTTGACTGTAATGAAAGCTTGAAGGTTATTTGAGTCACTTTTCCTGGAGGTACGTTACAAACATGATTGTACTTTTGGAAGAGTTTAACAGTTATGAGTAGGTACGGTATTTTTGTTTAATCTTGACTGTAATGAAAGCTTGAAGGTTATTTGAGTCACTTTTCCTGGAGGTACTAGTACGTTAACTACAAAATAATGGTGTCATACTAAGAACCACATAACCCAAGTAGATCTTGAACCTGTGATTCCTGGGTTAAGAGGTAGATACCTTAACCACAAGGTGACTGCTTTCTTTATTGAATATGACTATCCCATTCTTTACTAGCAGACAGGTAATTATTGGTTAAAAATAAAAACCTTTCAGACTGTAACAGTTGTCTTTCTAAATGAGGTTTCAGAAATTTTAAATGACGTTCAGATACTTAGATACCCAAAGAAACTTCTAAGATAAGATCCAGTGATGATTGCAAATAATAGGGAGTTTGTTGCACAAAAACATATACATTCATTAATTTTGAATTATGTGATATATGTATTTATATTTTTTCATAAAAAAATTTTGTTAATTTTTGTAGGTATATAATAAAATAGATCAGATATCAATAGAAGAAGTTGATCGGCTAGCCAGACTACCAGATTCTGTTGTTGTAAGGTATGTAACATGCATGTTATATATTTATAATGATTGTATATTGTATTACTAGGCTTGGTTCCATTGAAGGTTCGATAACATCTGCCTTATGTTTCTAAATTCAAAATTTTGTAATATTGTCATGTTTAATTCTGCTTAAGCCAGTGCTAGGGGGTTGTAGTTGGTAGCTTGCACATTCCTGTACAGTCCATGAACAGACTAGATCAAACCGAATCTGCAACATTTTCAATTTTGCCATTTTGGACATACTTAAAAAGATTCTGTTTTTCTCTTTTGGGCTAAGCATTGACTATAGCAAAAAGGCTGGCAATAATTTTCCAACTTTGCTCATGTCATAAGTTTTCTGTAAGAAAATGCTTGGTGATCTCCTAATTTTTTCTTATACATGTATAAGACTTAATCCAGCACAATATGTGAAAGAAAATATTATAAATATTTTCAAAATTACATACATTTTCAAATTGACTACTAATTACCATACAATGGCCTACTTGCAACTGGGTTACACTAGGACTAGCTCTATTTGTTCAATAGAGCAACCTGTTGGTGTAGATAATGTTAGTTATGGTAACTTGATAAAGTTATTGTATGGTTTTTGGCCGGGTTGCACTGGTGCAAACCCGGGTTATAGTGTGGTGAATGTCGGGCGACGGACGGCCGGTGGATGGCGGGCGGGGAAAAACTTTCGTAACAGTTTTCTCAGCAACTACTTATCACAGCCTCTTGATATTTGGTATAAAGCATCAACACATGGTCCCATACCGTGGGATTTAATTTCAGGTCTGTCCCTCATCCACTTCCTGTTTGCCAACTTAGTTAAATTTTCAACATTAATGGTCAATGGCAGGAAATTTTCGTAACAGTTTTCTCAGCAACTACTTATCACAGTCTCTTGATATTTGGTATACAGCATCAACAAATGGTCCCATACGGTGGGATTTGATTTCAGGTCTGTCGCTCATCCACTTCCTGTTTGCCAACTCAGTTAAATTTTCAACATTAATGGTCAATGGCAGGAAATTGCCAACTTAGTTAAATTTTCAACATTAATGGTCAATGGCAGGAAATTTTCGTAACAGTTTTCTCAGCAACTACTCATCACAGCCTTATGATATTTGGCATACAGCATTGACACGTGGTCCCATACCGTGGGATTCTATTTCAGGGCTGTCGCTCATCCACTTCCTGTTTGCCAACTTAGTTAAATTTTCAACATTAATGGTCAATGGCAGGAAATTTTCGTAACAGTTTTCTCAGCAACTACTCATCACAGCCTCTTGATATTTGGCATACAGCATTGACACGTGGTCCCATACCGTGGGATTCTATTTCAGGGCTGTCGCTCATCCACTTCCTGTTTATCGACTAAGTTAAATTTTCAGCATTAATGGTCAATGGTAGGAAATTTTCGTAACAGTTTTCTCAGCAACTTTTTATCACAGCCTCTTGATATTTGGCATACAGCATCAACACATGGTCCCATACCGTGGGATTTGATTTCAGGTCTGTCGCTCATCCACTTCCTGTTTGCCAACTTAGTTAAATTTTCAACATTAATGGTCAATGGTAGGAAATTTTTGTAACAGTTTTCTCAGTAAGTACTTATCACAGCCTCTTGATATTTGGCATACAGCATTGACACATGGTCCCTGATGATACTGTGGGATTTGGTTTCAGGTTGCGCTCATCCACTTCCTGTTTAACAACTTAGTTAAATTTTCGACATAAATGGTCAGTGGTAGGAAATTTTCGTAACAGTTTTCTCAGCAACTACTCATCACAGCCTCTTGATATTTGGCATACAGCATTGACACAGGGTTGCATACGGTGGGATTTGATTTCAAATCTGTCGCTCATCCTTTTCCTGTTTATCTACTTAGTTAAATTTCCGACATTAATGGACAATGGTAGGAGGAAATTTTTGTAACAGTTTTCGCAGCAACTACTTATCACAGCTTCTTGATATTTAGCATACAGCATTGCCTCATGGTCCCATACTGTGGGATTCGATTTCAGGTCTGTCGCTCATCCACTTCCTGTTTACCGACTTAGTTAAATTTTTGACATTAATGGTCAATGGTAAACATTTTTTGTAACATCACAGCCTCATGATATTTGGTATACAAATGCAACCCGGCCTTTTCTGTCTTTGACCCATTTTTAGCTCGACTATACGAAGTATATGGAGAGCTGTCCTACTCGCCCCGGCGTCCGCGTCCGCGTCCAGATTTTAGATTAAAGTTTTGGTGCAGTAAAATATTTTTCACTATAACTTTGTCATTTCTTAAGGTATCAACTTTAAACTTCAAATATATGTTCCTTATCATCAACCACATCTTATGTGACAAGGTTCATAACTCTAGCACCAATATTTTCAGATTTATCTCCCCTTGAACTTAGAATTTTCCTTAAAAAATACAATTTTTTACTGTTACTTCTTTATTTCTTAAGGGATCAACCTCATACTTCAAATATATGTACCTTATCATCATCCCCATCTTATGTGACAAGGTTTATAACTCTAGCACCTATATTTTCAGATTTATCTCCCCTTGAACTTAGAATTTTCCTCAAAAATACTATTTCTTACTGTTTCTTCTTAATTTCTTAAGGGATCAACCTCATACTTCAAATATATTTACGTTATCATCATCCCCATCTTATGTGACAAGGTTCATAACTCTAGCACCAATATTTTTCAGATTTATCTCCCTTTGAACTTAGAATTTTCCATAAAAATTTTATTTATTACTGTTACTTATTTATTTCTAAAGGGATCAACTTCATACTTCAAATATATTTACGTTATCATCATCCACATCTTATGTGACAAGGTTCATAACTCTAGCACCAATATTGCAATAATTATCTCCCCATTAACTTAGATTTTTTTACTAGAAAAATGTTATTTTTTATTATAACATTTTTATTTTTAAAGGTATCTACTTCTAACTTCAAATACTTATTCCTTATCATCAATTACATTTTATGTGACAATGTTCATAACTCTTGAAGCAATATTTACAGATTTATCTCTCTTCGAACTTAGGATTTTCTTTAAGAAATATAATAACTTCTTTACTTTTTAAGGTATCTACTTCAAACTTCAAATATATATTTCTTATCATTACACAAATGTTGTGTGACAAGGTCCATAACTCTAGCATGACTATTTCTAGAATTATTCCCCTTGACCTTGGAATTAATGTTAACAAATGTTATTTTTTTACTATAACTTAATACATAATTATACATAATTGATTTTTCTTTCATAGTTTTGTCCTCCTTACTGCGTCCAGTATTTTATTAGTCGAGCTTCGCTGTCTCCTGTGACAGCTCTTGTTATATATTATTGTATGTTGTTATTACAGTTGCAATATGAAGCTCAACCTAGATTATCTGCTGGAAACTGTATGGCGATGTTTAGCACTAGTCAGAGTTTATACTAAAAAACGAGGAGGTAAGCCCAGACATACTTTATTGTTACACTGATATATTTAACACTGTAACACGAGCTGGGGATGAAGCTAGGGGTTATGGTCAGCTTGACTGAGAACAGACTTTATACTTTCCTGATAGAACCTTTAATTACATATTTCAGCTTAACTAGTATATTAGACCAGTTTTATGTATTCCAGCATTTCTAGTGTGTGAAAAAAGGTAGTAACTTTATTAATGTTTATATGGTGTTTTTAGCTCACCTGTCACAAAGTGGAAGGAGGGGGGTAGATTGTTGTTTTTCATTATATGTGTGTAGTAAAAACTAAACATCATGAAACATCTTCTAATGGGTGTCTTCCAAGTTTGTTTAAATAAAAGCTCTGGGGGTTTAAACTGGCCCCGCTCCGGGTGCCTTTATTCAGGTGAGCGACCTCAGGGCCATCATGGCCCTCTTGTTATATATTCCAGTGTTACTATTGTATATCAGACAATTTCTATGTTTTATTTATCACAGAGCCTCCAGATTTTGAAGGAGGTCTTATCTTGCGGCGAGGATGTACAGTTGAACATGTTGTAAGTATCTGTTATATCCCAGCAATATACATTTTACTAAATACAAGGGCAGGATGTACAGTTGAACATGTTGTAAGTATCTGTTATATCCCAGTAATATACATTTTACTAAATACAAGGGTTGTCCCACAAAGTCATGGACAATCATCAGTAAACAAAAACACCTTAGTGTACATACAAGTGTATCTCCAACAATTTCAAGTAAAAAAAAGAATCATTGTTTAAAAAATGTATACATACACTAAATATTAAAAAATTACAGACCTGTGGTGTTTATGTGTCTCACGCCAGAATTGTCACTTGTCTCACGCCAGAATTGTCACTTGACAAACCTAACACATTTTCTTCAAACCAGGGTAAAAAATCTGCCTAAATTGATGACTTAAACATTAATTGTATGTCTGCCACTATATGACATAATGTCAAGGAAATCTCAAGACATGTATGTGGATAACTACCAGAATGTTTTGCATTTGTTAGTATACAAACTAGTTTACAAACTATTTTACTTATTACAGACATAGAAATATAGTTTTATACCCTTTATACATGTTTACATGTATGAAAGTTAATTTTACACTACAATAAATGCAAAGCAGAATTATATTTTTGTAGAAATAACATCTTCAATTTAAAATTTATTTTTCAGTGTCATGCGATTCACAGGACCTTAGTGGCTAATTTCAATTACGCTTATGTTTGGGTGAGTACATTCATTTTTAGGCAATTTTTAAAAAAAAGAATTATGCATCAATAATTTACATCTAATGATTGTCATCCTGAAATAATTATTAAAGAAGGTATTCACCTGCATTATAGTGCATGATAACAGAAGATCTTTTGTAAACAGATGTTGGTAAACTAATACAGGAAATATGATAAGTTTTCCATATTTATAACTTAATGTGATAATTTCTGTATTGTCATGGTTTTATTGTGTCCCCTTGAAAAAGGCGACATATAGGGGTTACTTTTGTTGGCGTCCCCGTAAGCTTTTCCGGAGCATATGTCAGTCATTATTAGTCGGATTGACTTCAAACTTGGTATGCATGCTTCTGACCCGAAGTGCAGTGCACAAGAACAGGTACTCTGCACTTCTTAAAGCTATGGACTTGAAACTTGATAGGATGATAGATCTCATTAAGAAGAAGTGCAATGCACAAGAACCGGTACTCTGCATTTCTTATTTTTTGAGTTATAGCCCTTTGTTTATTTTCATACTTTATTTTTGTCCAGGCCATTTGTCCTAAACTAAAGTATAAAAGCTATGGACTTGAAACTTTATAGGATGATAGATCTCATTAAGAAGAAGTGCAGTGCACAAGAACCGTGACTCTGCATTTCTTATTTTTTGAGTTATTGCCCTTTGTTAATTTTCATACTTTATTTTTGTCCAGGCCATTTCTCCTTAAGTATAAAAGCTATGGACATGAAACTTCATAGGATGTGGGGGCCTCCGTGGCCAAGTGGTTAAGGTCGCTGACTTGAAATCACAGGTCCCTCACCGCTGTAGGTTTGATCCTCACTCGGGTCGAAATCTTTCATGTGAGGAAGCCATCCAGCTGGCTTAAGGAAGGTCGGTGGTTCTACCCAGGGTCTTCCTCCACCAATAAAAGCTGGAAAAAAATCAACAAAAAAATCTCGGCGGGTCGCTCTATGATGGCCCAACTTGAGTGTACGGTCGCCCATATGGGCTTTCCGGCAGCGACCTTAAATAAACGCATTAAAAAAAAAATTCATAGGATGATAGATCTCATTAAGACGAAGTGCAATGCACAAGAACCAGTACTCTGCATTTCTTATTTTTTGAGTAATTGCCCTTGGTTAATTTTCGTACTTTATTTTTGTCCAGGCCATTTCTCATAAATTATAAAAGCTATGGACTTGAAACTTCATATGATGATAGATCTTATTGATAAGAAGTGCAGTGCACAGAAACTGCTGCTCTGCACTTCTTATTTTTTTGAGTAATTGCCCTTTGTTAATTTCCATATTTCATTTTTGTCCTGGCCATTTCTCCTAAACAATATTGTTCACAAGGCGACACATCCGACTGGCGGAGTTCTAGTATTAGATTTAGGTGATAGAATGATATTTGATGAAGGTCATTTTGTGATATACTCCCTTATCAGCTTATTGAATTCACTACTGTTACTTCAAATGTTAAGGAAGTGAACAGTATTGAAACATTTGACCGATGTACAGGAGAAACTGGTTGATATATAATAAAATATAGTATAAAACAGCTCCCAGTGTTGATGGCTGTTCCTGTTTCTAATCTTAGTTTCCTAAAGTTGATTTTTTGCTTGTCAAATGTTGTGGGTTGTTTAAAAACAAGTTGTTTTTGTCCTGGTAAGAAATGGGGGTATTTGTGAATTTCTGTTATTTGTTTTATGCTCTCCCTTTAAACTTCTTACATTTTTAGGGTCTTCAGTGAAAGTTAAATATGTAAAGGATGGAATTTTCATAATTTGTATGGATTTAAAATATACCTTGACATTGTTTTAGTTCATCTTTTTGAAGAATAGGGAAAGCATTTATACTCACCAAGATGTCTTGTGTTACACCATGGTTTTTGTGTACAATTTGATATCTCCAAAACTACTGAAAGGAATGGGTTGAAACTTCACACACACACTTGTTCTCTATGATTATCTAACATAATGGGCACAGTTCCCATAATTCTGAGTTTCCTTTTTATAGAATAATGCATGTTTCCCCTCTGTCAAGTACTGAGGTTAGTCAAGCACATGGACAGCTCATGTTAAAACCCATTTTGATGATGATGCAACTGAATGATATAGAAACATATATACATGTTTGTTTGTAAACAATGATTTTAACTGTGTTGAATATATTTACAGGGAAGAAGTGTAAAGTTTTGCCCACAGAGAGTAGGACTACAACACCTCATGTGTCATGATGACGTTATACAGGTTTTTAAAAAGTAGTCCCATATTGTGAAAAAGTAGTCCGGCATTACTTCATATTACACAACTACAGAACTCAGCACCATTCATTCATGAATAAAATGATGATTTTATAAAGCATTTTATGATATTTGGGAATGAAAGAGACAAAGTGTGAACGTTCTCTGTACTTGCTGCTTATAACTTTAACATCTTCATAATGTGTATGGATTTAAAATATATACCTTGACAGTGTTATAAAAGTGCTGACTAGACTATTGTGCTAAAACTGTTAATTTGTTATTTGTTCTACTGAAATACCCATGAACTTATAACATGAAAATTGAAATGACATGTTGAATACTTATCTTGTTTTGTATTTGCCCTCATGTACTTTCATACAAGCTTGTTAGCTCAGTTTTGTTCAGAGTTTAACAGATTCATTTTTTCTGTACTTTATACATACTTGTACTAAATGGATTTGAACCAAACTTCCAAGTTATAGAGATGATTGTGGTCTGATGCATAAGATGGTCACAGAAACAAAAAAAGTCCCAAATGTTTCATAAAACTCATCCAAAACTGACCAGTGATGTTGTACAAAAGTTATTATTATAATCATACTCCTGGGTACAATTGAGATCCTAGGACAGTCATCTGAAACATGATTATGGGTTGTTCAAAATTATGTAGACTTGCTTAGTCATTTCAAAACTGCGCATTATTTATGAATAAAAATTACACCACTTTACTCAATTATCATTCTTTTACATGCATGTTATAGTTTATATAAACCAAACTGAAATCAAATGTCAGTACTGTAAAAGACTTTACCAGGTCTTTGATGACATAGAGGAACTACTGACTGAGATATTACAGAAATAATCACATCCTGACCATTCTCTCTAAGAATGAAACAACACATTCCAAACACCACTATAGTACAATGATAGATGATGGTATCTAGTGGATAGGTGTGTATTAAAAAGTCATAAAAAGACCAAATCTCAGATCTGTTGATAATATGGATTATTGTTTTGCTGTCCCCTTTAACAAAAGGAAAACATTTAACGACAGAAGTTTTAGTACCGTTGGTCCAACTCTCTGGAATAAATTGCCTCTGTATATAAGACAGTCTTCGACTTTAGACATGTTCAAGAAAAATGTCAAAACCTACTATTTTAGAGATTTTTACGCATTGTTTTAAGATTGTGATTGGGCTGTAAACTGATAGAGATGTGGAAATGTGTTTGAAATTTTACTGAAATAACCATTCATTTTTTTTTTCAAATTATTTTTTATTGCTATTTTTTATAACTATTCTTTCTTTTTTTAAAGTTTTTAATACTTTATATTTTACACGGCTGATATCTTTAACATATTATTTGTAGATCATTTGCCATGCGTATGTGTTTTTTTTTTTTTATCTATATGTACATACTTTTATTATCCTTTTGTACAACGCCATTGAATATGTATATAGAAATAGGCGTTTAATTAAATAGAACAGTTTCAGTTTTAAAGCGTGTATTATGCTCTATATATAGCTCTGGAATTCTGTATCCTTGTAATGCCATAAATTCAGGAAAATGGAGAGAAATAATTTTTTTTTTCAAAATGTGAGGCAGCATTCTTATATAACTATATAACAAGTTGTGAAATGTTTACTACAGGTAGATCATTTTGTTGGTTGAATTTCTTTTATATTGTATGTTTTCACAATTTTCTTCTGATTTATATAAAGCATAATCCATACCTACACTATTATAGTCACAGACATTCAGTTAACAAGGTTTCTGGTACAGTTTTCTGGTAAACAATTAACAAATGGTGGTTGTTTGTTTGGGACAATCTCAACTGACATTAAATTTGGCACCCATCTGTGTCCTTATTTTCAAGCTATAAAGTAAGTACTATACTGTCTGAAGTAGTACTCCTTCAAACTCCATGTGTTAAATTAACTTTCTGTTTCATTTTTTTATGCTCCCCGAAGGATGAGCAAAATTTTTAAAAGTTATTGCCCTTTGTTCAGTTTTACACTTTGAACTTTGTCTGGGACATAACTCTGACACTATAAGAGATATAAACATGAAACTTTGTAGGTAGATAGATCTCATTGCATAGATATGCAGTGCAAAAGAACCGTAACTCTGCCTTGCCTTTTTTTGGAGTTATTGCCCATTTCAATTTTACACTGAACTTTGTCGGGACATTACAGTGAAACTACAAGAGATATCAACATGAAACTTAGTCAGTAGATCTCATCTCATTGACTAGAAGTGCAGTGCAAAGAACAGTAACTCTGTCTTGCCTAACACTTTTAACTTCTGAAACTACAAGCGGTATACTTTTCTGTATCCAAAACAAATATTTTGGGAGCATCACCAAGTTCAACCGGTTCTTGTTTTCTTAGTCATTTCAAATTTTTATATTCAGTACTGTTCTTGATGTGACATTATTTTAAGGGATCATATGTGAATGTAGACATAAATGTTTCTTGTTCTGTACTCCATTGACATTTGACTTAATACGAGCATTACACTGATGAACATTTTAGGGGAGTTTGAAGCATTTGTGCATCAAAAATAAAAATAATTGAACGCCATGGTGATTAAGCTGGTCAGCAGCAGTTACTATGGTAACGTGTTGCTGTGGCATAGCACATTATTAACTGATGATGTTTTCATACTTATGTGTTTATACAATAGGAATTTGTTGTTAAAAGAACTAATATCTAAGCGTTTAAAAAAATAAACAAGTAAGAGCGCTATTTTTACTTAAAGAGTATGCCTATTTAATAGGAAACTGTTATAAGAAAAAACTTTTTGTTTGAAACTAACTCCTATGGTTATAGAAACCTTTTAAATCGCCCAATGGTCGAGGTTCAATGCACCAAGCCACCTTCCTCAAACCTGCGCCATCATTTTGGAAACAAACGCCACCAACCTTTAGGATAATATTTAAGTGGATAATTTTATTATACAGTGCTCGGAATCAAAATCATATTGTAAACAAATGCTGTTTTCTTGATAAACAAAATGTTTTTATCTGATGATGTTTCTGTCGATGTAATAAGCTAGGTCTTTCCAATAAAAATTCTATTTGAAAGACAATGTAATAAGATATACATGCAGTAACATTTTCTTCATTTAGCCCTGCCTTATTTGATGTATGTAACATGCAAATGTATTCAGGAAGGTAACAGCAGCAGCAAACTGGATACAGAATCATTTTTAAAAATTACAGATACAACGCAGCTGTTATTGCTTTATGAAGTTCACATGATCAAGTTGAGCTGAATTGATTATATATTTCAAATGTTTTCCTGTTATAAAGGTGATTGACCACAGTAACGGTAAGTTGATATTGGAAAATGCTTAGGATCAAATATAAAGTATAAAAAGACTGCTCCCACACTTTTTATAAATTGAACGTTACTTGGTTAATTGCGACGAATATACATGTATACATAAATTCACTTGGGCCACGTGAGTTATTTATCGTTCTGGCGCAGTAATTATCAAATTAAAGGGATTTATGACAAATAAACTCACTATATAGACCATTGAAGACAAAATGTCAGTTTTAATAAACTAAGAACTGATCTAAACCTGAATTTAGGTAAATGATTGCAATTTCAATCGAAAATGTAAATTTTACAACATGATAGATATAGATAACAGTTGACAATTTTCAGCGGGCTGCATTTAGTGCATATTCTTTTATTGTTGTCAATCATTTATTGACATTTTCGATCTTTCTAGAATAATTCAGGCACGAGTTTTTAATGCGGATTTTTTTTCCAACATACACCTCGTAACAAGTGACATTTATGATTGGCGCGAGAGAGGGGACAATGCAAAAGACGGTCCTGGTTTTATTTTCTTTCCTTACTTAAAAAAATACAACATTATTTTTAATCGGATAAAGTTAAAAACCCGCTAATGATAGTGTGCAACACAGATATTTGTTCCGTGTGGAGACCGTAAAAAAGTCGTTCCGTACATATACATAATCAAAGATGTTATATTCCTGATCCTTGAAGATCTACAGCACGACATTATTATTGTGTGTACATGTCGCAGGATTTTAAGTTCCTTTTTTTTACCTTTTTCAACTTGGGTTGTTCCAGCATTCCTACCTAAGTACTGTATACTCACCCTAACGATATGGTGCCAGTGTCTGTGATATGCAGGCTTCAGAACTTCTGATTCCCTTTCAAAATTCCATTTGTTTATTTGGGCTAACGCATTCTTTTACTTGGGGACCATACACCGCTTTTACGAAAGTGTCACATTTAAGGTTCCATGATGGCCTACGTATGAACACATCCCCGAATGTTTCTTAATTCAAAATTTCACCATTTACATGTTTAAATGTTGAATTCTGCTCAAGCTGGTGCTAGGGGCGTATACATGTAGGTAACTTGCACTTTTCAGTACTATCCATGAATATGCTAAATCAACCGAGCCTGCAAAATTTTCAATTTTGTCGTTTTGAGCATTCCTTAGGGATTCCATTTTTTCTTTATCTCTTCGTCAATAACATTATTTATTGAGAAAGGTCATGGTGGTTTTAGAAAAAAAAATTTTTTTAGTATATTTTTGACACAAAAAATAAAGGTGTTCTGAATAATAAAGTATTTTAATAATTGCTACTTTTTGCCATCTGATAATTTCTAAAAGTTTTGTATTAACTGCTTTTACTTATAATTACTTATTTCAAATTAATGTTGTGCTATGTTTAAAATAATCTTACTGCGTTTTCATGGATTAGTAGCGAAAGTTGTTCGAGTGACAAGGGGAATAACTAACGCTATTTAATCAAGTACTCCTTTTTCCTGGTTTCTTGATCATTATGAAGCCGAAAACCAATACCAATGTAAGACACGACGGTCACCTGAGATGACATTGAATGCTTTTGAGGCACTCAGAGGGAGACAATACATGAAAATGCGATAATAAAAAAAACATAAATAGAGGCTATTGTTCATAAGTGTCGCAAAATCGGCACGGATAGTGCTAATTTGTTGCCGGCTCGCCACGGCGAGCCGGTATTACGGTAGGATTTTACTGAGAAACAACTTAAAACTCCGAAGCTATCCAAAAATTTAATCGAAGCTTGGCTTCCAGCTTTCTTCAAAATTTATCTATCAGGGCTAGGATCCAAAATTATTTAGCCAATCAAATTTAATCTTACATAGCGTCAAAAAACCTTCAATTTTCACGCCATTTTTAAAAATCAGCAAGTATTGTTTTGAGCGCAAAGATATAATGATGATTAAAATGTTTGTCTTTATGAATTCTTTTCAATAAATCATATTTACACTGACTTCTGATTTAGCGATTTCACCTGTTTTCTCTGTAGTAAGTTTTCGTTTGGTTAATTAACATAAGTGTACATCTGGTTCTGTGCATTTTTTATTTTTCCTTTTTTCCGGTCATTTTATCCTTTCCGGTATTTAGTGTATGTATTTACTGGCCGGGATCCGGGACGCCCAGGATCCGGGATCGTATAAGATATGGAGGAAAAACCTAATGAACTATATTTGTGTTGATTGTTGTCGTAATGAAAGGCCATTAAACGTTTCTGAAAACTGGCCAATCCGTGAGATCTATTTACATTTTAATACGATCCCGGCTTTTCTGAAAACTATATTCTTGAACTGGTCAATTCCCGGGATCCCTATATGTTTTAATAGGATCCCGGCTTATCTGAAAAACATCTTCTTAGACTGGTCAATTTCCGGGATCCCTATATTTTTTAATAGGATCCCGGCTTTTCTGGCTGAATTGATTGACAACTTGTGTTTACTTTAGGACTTGTGCCTCTCATTCCAATACTAAATAACATACATGTATTACAACTTAATTTTGTATAAAGAGACATCTTTATGAAATCTACCTATCTAACATTTTGTGGTCAAGGTCAACAGGCCATATAGTAAATGTGCATAGACATAGGTTCTTCATTCTATCTGTTTACATGCACCTTCATATATACTCATACTCATACTCACCTTGGTTAAACTGAGAGAACTTTATATGTCACTTTCAGTCAATGAGTTTAAGATTTTGAATTTACTGGCCCTAATTCCAGTTTTGAATTTATTCTACTAAATAATTAACAAAATTTTCTTAAATTTACACTGGCCTGAACTTATATACACTGGCCATCGGGCACTGGGCCAGTGTTGACTTCACTTTTATTTTGATGTTCGCTGAAGTCTCTTCAGCTAATAGAACTGTCATTTTTACATTTAAACACACCCCTTGAAAAAATTACGAAGCGAGCCGCTACTAGCTTTTTTAAAAGCTAACCTTGTTAATAGTTTAAAATATAAATTAAGTTTTTGTTGTTGTTTTTTGGTTTTGTTACACGTGTTGACATTGACTATATATAGATATTTAAACATCCTTAAAGATCGTGCAGCACGACATTATTGTTGTGTATACATACATATTATATGGTATTTTTAGTTTCTTGTATTTGGCCACTCTGAACTTGGACTGTATAATCACCCTTAGGATATGTTGCCTCCTTTTTAAATTTGTCTTTTGACGTCTTGTCTGTGATATGCAGACTTCATAACCTCAGATCCCCTTTCTAAATTCCATTTTATTTAGTTTCGCCCATTGTTTTCTCGTTTAGGGCACACGCATTCTTTTACATGGGGACCATACGCCGCTTTTCATTGAATGACACTACTGTGTCACATTGAAGGTTCCATGATAACCGCCGTATGAACACATCTGCTGATGTTCTAAATTCAAAATTCCACCAGTTTTGTGTTTAAATGTTGAATTCTGCTTAAGCCGGTGCTATGGGGCGTGGACAGTAATTTGCACTTTCCAGTACCGTCCATGAACAGGCTCAATCAAACCGAGCCTGAAACATTTTACAATTTTGATGTGTTGGGCTTTCTTTGTCTGTCTCTGTCTCTCTGTCTGTATCTGTCTCTCTCTATTCTATTATGCTTCTGCGTAGGAATCCCTATATTTCATTTGCTTACTTGGGTGTACTGTTTATGTGAGCATCCTATTTATGTTTTCTTTTTAAAACCCCAAGCCAGGATTTTGCGAAAACCTGAAAAACCCCATTCTAATTGGACTCCATGAAGGGAGTATATTGTGTTTGGGGGGAAAATTTTTCCCCTTTTTTGGCAGGTAACTTCCTTGGCGGGGTTAAAACTATTTTCCCCCCCCCCTTTCAACCATTTTCATTTTTGGGGGGGACTGGTTGTTTGGGAGATTCAGCAAAATTTTTAATGCAAGCAATTATTAATAACTTCTCCAACAAACGGACCTGGGAATTTATGTTTTGTAGGATGTCATTTATATAGGCGAGAAACAGGAGGGGTCCTAGAACCTTGGGACACGCCTGCATATACTGGGATTGGTTTGAGATGTTGCCATTTAGCTCAACAGACTACAACCTGTTATCTAGAAAAATTTTGACCCATCTTAAAGTTTTACCTCTGGATTCCATAATCATTATTGTATGCCTAAAGGTTATCTGTAAATTTTTAATTCAGTAACTTAGTGAATAATACTAAATCATGTCAATTTTTGTGATGTTTACTGTTTTGATGCACGGGAGGCCAATGAGACCATTATGTATATGCATCATATGGGTAGCTGCCAAAATACCTGTGTTTACTTCCCACTGGCTGCCTCTTTAATACTCCTCGACGTGATTATCATGACATGCGCAGATACTGAACGATTATCACGTGGTCATAGGTAACGACCTCTTTCTGAAAATACCGGTGTCCTCGGTTTTAGGCTTCAGCAACGTTAGCCGAATTTTCCATCAATCGACTGCTTCAGCAGCTTGACAAAAGCAAAGGTAATTTTTATTGATACATGAAATTATTTACATACTGTTCACCCATTTTCATAGTGAAAAAAATAGCTCATCAGTCAAAAAATCAGCTTTTGAAGTGCAGTGGACTTCAGGGTCAAAAATGACAAATTTGAAGTTTCAATGAAATAAAAAATATTTTATGAAGATATTTAATAAGAAATGAAAGATCAATTTGATTTTGCTGGAACGATAGTTGTATAGTATAATATTTCGCAAACTTGCCTTTGAAAGCCCTGGTAAGCATTATCGTATCGTATCCTTTTTACGGATGTTTTGTCGTAAGTGGGTGGGGGGAAATTTACCAACTAAGTTTGCTTCCTTTGTGCTGATAGATTTATTCAGTTATCAATGTATGAAAGGTTATGATAACCATCAAATGATTTATCAAATCCGCGTGTTAATTGTATTGTTGGTACGCCAATTAATCTTAGTTTCTTAGTTTCTTAGATTTTTAAAGGTCAAACCCATGCAAAGGATTTCTTGCTTATACTTTGTTAAAGGGACTCCACTTAAATGAAAGATCATGAATGAAATTTTCTTTTCTTTCACTTGGATTTTTACTGAATGATTATGACAGTGAAAACTGACATGAATTTAAAGATTTTACTTTAGCAATCTTTTAATCAAATAGATTTTTCAATTTTATTTTTGAGTGTATTTCTATCTTCTCAAGTTCTGCATCTTTTAATTTCAAGTGCTGAAGTTGATTTATGTACATTTTCAAATTTCATGTTTTTAGGTATTTTTACCTTTGATTTGAGGAAAGTTAATAAGTTTGAAGGTTAATGTTCGCATCTACAGAAAATGAAATATGTACTGTAGGGTAAATTTAATGAAGATAAAAATAAGTTTAATTGTGCATAGGAATGAGAAACTGAGCAAAGATACATATGCTCGTTTAAAAAACCTAAACCCTTACCAAACCAGGATACCAGAAGACAGGAAGTTTGCCAATTCAAATTGTTTTAAAATTCATTCATCAGTACAATTTATAATCAGATCTCATTCCACAATTTATTTTTATTGGAGGGATTTCAATGAAAAAAATGCACAAGGTGGCTGTGACATAGCCTCTTCAAGTCAACATAGCCTCTTCAAGTCAAGTGCACTACTAAGTGTTAAGCTGGCTGGTGAAAATGCCAGATCGGCTTATGACATAGAAAATCATACTTCTAGAAAAATATTAAAGATATTTCTTTTAAACTTTGTTTATTGAGCATAATATATGACATAAACAGAAAGAAAAATATTTGGTAACTGTCACTGTTGTGAGAATTATTTCTCCTTTTCATGTTTATAAAATACAAAGTATAAAACAAAATAGGTTAAATAACTTCTTTATGATCCAATTCATTGTGCCAACACCTGTCAGCATACATTTCATTCAGTTTTCAAAGGAAACTTCTTTTAAGGACTTCAAAAATTATGTGACATATAAACATGAAAAAGGGGAAATAATTCTCACAAAAGTTACAGTAACCAATTATTTCTTTCTGTTTATGTCGTGTATTATGCTCAATAAACAAACAAAGTTAAAAATAAATATCTTTATTATTTTTCTAGAAATATGAATTTTTATGTCAAAAGCCCGACTGGGCATTTTCACGAGTCTGTTAAGTACATGTTAAAGTTAATTAGTACGTGTTTACAAAATTAAATTGGTCAGGAGCGGCTCAGCCACGGGACCAGTTTAAATTTGTAAATACATACAATTAAACTTTAACCGGCTTAGTGGTTTAAATTATTTTTATAAACAGTCGATTTACTAGACTGATTAATAGTTTGCCAATTTATCAAAGTTATGAGTTACGATTCATTTGAAATACTTCAATCCTATTGGACAAAAAATAATTTCAAACACTAAGGTGTATTAGTGTAAATTACCATATTACCTGCCTATTCCTATTATGATCTTTACATGGGGTACATGGCTTGGAGCTAAATATATTGTATATATTATCTGTGTACGTGGTAATTTTATATTAAATTTCTAACCCTCGATACTCCATTTTGACCGAACTTCACTGCAATGATCCTCAAGTTGGCCTCCCACAACGTTTATATAAATGGTTCTAGTCTGATACATAAGACGGTCACAGAAGCTAAAAATAGACTTCAAAACTGTTAATAACCTAATTTATCATGAAAATTCCCAAAAATTGCAAGGTTTTTATGGCACCTGCTACAGAGTAGTAGCAAGATACAGGATCATGTCTCTGTCATCTGTCACAAAACTTGTCCTGACTACTGTTATTGCCCTTTAGTTATTTTTTATTGGGACTGCTTCTCTTACCACTACCAATGTAATTTGAACGAATCATTTACAGCGTGGTTGGTACTTGCCCATATTACACAGGATTTCAGGTTGAATCAATGATTTTTGACAGAGTTATTCATCTAGACTAAATCAGTACCAAGTGTAATTGTGCATATACATGAAGTCGCATTTTCCAATTCAATGATTTATGTCCAAGTTAAATAAACTACAGTAAGAAACCATGCCTCAAGTCCTTGCACATATTTAGCGGGTTTTATGTTTGGCCACTGGGAACATAAATTTACAAATACTTGGTACAAGAAAACAAATTCAAATCTTCCTGTGTCTACTCGGTATCATTTGAATTGATGGATATTAGAAATGCTCAGGGGATCAAACAAAGTGCAAACATTTGACCCTGAAGATCATTTGAGTCAAGTTCCGTCTAGTTGCCAATCATCATAAAAATTCACCAATGGATATTAAAACAAATTACGCCAAAACCTAATGTACTACTACTAAGTTTTCCATCCAAGTATGAAATTGTGTGTTGACCATTAGTACATTCACATAAGACATAGATGCCATGATAACGCACATATATTATTATAATGTTAATAAAATGTTTATTTTTATCTATTTTCAGATGACTGACAAAATTGGTTTCTTAGAAAATTTTGCCCTTAGTGGCGCTGCTGCTGCTATTTCTAAAACAGCTGCTGCACCAATTGAACGAGTGAAGCTTCTTGTACAGAATCAAGATGAAATGATTAAAGCTGGTCGATTAGACAAACCATACAGTGGTGTCATTGACTGTACAATGAGGACCTTCAGGAATGAAGGAGTCCTTCCTTTCTGGAGAGGAAACATGGCAAATGTCATTCGGTATTTTCCAACCCAAGCCCTTAACTTTGCTTTCAAGGACCAGATTAAGGCTATGTTTAAATCATCAAAGAATGAAAGTCAAGCAATTAAATTTGGCAAGAATGTTATGTCTGGTGGTGTTGCTGGAGCCATGTCCTTGTGCTTTGTGTACTCACTAGATTACTGCAGAACACGTTTAGCCAATGATGCCAAGGCAAGCAAGAAAGGTGGTGGAGAACGTCAATTCAATGGTATGGTTGATGTGTACAAGAAGACCATCCAATCTGATGGAATTGTCGGACTGTACAGAGGTTTTGTCATCTCCTGTGTTGGTATTGTTGTGTACAGAGGTTGCTACTTCGGTTTCTATGACACTCTGAAGCCAATTATCATTGGTGAAGGAGGAAGCTTTGCTGCATCCTTCGCTCTTGGATACATTGTTACCATCAGTTCTGGTTTGGTGTCTTACCCCATTGATACAATCAGGAGAAGAATGATGATGACATCTGGTGAAGCTGTTAAATACAAGGGGTCCATTGATTGCACAGTCCAAATTGTCAAGAACGAGGGTTTCATGTCTTTGATGAAAGGAGCAGGTGCCAACATTCTTAGGGGTGTAGCTGGTGCTGGTGTCTTGTCTGGATTTGATAAATTCAAGGAATTCTACGTAAAATGGCGTGTAGGAAAGTCATAAAAAATAGATATCTAGAATTCAAATAATTAATATAGAAAGATCTTTTGTAACATTTTGATGTGTGAAGTTGAACATTGCACTTAAAGCTGGAGTAAAGGACATTTATGAGCGGGGATCATTGTATAATGTGTCAGATTTTTATAATTTGTCCTTTATATGCAGTTTGTTTGATAAGAATATTAAAATTTGTTTAACAAATAAAAACCATTTTGTCATGCATTAGAACATTGTTGATAAAGAATTATGTTTGAATCAATTGCTAATTACAGAAAATAAGATTTAAGAACGCCTTTCTTGTATTTACCAAATAGAAACGGCTTAAATATTGGAATTATTGCGTTATTTAAAGATATATTATGCTTAAATTTGATATTTGAAGAAACTGATAATTTATACTCAACAGTTTCTTTTGTGATGAAAAATAAACACCTTTGAATACACACAAGGAAGATATGTTTTAAACTTTACACACTACAGGTATTCGCAGTGTGATTACATAGTGTCGTTACAAAAAACTGGAAAGACCAAATTAATTATGCCCATCTTCAAAAGTGGGGGTATATTGCTTTGCATTTCTGTCGATCTGTCTGTAGACCAAATGGTTTCCGATCAACAAGTTAAGAACACTTAAGCCTAGGAACCATAACTTGTATGGGGATTGATCATGACCAGAAGATGACCCCTACTATTTTGGGGGTCTTTAGGTCAAGATTATTCAGTCAATGGTTTCCTATTAATAACTCAACTCGTGGGACTTTGACCTTCAGACTTCACAGGTGCATTGGTCATGGCCTGTCAATTACCTCTTGATTTTGGGGTCAAGGTCAATTCATATTGACCTTGTAGGTAAAAACGATGTTACTGATCAAAATCAATTCATGGGCCCTTGGCCTTCAAACTGTGGAGAAAACCCCTATTGATTTTGGGGTCAAGGTCAATTGACCTTGTAGGTAAAAATGGTTTCTGATCTATATAAAACTTGACAACCCATTGACTGTTCAAGTGTTGGCCCTCATATTTCGTAGGTGCAGTGGTCTTTGCAAGAAGATGACCCCTATTGATTTTGTGCATTGGTCTTGGGCCAGGAGAAAAACCCTATTGATTTTGGGGTCAAGGTCATTTTGACCTTGTATCTGATCAATAACATGACAACCCAAACTGCATAGGTCCATTGGTCTTGGCCAGTAGATGTCCCCTATTGAGTTAAGGGTCACATTGACCTTGTATGTAAAAACGGTTTCTGACCAATAACTCCAACAACTATAGTTGCCTTGGTTGATACTTTTTATTAAACTAAAAATGTTACATTTCATTAGACCTTGAAATGTGTATACCAAAAGCAAAGTGGCTGTCATTAAGGAGGCCTACATGAGACATAAAAGTTATGCATATTTTTTTTGTGAGATTTGTAACAACTTTGTCATAAAATTGCTGCACACAACCTATGGTCACTCACCATCACAATGACCTAGCGACTAGTCCTGACCAGTAGATAACCCCAATTAACTTTTTGTGCCACCACTTTGTGGGGGAGGGGGGACATTTAGATTTACCCTTGTCCGTCCGTTCTCTTTTTGTTTCGCATGTAGCTCAAAAAGTATTTGACCTGGAGTTATGAACATTTATAGAAATGTTGATCAGCATGTGTAGTTGTGCACCTGGGTATTTTCGTGTGGATATATTTAGTATTTTTAGAGTAATTGCCCTTGACTTAGTAACATTTGCAATTTTCAACTTGTGTCGCACATATCTCAAAAAGTATTTGACCTAGAGTCATGAAACCTTACAGGCATGTTGCTCAGCTTGTGTAGTTGTGCACCTGGGGTTTCGCTTGTGGTTTTATTCTATTTATTTTACTTCTATTTTGTCAGATTTATTGCCCTCGACTTAGTGAAAACCGTTCCATTATGTTGTGTTATTTGTTCCTTGAGTGCACTGCTTGAGTTAGAATCAACCAACTTTACAGGAATAATAATGTTCCAACATCACTGTGAAGCTATGCAGCTGTTGTTGTGCATGTGGATTTTTTCCAGTTTGTTAAGAGTTATTGCCATTGACTTAGTATAAATTTTTAATTTTCAACTTGTTCATGCATAACTCAAAAATATTTGACCTGTAGGTCTGAAAGTTTACAAGAATGTTGGTCAGCTATGCACATTGTGGTTTGCTTGTGGATTTATTCAGTATTTGTAAAGTTCTTGCCCTTGACTTTTGGTTTTCAACTTGTTGCACTTGTAGCCTAAAACATATTTGACCTAAAGTCATAAGATTGACAAAACAGTGGAGTGTTGGGGCACTCGTGTCCTATGGACAACTACACATTTCTAGTTTGTCAATATGTCCAAGTCAGTTAACTTAGTAACATGACTATTTATCTGCCGATAGGGGGCATAATTTACATGTTTTACAAACAAATATTGTTTGACAAGTAATAAGGAATGCAGCTTCCCAAACATAATTTTTACATTCACTTATGCAAGGAAGAATTGACTAGTTTTCAAAAAATTTCTGCAACAAAAACTTTACCCAAACATCAGCATAGTATATCTTTAAGTATACTATGTTAAGAAACCTCGTCTAAACAATATGCATTATATTGTAGCTTTTATGTCGGCGAAAAACAAGTCGCGTACCAAGCTAAAGTCTCCGGATGAAATTGTATCACACCGGTGAAAGCTGCAGAGGTTAAGAATAATTTGGTATTGTGGCAACTCACTTTTAAGCAGTGTTTGATTTAATTAAATCTTGTGAAGAAATTCACATTAATAGGTCTTCTAATTTTGTTCTCATAATTTGCTTAACCATCACAGCTGATTGCCCTTTCTCAAGATCGATCATCATACATGTACATGGTTTAGACCCTTCAGATACCATTTGTATAAATATAAAAGAAAAAGAAAAGATAAATGTAAGGTCTACTTTTATTATAGAATTTACTTAAAATAATTACTTTCTGCAAAAAGATATGTTAAGTTTCTTACATAACTCTTGTTCATCACCATGAGATGTTTCGTTGTGTACATTAACCGAGTCTCATTAAAAGTTCTTGGAACAAATGTTCACCATTGTGGTTCTCTATGGTCGCGGTCAAACTTTGACAAAAATGTTATATACATGGCCTACAAATTTACTCATTAAGGGATTCTGAAATAACTTCACCATAATATGAGACAATGGGCGTTTCCTTTGACAATGACACGTACTCTTGCCTTGTGCAAGCCATGTTTGGTTTTGCTGTTTAATTTGTGTATTGAGACTGAAAAAGTCGCTGTCCTCATATATCTTGATATATTTATGTTTTAAACAAGCTTGGTATCAGGAAAATTCTGATTTGAAGAGCAGGTCATAGGACAGACACCTTGGAAGTCCAACTGTAGCAGTTTAATGTAAATCCCAATTTAACTTTTACGTGAAGGACATCATTGGCAATTAAAGCAGCCAGCATATTGGCTTGATTCACATATAAAGCGCTCCCATCTTTTCTGCTTGCTGTTTGTCATCGAGGTTTTAAAACCTTTATGTGAGATCATTCACATTCTGCGTTGGTGTCTGACCTATCCAATATCCGAGATCTGATCGAGTTTGAGCTTGGATGATTTATTATAACCTTAATTTGACCCTGTTCTTCTTGGCAACATTTTGGATATAGGACAATGTCATTAAAATCAGCTCCTAAATAATGCTGTAATCTAAACTTAAGAATATCTGCATTTTTAACTTTATATAGTCAGATTGGATAGGAGGGCAGCTGAATTAAATGGCATTGGAAGCAGTAAACTTTTAGCTAGCTGCGTGTTTTCTTTCCAGTTGACAGTTTTGTGAAAGCATGGTCGGTTGTGCTTGGTTATCAACATTTCTTAAAGCGTCTTAACCATGTGCTAGATCTTCACCAAACTTCACATGAATGGTCCTTAAGTAATTAATTAGGTGGCCCACTACAAAAGTTTAAATGGTCCCCAACATATGTACTTTCACATAATTTCAAGGTTACAGCGGGGCATAAATATTAATTGTCTATGTAGTTCATTTTTTCTACTTTTTGGAAAACACATACTGTATAGATCTAGGAATTTAAAATAGAATGCAAGTGGTTTTCATATTTGTAAATTTACAACAGAGAGAAATGAATATTTAAAAGCCTATATAAACATATACTTTATACGATATGTCCGGTGGCATAGAGGTGACATTTTCAGTTTTATATGTCTCATGACAATGGTTATAACAATGAGGGGAAAATTTCAAAATCATAATGTATGTGTACGTCGCCATAATTTGAACCTAAGATGAGAAAATTACATTTAGTGATGTTCAACCAAATAGGACAACTATTGGGAAATCATCCGGACCCGAAATCATCAGGATTGCATCGATCTCAATATTTTAGGATCCGTGACGTCTTTAATGAATAACATTCTATTAAATTCAAATAAGGTTGGTTCATTTATTTAAGATAAGATCTACCAGAATTGCCAATTTCCTATGGTAATCACGCTTTTCAGTCCAGTAACTAGGGGGTCGCCCACCCCTAATAATAGGACGTTTGTTTTAGTACCAAATTCTTGATTTTCATGTGCAAATGTTCGAGTAAATCGTGGTCATAAAACCATATATGATCGGTTAAACAGCAATACTTACATCAATAAATATTCATAGCGATGGCCGTTTTCCAGTTCAATGATGTTTTTTCAAAGACTTTTAGTGATGGATTTCATGATTTTAAAATTATTTTTAAAGCTTATCTGGACTACGTCTGTTATTCTACAGTATACATTATTCAATTTCATGAAATTTGAGTTACTTAAAGTTCATTAATCCAACACATTAGATCTATATAAAAAATTATTGTATATACATAATACACATTAATTTGCATATTCCACTAAATGATTGATAGCCTTCATATAGAGGATATAATTGTTTCATATTTTGAGGTGATATATACATGTATGTATTTCATAATAAGTATAAATATATAAATAATTTACATTTCATATATTTGCAGGTTTACTCTTGAACAATTTAAACAATGAAGGCTTCTAACAAGCAAAGAAAGAGAAAAACAGAGAGAGAAGAGGATTGTGGTAGTCCATCTAAAGTAAGCAATGTTTCTAAACCAGCAGTAAAAAGCAAATATTTTGAAGAACAAAACAAAGTTGCCCAGAAAAAGCTCCGGAAAAGTGCTTCATGTAGTACGAAGAGTGGAAAAGAACATGAGAATGAAAATGTTTTGAGTGCCACATCTTCAGTAAAGTCTGAAGACAGACTGGGTTTCAATTTTTACAACGTTTCATGTGAAGATCTTGCAAAATCACTCCTGGGTAAAATAATAGTTATAAACTATGAAGGGAAGCGGTTAGCTGGTAAAATTGTAGAAACAGAAGCTTATCTGGGACCTATAGATAAGGGAGCTCACTCTTACAAGGGCAAGACAGAAAGGAATACAGCTATGTTCATGAAACCAGGAACAGCCTATGTGTACAATATCTATGGCATGTATTGCTGTATGAATATATCAGCTAATGGTAAGTTAAGTTTTGTACCATACATTTTTATTATGTGATATCTATCATCTACTTAACAGTTTCTTTGGTTGAGTTTAGCTGTATGTTATTATAGTCCTTATACAAACCTGAAGTTGCCCATATTTAATATTTCTGAATTATGTACTGGTTTTCGAAACACTCTGAACTTAAAGAAAGGGTTTTTCAAATTAACTTTAAGAAGTCTTGTCAATAAGCCCTGTATATTTTGGCCCAGGTTAAATATTTTCAGAATTTGCGAAAATTTGTTTTGACCAGAGATTTTAAATTTTGATACAAATCTCTGTCAGGAGATCAAAAAAGGCTGACCTTTGAGCTACAACAAGAGTTTGCCTAAGAGAAATTTTTACAGTTTTGATATTATGAGGTTATCCAATAATATTTCATTACACATTGTTGAGAACTATACTGAATTACATTGGACAAGTATATAACAGCATCTTTGAACAATCACTGGACAATGCCACTAACCAAATATTCTAGCACTTGTCTAAAGATTTTTTAACTCTTATTTTTTAGCTTTCATGGACCTATTTTGCATAAGATAGTAATATGAATGCAATTTATGTCTTTATGATACTTAAGTTAGTAGAGGGCCTCCAAAAGATCATGAAGTTTGATCAAAATCTACCTTGTGATTAAAGAGGAGACCAAATAATAGACATTAATTAAAAGTATTTTATGTGTATTGATACATATAAAGAGTTTTATTGAGATGTAATTTATTTTAGGTGATGGTGCAGCTGTACTGTTACGAGCTTTACAGCCTATTGAAAATCTAGAACTGATGGATAAACTACGAACAAAGGGTAAAAAGGCTGGCTCATTATTGAAGAAGGATGGAGTCGGCTTGTGTAATGGTCCTTCTAAATTGTGCCAGGCCCTGGGAATAAAGAAAGATCTGGTGAATAAAGTTGATATGTGTACTTCTGACTTAATATGGTTGGAGAAAGGTGAAACTGTAAATGATGATGAAATAGTGAAATGTAAAAGGATTAATATAAATTATGCAGAAGAGTGGGTAGACAAGCCATTGAGGTTTTATATCATGGGCAATGTATTCAACAGTGTGAAAGATAAAGAAGCAGAAAAAGCAATTAGTGGCTAAACTCCGAATGAAATTTATCATTTTCTAAGTGCATTTAATTAACTAGTGTATGTCAGGCTAAACCTCAAAGAGCAGTTAAAGTTGTGAGTAGTGAGCTTGTTACAGATAGCAACATGATTTATTGGACACCCTATATAAAACGTGCAGGGAAAGTAAAAACACAACTCCCAAATTATGCACATTCAACCATTTGTTAATAAAAAATGGACCTTTCACTCACAGTTTAGTAGTTCAAACACAATATTTGTAGGTATAGCTAGAATAAAGCTGTGGTATAGTTACCAAAAAATATATACATTAAAAATATACAAGTATCATAATTATAAGAATTGTGACTGTTTTATTTTCTCTAACAGTATTAACTTAAAACTCAACTTAAACAATGTTTTTTTTCAAAGATTGATTTTTTATGGTTGGCTTTAAGTACGGTATTTTTTGTTAGAGGAGTAAATCCATCAACATCCTGTAAGATAGCTGGTGAAACAGTCAAGTCACTGGCAGGATTCAAACATACAGTGGTGAGGCCGGGCAAGGGTTGGAAGTCGACAACCTTAACCATTTATAGGCATCAGATGCATGCCCGTAAAAGGTAAAGGTCTTGTTTATTACAGTGTCACCCCTACTGAAAGGGCCAGCCACTTCTGACTTATAAGACACCTTCTGCATGCATACCATGTACCTCCCAACTCCTATCACTATGCCAGGCGGATAGAAATCGGAAACCATTCATTTTAACTACCTGCTATTTCCCGTAATAAAAATTAAGGTCATATGGCAACTTTCCAGCTTTTCTGCTGGAGGAAGTACTCCGGTGCCCTTCCGTAAATTATTTCACACCCAAGTAGAACCACTGATGTTCCATAGCTTCCTCACATAAAAGAATCCTAGGTCCCTGCTGGGATTCGAATGCATACAGGTGAGGGGCAAGTGATTTAAAGTCAAGGACCTCAACCTCTTGGCTACAGATACCCCTCAAATTGTAAGTTTGAACTAACTTAGTGTCCTTCAATGTGCATGGTATATTGTAAAAGGTGTAGCACATCTTTATCAATCATCATTTTATCAAAATACCTGTACATATTTTCCTCATCATGTTTAGAAAATATATCTTACTTAAAAAGACAAACGTTTCATCTTTGGATTTTGTTAGAGGTACTTCAAATTAACGTGGTACTGTAGTATTTGTTTCTATCCTTATTGTCTCACGAGATGCCACTAGTGCATGATGTTTTTTGCCTCTTTCTCACAACTTTATCATGTAGTCCGATGCAAACATGAACTTAACTATATTTCTATCTTTTTTGTATATAAAGTTTTGCTTTGAAAACTAGAACTATCGCTGAATGCGATTCATACCCCCACCAAGGTCCTTGACAGAAGACGACTTGGAAAGGTGGGGAATAACTTTAGTGGCACAAATACATAAAAAGAAATTATCTCTGGTGAAAAAAAGACTAATTGTACAGGTAAATGAGGTAATAGTATAAATATATATTGTCAAATCATGTTCGAAACAGTTACAAATAACCTTTCATTTTCCCAATGTACTAAACATTTTTTAAGTCAATTTTTGACCTTCAAGTGTGGCCTTGACCTTAAGCTGGCACAAGGGTAAGATGGGTTCTGCACATTGCTCAGTTTAGGGGAACATTTGAGTAAAGTTTGAAGAAAATCCTTCCATTAGTATAGAATTTATAGAGAGGACACGACATATTGTCTAGCACTGATTGTATGTAAATTTAAAGAGTAAAAAAGGGCATAACTTTGTCAAAATGCAATACAGATTTATAAAATTTGACCTGCATATCTTATTTGTGACACCTCATATATCTTTAAAGTTTCAAGCAAACACCTGTACTAGTTTCAGAAATATTCAAGTACTTGTTAAAATTTAAGAACATTTTCTAAGTCAATAGTTGACCTTCAAGTGTGGCCTTGACCTTTAGGCGGCACAAAGGTAACATGGATTCTGCACATAACCTTGTTGAGGTGAACATTTGAGAAAAGATTCAAGAAAATTCTTCCTTTAGTATAGGATTTATAGAGCGAACACAACATATTGTCTAATATTTGATTGTATGTAAATTTGAAGACTTAAAAAGGGGCATAACTTTGTTAAATTGCAATACAGAGTAATGAAACTTGACCAGCATATCTTAATTGTGACAATTTATATATACTTTAAGTTTCAAGCGAATACCTTTTCTAGTTTCAGAAATATTCAAATACATGTTAAAATTTAAGAATATTTTCTTAGTCAATTTTGGCCTTCAAGTGTGACCTTGACCTTAAGCCACCAAAAGGGTGACATGAGTTCTGCACATTACCTTGTTGAGGTGAACATTTGAGCCAAGATTGAAGAAAATCTTTCAATTAGTGTAAGACTTACAGAGTGGACACGACATACTGTCTAATATTTGATTGTTTGATTTTTGACCTTCAATTGTGACCTTGACCTTGAGCTGACACATGGGCAACATGGTTTCTGCACACCCCCTTGTTGAGGTTAACATTTGAGCCAAGATTGAAGAAAATCTTTCAATTAGTGTAGCACTTACAGAGTGGACACAACATACTGTCTAATATTTGATTGTTTGATATTTGACCTTCAATTGTGACCTTGACCTTGAGCTGACACATGGGCAACATGGGTTCTGCATATCCTCTTGTTGAGGTGAACATTTGAGCCAAGTTTGAAGAAAATCTTTCAATTAGTGTAGGTCTTACAGAGCGGACACGACATACTGTCTAATAATTGATTGTTTGATATTTGACCTTCAATTGTGATCTTGACCTTGAGCTGACACATGGGTTCTGCACATCCCCTTGTTGAGGTGAACATTTGAGCCAAGTTTGAAGAAAATCCTTCAATTGGTATAGGATTTATAGAGCAGACACGAAAATGGGAGACGGACGGACCAACGCGACAAAGCGATTCCATTATAGCTCCCCCCACCCCCCACATTTTGTGGTGGGGTATTACAAATGTAATGAGATTAAATTCCTAATAAAACAGGACTTTAAAGATTTTAAATTTCTCCCATCTGAAGCCATGTTCCTAATACAATTTTTTTTTATAGAAAACAAGTGAAAAAGGTAATTGCCTTATTTCAAATTTTTCATTTACACAGCGTAAATTTGTTTTGTCATGAAACAAAGTTTTTATTCTTGTTGTCAAGCTACCTATTGTTCTCCTTACTTCCCAGTTTTAATCATTAATAGTTTTCTGAATCAAATATAAAACTAGAAGGGCTTTTGAGACAACAATATATGTCTCCCAAAACTGTGTATGAATCACTCATGTGAAGTTTCATTGAAATCCCACCAGTAGCTTGACCTGTGAAAGCCGGACAAGATTTTTCTATTTATAGCTCTGATGGCCATTTTGTGCAGCATAGCCGAATGTGCTGGTATTGTGCACAACTAAGGATGGTACTGATCACTCCAGTAGTTTGGTTGAAATCCCACCAGTAGTTTGACCTGTGAAGGCCGAACAAGATTTTTCTATTTTTAGCTCTGGCGGCCATTTTGTGCAACAATGCGGAATGTGCCTGTGATGTGCACAACTAGGGATGGCACTAATCACTCCTGTAAAGTTTGGTTGAAATCCCAAAAGTAGTTTGACCTGTGATGGCCGGACAAGATTTTTTTATTTTTTAGCTCTGGCGGCCATTTTGCGCAGTGAAGCGGAACATGTCGGTAATATGCACAACTAGGGATAGTACTGATCACTCCTGTAAAGTTTAGTTGAAATCCCACCAGTAGTTTGACCTTTGAAGCGCGGACAAGCTTAATGCAGACGGACTGACAACCCGACGTTCTAATGGGATAGTAAAAATGTGGCCAAAACTATTGTTCTTTTTAGCCATACAAAAGAAAATAGCCACATAAAAGCACTACGGAATGAATGACATCAAAAAGAAAGGACAGTTACCTATTGTCCCTCTAGCAACATTACTACTGCCCTGTTAGAGCAGGTGTACGGACAGAAGGCAAAAACTATATGTCTCCCAAAAATTTTGGGAGACATAATTCCAAAACATTACAGAAAAATCAGAATAGTATTCATGAAAGAAAAAGCACAAAACAAAACCCTGAAAAACTCTGCTCTCATACAAACTTTTAAAATTCATAAATAATTACTGAGCATGCCCTGGACCTAAATCTGAAGAAACTCAAACCTGCGCGCTAACATTTCGGCCAATAATTTATATTTCCTGCCGTCAGTTTATTATAAGATACAGGTTGACATGAAATTGCTTAACAGACAACCATCACAAAACTTTTAGACATACAAAAATAAGAAACAACATTTGTCTCTAGTAATTTTATTATTGCACTTTCCCTCGACAATTGCTGTCACATTTTTTGGAATAAAACATTTTCAAATCTATCTACATTCACTTTGTTTCTAGACAGTGAAAGTTACTTGTCCCTTTCGGTCTTGATGTCATACAATATAAAAAGTAGTAAAATAAATTTATTATATTCATATACCCTGTCACCAAATACATGGGAATCATCAGAAAACTTGTCATGTTCGCTTCTGAAAACTGTTTCACAATTCCTGGAAAATGTCACAAGCTTATGCAATTTTTGCATCACTAAACATTTTGAGGAAGAAAAACATGAAGACATACTAGGTAAGAATGATTTGGTGCATATTATCAGATTATAGTTCTTTCTGACTCATTATAACATTTTTAATGTTACACTAACTTTCATTATGTACAGGCTTTTTTTATTCTCTAAGCAGGAGTCCACGATGTTTCCGCACGGACCGCCTCACAGTTATCAGAGGAAAACATAACAGGTTCTGTGATTTAATTACTTTTGACAGAGTTATGGCATTTTGTCTTTCATATTTGTAATACATTTCCCTTCTGTGTGCAATTCCAAATACATTTTCCCAGCTTTTACAGAACTATGGTCATCAAGTGCCCTGGTGCCAATTATTGATGTTTTGTGAATTGGGCAATTTTAGTTGCCAATAGAAGAATTATGGCCCGTTGTTCACTTTAAAGTGAAATAGTTTTCTGGGAGTAACAAAGGATTTCAACCAGTCTTCTACAAAACTATTATCAGCAAGGCATTTTGGAATTCAAGCATTATTTTATTTTTTTTCATATGTAAGTAATTAAGGATTACTCTTTTGTGTAAAGTGTCTCCGAATTACTCAATGAACTCCAACCCATCAGTCACGAAATCCTGGTTATATGACAATTCCGGTTTATTGTTTCATGGTAAAATCAGGTTTCATTACAGAATATTTCTCGACATCAATCTTGTTTTACAGAAATTCTCCACCTGTTAACATGATCTGAGAGGCATATAATTGGAAAATATGCAGTCTCAGATAAAGTAAAATAACAGTTTCAAGTTTATATATAACATCCTTGCTTTCTGTGTTGTTGTGCCTAACTCTGTTATTTTGTATTGGGTCATGCAGCAGGATCTTGATACGTACAGAGTATAAGAACATCCTTAAATTTCTCTATCAGTGTAATAAGCTGAGAACGCCTCAAGTTTTCAAAGTACATTATTTCTTCTATATGATTTGTTCCTCCAAAATAAGGAAACAATCTGAAAAGAAAACAAACCAGAAATATTTCCAATATTAAATCAACACTGACTCCTTTTATGGATAAAATGACTGGTAGTAAAAAATGAAAGGCAACACTTTAAGTTAATAAATAAAGTAGCATAAAATAAATTGTTAACAAAACTAGCACAAAACTTGTATTACTAGAAGACCTTGGCTGCTTAAAAATATATATGTCATCCTTATATAAGTGGATATGTTGAAAATTGTTGAAATAATTACAACAACAAATCATTACAGAAACTAGTCTTTTAAATGGTCTGGAAATTGGGGTGATCTACAAATTAAGAGTAACACCGCAGAAAATGATGCAGAAAATTTGAGAATAATATTGACAGCAGACAACCATTCTAAACATACAGATTTCATGTTGCGTATAAAACTCAGTAAAATTACATAGAAAGAGCATATACTTAAACAAACTTTACCTAGCAAACATTCTAAGATCATCAAGATTTTTGGCAGCTGGAACATTCAGTATACACTCCTTCTCTTCTGCAGTGAGTTTCACAAACACAGATTCCTGCATCATCCAGTACATTTTATTCTCCTCAGATTGTAACGAGCTTTCTGCTGTAAACTCTGATGATGGACTCTTGGACAGTTGAGCAATGAGCATACCTGGTGTACTTAGTGTTATACTCTCATCACTCGTTACTATATAAATGTAAGACAAATGTTAAACAAGATTGAAACCTTTATATATCTTCTCATACTGCAGACAAGCAAGCACATGATAATTACTTTAATACTACTAGAAGAGAATGAAGAACATTTTTCTTTATTCTACATTTTAAAAGACCAAGTTAGAACATTCAATGAATGCAGTCCTTCCCTTTGTACAATTTTTTGTACTGTCATCATTTGTCAAAAATATGTCACACATGGAGCCTCCATCTTTAACATACCATTATGTTCAAAATACACGAGGAAACTTCCACTGCTTTAACTAAGGTTTTACAACTTGTGCTAAACTTTAAATTTATTATCCCCGACAGACAGTCTGGTTACTAGCGTGTGGGTAACTAATACGTGCACTATGCATGCATATTGATACCATCATGTTCAAAATACATGAGGAAACTTCAGTTAATTTAAGTATGCCTTAACAACTCATGCTTAACTTTAAATTTAAATAATGTTGTCTTACATTTTTCAATGTTAAAAATTTGTTCACAAATAACATCTTTTCTCTTTCACTACAGATCTTAAAGGGTAGATTATTGGGGTCATTCTTTATACATGTATGTTTTGGCTTTAAACTACATGTTGCTTCACAATGTTAAATAATGCAATTCATCTCATGGTTTTGTTTCTTGAAAACGTTTTAAACATTTTATTTCATTTAAACATCAATAGGAATTTACCAAATGACTATTGCTGAATGGTGTTCTATTTTTTTAGTATTTCATTTCTAGCAACTTTTAAGTTGTAGCAAACTATTTATTTGTATTTTAGCAAAATATGTAAATCAAGATCTAGAAAGCTACATTAACCTGAAGCAGCATCTGAGAAGCTAGGTGAACGTTGTAAACCTCCATCAAAAATACTCCAATCATCTGCAACAATCTGTACCTTTGCTGTCTCATCGGAGATCTTATGTTTTCTTCGACGTACAGGGGGCACAAAAAATACATACTGATGTAAATGATTAAAAAAATGGCCTTAACCCTCCAAACCACCAAAACTAACCTTCAAAACCGAAAAAAAAGCAGATTTTGTATTGTTTTCCAAAGGGGGCCTTTCCCTTTTTTTCAGATAGGCATTAAGGAATCATCAAAATGTTGTTTTTCATGAAAAGTAAAAAACAGATTATTTGATTATTGTTAGAAATAAAAAATGTTTTGAAGTCATTTGAAACAAACGAATTGGAAATAATAGACCCAATTTTTAACGGGCAAGATTGTTTTTGCCAGTTTACCAGTTAACATCATGTTTGATAATTTCCCTACTCAGTATTGGTTTTTCCAGCGGTTAAAAAATTAGAAACTGGCATCTCTTTCAAATTTGTGAAAGCTTGCCAATGATTGACTGAAAGGTCACAAAAAGGTGACAGTCTACTGGTGGTTGTCAGATTCTAATGCATACCTTTAAATCAGAGCAGATTTTAAATTCAGATTGTTAGGATATCCTTTCAGTCTATTTTCAACTAATCAAAAGACCGGCATAGCCTCAAAATCTGAACAAACTTGTTAAATGTTAACAAATGATGTCACATCCTAAACATTTTTGCCTAAAGCCTTGCTTTGCTGAGAAAAAGAATTAACAACAGCTGTCCAGCAGCAAACATCACTTTCCTCGATGTTGGATATTAAACTGCACATTTAGCATAAGCTAAAATTGAAGAGAATTTGAATCAAAGGTCACATTGATCTTTGAACCCTTAAATGGGTTTGGCCAATAGTACTCATCAAGATGCATCCCTTAAGATGCATCCGCCCATAGCTTTAAAGCTGTGATCCACCTAACCAGTTTCAATGACATAACTCAAGTTAGAAACTTTTTCAAAATTCATTGTGAGCTTGGTCTTTAACCTTTTAACCCAAAATGGATATGGTGAATAGGTTTTATTAACTAAGAGAAGATTTTATTTACTACAATTGTGGATGAAAGGCAATGACAGATGGACAACCATCAACCCTTTAAGCTAATAAGTGAGAGGCAAGTGATGCCCAACTGTCCACCATTGTATGATTAATATACCCTCCCTTTAAAAAAGTATTTCTATCGATATCTTACTGTACTGCCAGGATGGTTGATGGCTGTCTGTGTCTGTCGTAACTGTGTAGGAAACGAGAACTCGGCTAGTTCAACTGGTAACGATTTACCCGGAAACTGTTGTGTAAAATCTTCTACTAGTTTAGATGACCTTAAATCAAACAAACATCTTTTGAATTGATCTCTCATGCGATGTATATTCTTTTACTTATCTTAAAATCTTCAAAATGACAGAATGAAGTCAATCATTCATATACCACCCTGCAGATATTTAACATTTAAACAAAGTTGTCACATATTTCAATCATATGAGCTTATGCTAACCTATTTTATTTTTCTAAGATCTGGTATGTAGCCTTGTCTATAACACTTGAAATCAATTGGTTGAAAGTTTCACCAAAATAGAAATAAAAGTTTAAAAAGAAAATATCAAAATTTCATAACAAGAAAATAACAAAATGGAATGTGAGTGGTCTTTAATTTTTTTTATGGGAATATATTTTTTAAATTATTATACTGTATAAAAAGCTTAATATTTAGTGTTTTTCTGATGGTGAGAGGACATATATGTTTGTCTCACATAATGGGTAGATTATTACAGCTTTAGCCCAGTACACAAGATGACATACCAACTGAAATACCTGAAATATATAAACTAGCCCAGTACACAAGATGACAAACCAACTGAAATACCTGAAATATATAAACTAGCCCAGTACACAAGATGACATACTAACTGAAATACCTGAAATATATAAACTAGCCCAGTACACAAGATGACAAACCAACTGAAATACCTGAAATATATAAACTACACACAGATAAAACATCACTATACTACATGTAAGAGGCCTTCGAATGTAAACCCTTAACAGTACAACAATTATTCTTTTAAACTCTGATTAAATTGCACTAACATCACATTTTAACATCTATCACACACTGCAGTGAACATTATGAAAATTACAGTAATGATCCTCACCATTTATAAATATCCATGCCATAATGTTTCTATCATTTTGTTAAGTTTCAATGATTCCCAATAAGGTAATTTCAGGTTTGTACTGAATAAATAAAGTAGACACATATCACCTAAGTCAATCTTTCACTTGCCTATATCTCAGTTAGCTAGCAAACCTAACATTCTTTAATATTTAACAAGATGTAAAATTCTAAACATTTTTTTTGTTGTTACATTGAAATACATTATTATAGACTAGTGTAACCACAAATCACTATTATTTCCTCAGCAATAGAACTCAAATCTTTATCATATCTGATGATAAACAGACAGCACACACAACTATTCACTTGATAACAACACAAAAGTCAATCAGGAGTTATCAAAGTTGACAAAGGTAGATGAATACAGTAATAATTAATGCTAAAACTACGCTTCATCATCTTTGTGCAAACTTTGTTTCAGCTGTAATTTCTTCAATACTTTCAACCCCTTCAAAATTTTTACAACAGTGGTCATCCACTGGCTCTATTGCCATCAGTTTAAAACTGTGTTTAGCTGAATACTCAAGTTAATCCTGAAATAATTCAAAGCATTATCATGCTGTGATACAATACACATTACATATCCAAAACCCTCGTTTATTACTGACCTGAAACAAACTAAGATCCCGCTTCCAAATGGGAAGCCCTCTTTTAAACCTCCCCGGAAACGGGTTTGCAACCTTTTAATAAGTCACTTAATGCTGGGTACCCGTCTACCCGGTTTGGTGACTTCCCGTAAAACATTGCACTTTGTAGTAGTAATAAACCATGGTATGGTCTAAAAACAGAAATACAATATGCTTACTATTAAACTGAAGTTTTTTTTCAAGATAGACAAATGAATTATGAATCATGAGATGTACATGAAGTTTCAAATTAACCATTTAAACATGGTGTTCAATCATCATCCAATTATACAAGAAGCTGATTTGAGAGAATCCTTTCTTTTACGTAACCATTCATAACACTTATTATAATAGTTACTGTCTCATTCAAAGTATTTAAGTTTTCACAATCTACAATGAAAAGACCAATTAGAAAAAGATCTGCCAATAGGACAGTGTCCTCATATATTCAGTGCTGACAGTACAACGAGAACCTACATATTGCTGCAATATTACAAGAGGTATAATTCAGTTAAAACTAGAACTGCCACTATCATGGCGTGAATACCCCCGCATACCACTTTGTCAGAATCAACAGTGGCCATTTAGAGCTCAAGAACAACCTCCCTGCCAAATCTGAGGTTACTAAGCCAGTGCATTGCTAAGTTATGTATTCTACATGCTTCAAATGTGAAAATGTCAAAATCAATACATTGCGGACAGGACATTCTTTAGCAATTGAGAAGAAAAGCTTTTTTTGTCAAGGTCCCTGTGACCTTGACCTTTGACCCAGTGACCTCAAAATAAATAGGGGTCACCTTATAGTCATGATCAACATCCATGCCAAATATGAAGACTATGGGTCAAAGGAATCTAAAGTTAATGGGTGGACAAACTTTTTGAAGTCAAAGTCCCTGTGACCTTGACCTTTGACCTGGTGACCTCAAAATCAATAGGGGTCATCTACTAATCATGACTAACCTCCATTCCAAATATGAAGACTGTGGGTCAAAGGAATCTTAAGTTATTTGGCGACAAGGTTTTTGAAGTAAAGGCCGCTGTGACGTTGACCTTTGACCTGGTGACCTCAAAGTCGATCGGGGTCATCTACTAATCATGACTAACCTCCATGCCAAATATGAAGACTGTGGGTCAAAGGAATCTTAAGTTATTGGGCGGACAACCTTTTGGAAGTCAAGGCCCCTGTGACCTTGACCTTTGACCTGGTGACCTCAAAGTCAATAGGGGTCAGCTACTTATCATGACTAGCCTCCATGCCAAATATGAAGACTGTGGGTGAAAGGAATCTTAAGTTATAGGGCGGACAAGCTTTTTGAAGTCAAGGCCCCTGTGACCTTGACCTGGTGACCTCAAAGTCAATAGGGGTCATCTACTAATCATGACTAGCCTCCATGCCAAATATGAAGACTGTGGGTCAAAGGAATCTTAAGTTATTGGGCGGACAAGCTTCTTGAAGTAAAGGCCCCTTTGACCTTGACCTTTGACCTGGTGACCTCAAAATCAATAGGGGTCATCTACTAATCATGACTAACCTCCATGCCAAATATGAAGACTGTGGGTCAAAGGAATCTTAAGTTATTGGGCGGACAAGCTTATTTAGGTCAAGGCCCCTGTGACCTTGACCTTTGACCTGGTGACCTCAAAATCAATAGGGGTCATCTTCTAATCATGACTAGCCTCCATGCCAAATATGAAGACTAAGGGTCAAAGGAATCTTAAGTTATTGGGCGGACAAGCTTTTTGAAGTCAAGGCCCCTGTGACCTTGACCTTTGACCTCAAAATCAATAGGGGTCATCTACTAATCATGACTAACCTCTATGCCAAATATGAAGACTGTGGGTCAAAGGAATCTTAAGTTATTGGGCAGACAAGCTTTTTGAAGTCAAGGCCCCTGTGACCTTGACCTTTGACCTGGTGACCTCAAAATCGATCGGGGTCATCTACTAATCATGACTAACCTCCATGCCAAATATGAAGACTAAGGGTCAAAGGAATCTTAAGTTATTGGGCGGACAAGCTTTTTGAAGTCAAGGCCCCTGTGACCTTGACCTTTGACCTAGTGACCTCAAAATCAATAGGGGTCATCTACTAATCATGACTAACCTCCATGCCAAATATGAAGACTAAGGGTCAAAGGAATCTTAAGTTATTGGGCGGACAAGAAAAAACCGCCGGACGGCCGGACGGACAAGCTGATTCCAGTATACCCCCCTTACAACTTTGTTGTGCGGGGGTATAACAAGAACTATCTCTGAATGCTGTTCATACACTACAATTATATTCCAAGAGATATGTGTATAGTTTCAAGAAAATACATTCAGTGCCTAAATTAGATATAAAGTTGCATGCAAAATCTTAAGCAAATGTTATATAAATGCAAACACCTAGGTAAGTCAGATTTACAATTCTTCTAATTGTCTAACTAAAAATTACCTTAAGGACTTGAGGCTTTTCTGTATGAACTCTGGCTGCAAGATATAAATAACAATTAAATCAGATTATTCATGCTAGAGCAATTAGTTTGATGAATATCATCATTTAGTAAGATTTATAGTCTGAGACATGATTGTACAACATTATTAATTATTCTTTCAAATTTTGTTTCTTTTCTAATTTTACAAAAAAATCAGACTAACTTGATAATGGTGAAAATTAGATCTGTATTCTATGTTTTAAGAAAGAATATAGATTGATGTTTGCAATAATTTAGACAGATGCAAAATATTTTAGCAATCCATCAAGTAACGACAAAGTAAAAATAAGTCAGACAGAATTTGACCTTTGACCTACAAGTACAACTTTGACCTTGAAGGTGAGGATGTGAGTCTTGCACATAACACATTGTATACTCATTGTGATCATGTGTATCAAGTTATTTGGAAATTCCATCATGCATGACTGGATACAAAAGCTGCCTACATGACTATATGATAAATACACTAAAGTTCCATCCCTTGCTGTAACCTTGGCCTTTGAGTTTGGGACTTGGGTCTTGCATGGGTACATCACCTATTTATGGTGATCATGTGTACCTATTTATTTTAAAATCCAATAATGTATGCAGAAATGGACACATATACTATTTTGGTTTTGTAAACACATACAGAGAGCTTTCACCCCACCCCAACCCTCCATGATAAGTAGCTACACAGTACCTGTTTCTTAGAAGACTTGTATCCAGTTTGAAGATAGTGAAGTTTATGTGGTAAACAAAAGTTGATTTCAATCCAGTGATTCACATAAAAGTGTGCCAAACCATGTGAGTTAAGGCTGAATAAAAGAAGCAGTCATATAATATATAACTTAGTTACACTATCATTTACATTTCTAACCCAATGATTTTACTAATATTAGTACAAAATGTAAACATAAATTAAAATGAGTAAGAAGAATTATTGATTAAACATAAACTAAAACAAATGAAAGTTATATACAATTATAATTGTTGAAACTTCAAATGCATGTATCATACATAGCCATAAAATCAACATCTTTCTTTTTGATCAAAAACAAAATTTTAACATGAAACAACTTTTTCATCCTGTTTATAAATTGTTCAGCTAATGCTAAAATCTATTATAATTTGTATATAATAATGGACCTTGGTATTTGTACAAGTATAATATCCGATACTTCTCAAATATTTACTATTTTACAATGTTTAAAACATCCTGTCACTGCTACTGTCAGAAACTGTTATTCTATAAATCATAGATGATACATGTATAAACTTAACTAGAACTATCACTAAATGTGATTAATACCCCCGCAAGACTGCTTTGGAAATGAGGAAGTTACTAGTTACTAGTAACAGAATACCTCGCAAAAGAATTGAAATAAAGTTATGGTTGTGGGCAATTAAAGATAGTTGTGGTTCTTGTATGTTGCATTTCCTTTTAATGTGGTTGACTATTCATGAAGTTTTATTGAATTACTCTGTAATAAGTCCAGAAAGAGTTACGCTTCTTGAGCACTGCACTTCCCCTCATTGCACTTGACCATTATATGAAGATTCATTAAACATTAGTTTTTAAGTTATGCACCGGACAAGGAAAAGGAACAAAGGGCAATAACTCTACAAATACTGAAGATGGAGTTATGGTTATTGTACACTGCACTTCCTCTCATTGCCCTTAACCATTGTATGAAGTTGTACTGAATTCCAACTACTAGTTTTCAAGTTATGCACTGGACAAAAAAAGTAACAAAGGGCAATAACTGTAATTTGTCCAAATAGAGTTATGGTTCTTGTGCACTGCACTTCATCTCACTGCCCTTGACCATTGTATGAAGTTTCATTGAATTCCAACCATTAATTTTCAAGATATGCACTAGACAATAAAAAGTAACAAAGGGCAAAAACTCCTAAATGAGTCAAGTAGGAGTTATGGTTTCTGTGCATTGCACTTCCTCTAAATGTGCTTGATCATTGTATGAAGTTGTATTGAATTCCAACCATAAGTCTTCAAGTTATGGTCCGGACAAAAAAAAGCAATGGAAAAGTAACAAAGGGCAATAACTCTGTAATTACCTTAGATAGAGTTATGGTTCATGTGCATTGCACTTCCTCTTATTGTGCTTGACCATTGTATGAAGTTGTTTTGAATTCCAACCAGTAGTTTTCAAGTTATGCTCCGGACAAGGAAAAGTAACAAAGGACAATAACTCTGTAATTAGTCATGATAGAGTTATGGCTCTTGTGCATTGCACTTTCTCTCAATGTGCTTGATCATGGTATGAAGTTATATTGAATTCCAACCATAAGTCTTCAAGTTATGATCCGGACAAAAGAAAGCAATGGAAACGTAACAAAGGGCAATAACTCTGTAATTTCTTTAGACAGAGTTATGGTTCTTATGCACTGCACTTCCCCTTGTTGTGCTTGATCATTGTATGAAGTTATATTGAATTCCAATCATTAGTCTTCAAGTTATGCTCCGGACAAGGAAAATGCAACGGACCGCTGGACACTGAATCAATGACAGCTCTAATTCCCATGTATATTCTACTGGTACAGCGGGCATATGGTCCAATAATGTATATTTGAGCCTACAAACTTTTATATAACTATTAACAAATGAAAAAGTTTGATGGTTACCTGTCATATATTTGTTGCAACTGTCTGCCAAGTTCACTTTTCTGTATTATAGTCTCATATGGTGATGTTAACATATCTGAAATAAACACAACTTTAACATTGGAAGACCAATCTAATGATTCATTCTGTTTGAAATGATGTTTTCAATTTTATTTTACAACAAGGAATTAGTATAATTTAGTTTTCATTTTAAAGGAACACCCTTCTATAGACTTTTCATCCCAGATTACACAGTATGAAAGTAATTGCAATGAGACCAACAAATGAAATTTACCTTCTGGGAGTGATGGTACTTCTTCATGTTCTTTTGTCATGATCTTAGCCTGTGTTGAAAGATACTGACATCTCTTCTCTTCATGCTTTAATGCCACACTTAACTGTTTGGCTAGATCTTGGTAACATGATACAATCCATGGTCCATGACTTGCCTATAACATGACAACAAGATTAAATTGTCAGTCCATGACTTGCCTGTAACATGACAATAAGATTAAATTGTTGGTCCATGACTTGCCTATAACATTACAATAAGATTAAATTGTTGGTCCATGACTTGCCTTTAACATGATAATAAGGCAAACTAGTCAAATCGGCCCCAAGTCAGATCGGCCCCAAGTCAAATTGGCCCCAAAATTAGTCAATTCGGCCTCAAAATTAGTCAAATCGGCCACACAACAATTTGAAAAAGTCAAATCGGCCCCAAAACTAGTCAAATCGGCCTCAGAACTAGTCAAATCTGCCCTAAAGTTATTTTTATGAAAAATCCTATTTCGGTTAAAATAATGTTATTAGCCAAAAATTACAAGATTATTAACTGAGAATTGCACTTTAACATAAATGTACCAATTAAAAATAATTCATTACAAAATTGAGACAGTTTTGATGCTGGTGATAATTGTTATTGATGTAATTATGCAGGTGTACTATGGTTGTTGATTGATTTCTACATTCAATTACAATTAAATATCTATATATAAAGGTCGGTCTACGTTTTGAAGATAAAAATTATGTGAAAAACAAACAATTATCACGTGTCTTTAATCAATTCAATTCAATTCAATATCTTTTTTGCATTAAACATTTTACAATGCTTATAGCACATACAAATATATACATTGGCAAATGAAAACATATCCAAAAAGAGAAAAAAGCATACAAATTCAGTCATTGTCTCAAATAATCATGCATTGAATTTGGCTTTTTTAACAAACAATTTTGTGTGAAGTGAATTTAATCAGGTATGTATGTGTTTTGTTCTTGTTTTCTATGTAATCCATTGTCAGTCATTTGGTATTCCCATCCACACAATTGTTTTTTTATCAACATTTAAATAAGAAAATGAATAATGAATCAAGAAAAAAAATTGGGGCCGATCTGACTTGAGGCCAATTTCACTTGGGGCCGATTTGACTATTTTGGGGCCGATTTGACTTGGGGCCGATCTGACTTGGGGCCGATTTGACTTTAATTCATAATAAGATTAAATTGTTGGTCCATGACTTGCCTGTAACATGACAGTAAGATTAAATTGTTGGTCCATGACTTGCCTATAACATGACAATAACATTAAATTGTTGGTCCATGACTTGCCTATAACATGACAATAAGATTAAATTGCTGGTCCATGACTTGCCTATAACAGGACAATAAGATTAAATTGTTGGTCCATGACTTGCCTATAACAGGACAATAAGATTAAATTGGTCCATGACTTGCCTTTAACATGATAATAAGATTAAATTGTTGGTCCATGACTTGCCTATAACAGGACAATAAGATTTAATTGTTTGTCCATGACTTGCCTTTAACATGATAATAAGATTAAATTGTTGGTCCATTACTTGCCTATAACAGGACAATAAGATTAAATTGCTGGTCCATGACTTGCCTATAACAGGACAATAACATTAAATTGTTGGTCCATGACTTGCCTATAACAGGGCAATAAGATTAAATTGCTGGTCCATGACTTGCCTATAACAGGACAATAAGATTAAATTGTTTGTCCATGACTTGCCTTTAACATGATAATAAGATTAAATTGTTGGTCCATGACTTGCCTATAACAGGACAATAAAATTAAATTGTTGGTTCATGACTTGCCTATAACAGGACAATAAGATTAAATTGTTAGTCCATGACTTGCCTTTAACATGATAATAAGATTAAATTGATGGTCCATTACTTGCCTATAACATTACAATAAGATTAAATTGTTGGTCCATGACTTGCCTATAACATGACAGTAAGATTAAATTGTTGGTCCATGACTTATCTGTAATGTGACAATTACATTAAACTGTTGGTCCATGACTTGCCTACAACATGACAGTAAGATTAAATTGTTGGTCCATGATTTGCCTATAACAAGTAAATGGACTCTATTATGTTTTAATCACTAAGACTGACAAACAGGTGACATACACTTGATAAAAATAGCTTACCTTGAGCATGTTGTCCTCTGCTAATGACCTGTTTGTTTTGTTTGGTTTTACAGGGCACCAATACAGTTTAGTTCATATGGCTCTGAAGCAGGACTGATGATTTTGGCTAATGTGTGTGTTACAAACTTTAAAGCAACAACAGGGGTCAAAAACACCTCACCTGCTGGAGCTAAGAGATGCATAAACTCCAATAATTTGAACCCATTTAGCCTCTTACGATCATGCAGGGTTTAATGGTGGCTGCAATTCTGATGTCTCAACCTATTAAGGCAAGTCCTCTTCCACAACAGGATGCTGGTGAGCTAAAAAGACAGGTCTCAAAGCTTTGCACACATTACGTGATAATATGTAAGCAAATAGTAAATACCTCAAGAACAAAGGCAATGTTGAAAGAGAGAATTTGATGTCCAGTTTTTCCACTGTCAGGTACATCATCCAGAAGTAAAGGGAATCCTACGAATCTAACATCTTCTATCTTTAAATCAAACACTTTTCCACATAACAATGATGACTTCACACCAAGAAGTAAAGCTAATGTCTCATCATTTAATCTGTATAAAAGTTAAAATTGAAAATACAGAATGTTAAACTAAAATCACAAATTTTATTGTAACGATATTTCACACTTAAAAATTTATATATTAAAATTACTTCACTGTGAAATTATCAACACAAATTTTCAATGTCCACTGAAAGGCATGTAAAAAATTGTAAATGAATATATTGTTTTAAACATAATCATAATGGTAATTCTTTTGTAAATAAACAATTCGGATACATATTCAAGGATTGATTTTATTTTTGTTGTTATCAATTAATTAAAGTAACATATCACTTTGTAATCAAAATCATCAAATGCACAATATTTCAAACCCAAATATCTCTCAAATAGCTATATATTTCAGCTGAGCATATACAGTAAATTATTATGAAATATAAATGTAATTATTTGAAGGTGTATAAACTTGAAATGTGTCCTTAGGACAATAATGCCCTAACTTCAGTTGCTGTTTGACAGTGGAATATTTACAAATTGTATATGTATATTTTATGAAAGTCAAGTGATAAAATGATACCTTATATACATGCATTAATAGTGTTAGAACTAGCAAGTTTCACAAACCTATAACTCATGAAGCTCTGCTTCTTGAATAAATATTAAGTACTTCATGCAAAGCTGTGACATTGACCTCATGTAGGGACTTTCTTTGAGCTATGGACACTGTCCCTACAGTTTCAACAATTAAGGCTACTAAATTTTTGAGTTGTTGATAAGACAAAGAAGTTGCACAAAATGTCATGGTGACCTTGACCTTTGGCTCACTGACCTCAAGCATCAGTACTGGATATAGGCAATGTCCCTACTAAGTTGGTTAGCCTTATTCATTCTCAAGGGCTACAGCATTCTTTAGATATTGATCTGACAATTTTTAGTGGTCAAGTTCACAGTGACCTTGACCTTAGACCAACATACCTCAAAATCAGTTACAATCATCTACTGGCTATAGAAATATCCCTAACCAAGTTATATAAACCATGGCTTTATCCAATTAGTTATTGATATCACAAGGAAAAGATGACATACATAAATATAAACTGATGGACATATAGACAGATCCCATCACAGTATGTTTCCACTTTTTTAAGTGGGGCATAATAACTGCCTATTTTAAAGTTATAAAGGGCCATAACTCATAATCCACAAATGGAATTAAATTGTATTGTATATTCATAAACTATATACTAGTCAAGACAACAGTATTATCTTACCCAGTAAGTAATCCTTGTTTTGTTGTTATATGGTCTCTGAAATATAAACATTTAATATAGCAATTGATAGAAAAATTACTTTTACAGCTGGATTATAAATAAATAAGATAAGCACTTAAGTGCAAGTAAGAAAGAAGATTTTTTGAAAATTATTTCAAAATCTCTCACTTATAAAGCTGGTATGACAAATTAACTTCAATACTTTATATTTTACCAGTGTGACACATGTGACCTTGACATAATGATCTTGTTCTAGTGTGTAACCCATGCATTATTTTTTGTAGAGTATTCAGAAATAATTAATCAATTAATAATAAAAGAATTAAAAGTACTGACATATTTAAAAAGCTATGAAAGGATTGAATTTTAGCATTGATATGCTGCTGGCAGATTACAAAACAGGTACATGGTATAGATGTTGTGAAAGTATAACCCTTTTGTTGCTGTGAAACAAAAATTGAACAAATTGTTTCCAAATGATGAGATATTGTTTTAAAATTTGTTGATAAAGCAATGGATGATCACTTCATGGATCATAGAGTTCATAAAGGCTCAGCTCATAGGGTGGACTGGGCACACCTGTGTTGTCTCTTTTTATTATTCTAATTTTTATTATTATTATTATTATTCTAAGCTCATTTGTGGTAAGCTGAAATTAATAAAACATATAATGACTTTTTTAATAATGTAAAATGTAAAGTACAACCACTTACTTTCTTCGTGATATGTCCTCTGTTATTTTCACAGCATATGGATTTTTAACAGTAGCTGCAATAAGGAAAGAGGTTAGAAGTATTGATTCATGATAAGTTAGCAAATCACTAACATTTACATTTTTCTTTGTTGGAAATCATCATCCGACAGAAATTAAAATTAGCTTTAAACAAGATTATCTTATAAAAAATTATAATTATAAGAAAATAAAAACTACAATAAAATTACAATGACTCTGAACACATCAATTTTTTTTTTCCCCAAAATATTTAATGTTGAATGTATTCTATCAGGCTGGTGAAAATGCCCAATCAGGCTTATGACATAAAAAATCACATTACTTCATCAATCAGAGAGACATTTGTTTTCTTTGCTAAACAACGATTTATATGTTTTGAAGTTTTGCCTGTTATTTAAAGTTACATAAGAGAACTTGCGACTTTCAAAAATACATGTAAGCAACACCTGGGGAATTCTAGTTTGAATATCCTTGCGCAATAACTAAGATCCCATTTAAGGTAAATCAATACTTCGGAAAATATTTTTGCAGATGACACGGAAAAGGTTGGGAAGTTCTGTTTGTCTGATAAAACTATCTTAACATTGCTTTATGGTACTGAATTATATTCAAAATAAAAAAGGTCCGGAAAACTGCTATGAATTTTTGAATAAAGGTGAAAAAGGTGTTACATTTCAGGCCTATATTCAAATTAAAAAGTAAAATGAAAGTGCAACAATAAACACATGGCAATGCTTGACAGGTACCTTACTTTGTCCTGTCAAAGTTTTGTACCCCTCCGTAGACTGATGTTTATTTTATTTGTTAAAAAGTGTGATTTGTGGCCGGAAACTGCTATGAAACCAGTATACAGATTTTAGTTTAAAGTAGCTCCAAAAATTTACACAAACGTAGAACTTGAAAATCTTACATAGATCAACCTGGCCACTTAAAATGGAAAAATATGAAGAAAAAAACAATAAAGGAATTTGAACACAAGTAATTGGTATAGATCAACATCAAATGGTATAAAGATCTAAAAAAATATGACCAGGCAGTCCTGTCATGTCTAAAAAAACTTCAAGCAATCCCTTTAACATTTCAGATATATCTGATACAATATTGGTATAATTGAAAGTGTTTTTTTCATTTTCTCATTTAGTTGTGAGCAGAAAAATTTCAGCTAATTTGAAGACTGCTTGATTTTAAAGCTGCATGCCTCCAGATGAGTCAAAATATTTCAATAAAATCAAACCTGAGAAAAATGTACTAAGATGCAAGAGAAAGTAAGAAGTTTCAAGATTCAAGTAATATTTTTATATCTTATGTGCGATTTATGACTGATTTTCAGTATTTACAACTATATTTCTAATGAGTTACTAACGCAGTAAAGGCTATTTACGCATATTTTAACCACTTTTTGGTAATTTACGTGGTTTGTAAGTGCCATTGATAATGTGTAAATTGCTTCCTTTTGGTAACTTCACAATATTACACATTCAAATACATTTTCAAATTTTTCATGAAAATTAGCATGAATCTGGAGGCGTGCTGCTTTAAAGAAAAATTCTAGAGGGCGAATAAGCCTCTGTTGTGTGTCAGGTGAAAAATCAAAACTTTTCAAAAGTGAAAATCAATTGATGTATATGTATATCTGATATTATAGTGATTTATTTCACTGTCAATGAGGTCATTTATATCTGAGATAGAGATAGACTGAATAGACCGAGTGTATGTTTGGGTCGAGTTAACTCTGGGACGAATTCATGAGGCTAACATTCAACATTTTTAATAATTTACCTTTCCCCGCATCAGTTGCTTCGTGGCGTTCCCATGGATATTTGAATAGAAGTCGATCACCCCGTGTTCCTGAAGTGACAAGAATAATTGACTTTAATTCTAGACTTCCTTCCTCGCTCATTTCACCCTTTTTCGTATAGGCTTAACGACACTAAATGTTGCTCGGTGTAAACTATAACATCTCGTTAACCATGTACAACAGCAGATATTTGCCACAGGTGCTCGTCCAGTCTTGGTGCCCATATAAAAAAAAAATGAAGTTAAAAAAACCAAAACAAAAAAACCCATCAAAACAACTATTTTGGGTTGGGTGTAAGAAAAAAAAATTGAAGTAAAGTAATTGTATATAGGAAAACAAATTTTTTTTTCAATTTTTTTTTCTTACACTCAACCCAAAATAGATCTAGAAATTTTTGTTGTTTTGATTTTTTTTATATGGGCACCAAGACTGGACGAGCACCTGTGATATTTGCCTGTCAGTTCATAAACTTATTTGAGATCATAATAGGTAACTATATATGTAGATAAGGTCAATTTACTGCCTATCTATTTACTCATCCTATATTTACAAACACAGTTGTAATCACTGTAGTGTATAACTAACTGTACATTTTCATTCATTCAGGCATAATTACATGGCATCATTTTCATTCATCATTATAAGAATTATGGGTAATGTACGTCTCTTGTTCTTGTTGTGAGTTACTTTGCTCAGTGAACTGTCTCTTGTTATGTTCTTGTTATGTCCTGTGTTGTTAAGTGATGTCCAATAAATATCTTGTATATTTGTTAAGTAAGAATGTGATTGGATGAGAGTGATTTCATATCATTTTATGCACGGGCAATTTACATTCCTTTTCTAAGAAATCATTTTCAAACTTTGTATTGTAGAGTTAACTGCAGTAGTTCTTCATAGAACATTAATAAATATTGTCTTTATATAAATTAACTTTACGTTTGTTCTTTATAGAACGGATTTGATATTTATAATTTTATATAATAGAGGTCAGCCAGTTGCACCTGGTAAGATATGTTTTACTTTAAATTACTTAAAATAAATGTAATGAAATGTATGAATTAAATAGTTGGAATTATTTGAAATATGAAATGTTGAAATGATATTGATATTGAATTTGTATTTTAATTTGTGTTTTGTATTTCATGTATTTATAATTGTTTATTCATTTTATAGGTTTTCATTTACACATCATCAAAATAAATATTGAACACCCAGTCAGAGTTGGTCGTATATTCAATCCAAACCATACTCTACATATACAAGGTCCATAAGAAAAGTCACACTCACCTTTATGTCATCCCGGGTTATAGGGTCATGTAAATGTCTTGGCACATCTTTCATTATATATCAAGAGGTATTTGATACCATTTAAAACACAGACACTTGGTGTGTGGAGCTCAAAACGCCTTTAAAATACAAATAAAATGTAAAATTGTTATTATTATAAAAGAAAAATGTGCTTGGATTGACAAATATACATTTTATTTGGATTTTTAAGGCGTTTTGAGCTCCACGCCCCAAGTGTCTGTGCGTCAAATGACTTTCAAAATGATAAATTATTTTTTACAGTGTTTTAGTTTTTCTTCTTATCACCAGTCTTAAAGTTTCAAAGTCATAATTAATCCTTCATTATGTTTATTCAACTCACGATTATAATTTTATAATTTTGTTACTAATTTTGCAGAAGATGGTATCATATTCGATATTTTGACGAACCGCGTTTTGTACCATGATGATGAGGAAGTCTATAATGAGGTTCCATTAGCCCTTTCAGGCACTGAATGCAGCTTTTGCCGTCTAATACGGACCCTCAACAGTCACCAGACATGCCCTTTTGAAGCACAAAGTGGTGATACAAGTTTCGGTTTTCTTTTACGCCTTATCAAGTTCTTCAAATCTTATTCGATACCCTAGCTGTGCATTCTCTGCGACGTGCACGATTCGAGGGGAAGAGAGAAGCATTTTGTACCAGGAAATGCCATATATTTATATGTTCTAGCCACGGACTTTAAATAATGTAATTAAAGTCATTGACTCTAGCATAGATTCAAACAAAGCATTAAATCAAATATTTGGGAGTGAGATGTGTTAGCAGGCCATCATCAGTGTTTCAATAGAAAAACCTTTACCTTGAAGTGATCTTTGCAGACATACAGTACCGTACTTATTGTAGACAGTTAAACAAAAAAAAAAAGGAAGACAATTATAGATTAAATATAGAATAGGGGTTGTTAAATCTCTTGTTATAAGGTGTGAATGGAAAAGATACTGACTGTCACTGGTAAATTTTAATTTGTTACGTTTAGTGTTCATTTCGCCGTGCACTGTTTGTCAATTAGACGCGGGAAAATTAAGCTTAATGTCCGCGCATGCGTCGATTATCGTTTGTTTCCGTAGCGTCTGTTATCGTCTGTTATTGTATTGTATCGGATGGTTCCGTACCGTACGCTTATTAGCGGAAACTCACGGATAGATCATACGTCTGATTCTATTCAACTATGTTAGTATCGTATGAACAGTTTTTGTATGTCTAATTGTGTTGTACGAAATGAGAGAAAGTTTTACATTGGTTTTTAACATTTGATTTCTTCCAAATTCCCGCGAACTATCCTTTTCCAACTTACTTCGTTTTTAGCTCGACTTTTCTATGAAAAGGGGAGCTATCCTACTCGCCCCGGCGTCGGCGTCGGCGTTGGCGTCGGCGTCGGCGTTGGCGTCACACCTTGGTTAAGTTTTTCGTACCACCCCACTTTATTTCAGAAGTATTACAAGTATGGCTTTGAAACTTACCATACTTGTTCACCATCATAACCTCCATCTACAGACAAGAGTACATAACTCTGTCAAGGTTTTTGACAGAATTATGGCCCTTTTTTGACTTAGAAAGTGTATTGAGCTTGGTTAAGTTTTTTGTACCACCTCACTTTATTTCAAAACCATTGGAGGTATTGCTTTGAAACTGACCATACTTGTTTACCATCACGACCTTCATCAACAGACAAGAGGACATAACTCTGTCAAGGTTTTTGACAGAATTATGCCCCTTTTTGACTTAGAAAATACATTGAATATGGGTAAAATCCACTTATTGCCTTAACCCTTTGAGATATTGCTTTGAAACTTTTAATGCTATTTCACATCATTACCCCCATCTGTACGCAAGAGAAGGTAACTCTGTCAAGGATTTGTTTTAAAAATTAAGGCCTTTTATCGACTTAGAATCTTGGTTAAGTTTTTAGTACCAGTCCACTTTTTGACTGAACTGTTTGAGATATTAATTTGAAAGTTGGAATACTTGTTTACAATCATGATTCCCAAACATGTCCAGGAGAAGGTAATTCTGTCAAAGATTTTATTTGAATTATGGCCCTTAACTGTCAATGTTTTGTATTATAGGCAAGCACTAAAAAACTTAAAAAATCTAAAAAAATTCATTCCTATCCACTTGTTCACTTTACCATAAATTATGTCATATAAACATTGCTGTAATATTCAAGGGTATCAAACAACTAGTTATTTTTCTCTTTTTGTACTTGAAATTAAAATCAGTAGTATATGCATATTTCACATTTTATCTCGCCTATTTGATTGGCACAATTCAGTAAAATAATTCTTCACTAAATATCTTAATGCTCATGGCCATTGTTCACTTTAAAAATACAGAGATTCTTGTATTGCCTTTTACTGCAAAAACTTTTTTTATTGGCAAGCAATAAAAAAGTCGAGCGCGCTGTCTTACGGACAGCTCTTGTTATTCTCTCACGAGTATTCTATTAATATATAAATTCTATTCGTTTATTATTGATAGGAAATATCTTATTATTAAGATATTTTCATCTTTAATTTAGACGCTTTGGTAGGTCTCTTTTCATTTCATTCATTTATACTTGAAATAATTCTTATTTGCATAGCTCAATTGCTATATGCTTTTAGGCTTTTCCCATTGAATTGACGAACCTTCGCCAGGAGTTGTAGACATTATTCTACCCTGTGACATTGGTACAGGAAGCCAGAGTGAGTTGACGTCGGAAAGTGGCACACAAGAGAATTAATTTTCCCGCGTCTAAGCACAGCGAAATCAACATTTAACGTAACAAATTAATCGACCCGTGCCATTTTCCCCTGCTAAGAGAAAAATGGCTTCTGACATTTTCTTAACATATAAAAAGAACAAAATTAATTTTTTTCAGAAAAACTGCATAAGAAACAAAATATCAAATGATTTGTGAAAATAAGAAAATATGTCTGCAAAATAAGGATTTTCCTTATTTTATACTATTTATTGAACTTGTTTGCAAATCTGTCTTCCACAGAAATGCAGAAACGATAGACTTCTTTTATTTATTTGTTTGTTTGTTTATCTATCTATCTGTCTGTCTGTCTGTCTGTCTGTCTGTCTGAAAATTTTGAAATAAATGGTGCAATTTGGTGCGTTTTGGGGCCTCCGGAGAGCTTTCTTGACCAACGAAAATCCATTTATTTTAGCATAAAAATGGAGATGAATAGCTTTACTTTCGTTTATTTCAACTAGTCTACATTTCACAGCAAGTCTAACTTGAGGCCTTTGCTGGCCGCAAACTCGTTAATGATAATATCAATATCTATTTCCATGTGTCTGTAGGCGTGCAACAGGGCTAGTCCAGACATCCGTTCTGTGAGCATCGTTGATCTCATGTAGTTTTTCAGGCGTCTCATGATACTAAACTGCCTCTCGGCGGTAGCGGTAGACACTGGCATCGTAATTAGTACAACTAGACAGGTGAAGATGTCTGGATACAGAGTCTTGTTCGTAGCCTTCAATGACTATAGAATCAATTTGATTTCGAATATTTAAAGCATGGATTGCAATGAATGTAATGTAAAAGTTTGAAATCATACTGTCCTTGAATCTTGAAAAGTTTAAACAAAATTAAAAGTTTCAATTGTTGTCATCATTAACTATACATGTATAACTTAATATGTACTGACTATTGTTTGTAGCTTTTTATGTTAAAAGCATGTTAAAGTAAACATACATGTACTAGGCTCGGTTGCATCGGTGCCTTTTTCAGACAGCCCAGTTTTTGGACCTACGCTGAAGAAGCTGTCAATTCTCTTCTGTGCCATATTTTTTGCGTAATTAGAACCTGGAAGAATAAATTGTGGCTCCGTACATGTATGAAATCGGAATACTTTTGACCTTTATGCGCTTCCGTAGATGAAAAAAATGACGAGCGTTGTGTTTACCAGAAATGTTTTTTTCATAAAAATTCCATGTATCAATATAACTAATCTACCAAGAAGGAACTATTTCAAAAATGCAGGTTAATACGACAAATGCACCAGAATTTTTCACATTTGCATCATGAATTCACTGATTCAGGTTGGTTAGTTCAAAATGTTGTCAGTCTCGCTAGAATCGGTTCACAGACATGGTCAAACATGTCATTACTCAACAAACAGACCGAAACAAATAAACACTAGGCATACATAGTAACATTTTAGTTATAATTACCTCTTTTCTATCGCTGATTCTGCTGATGACTTCTTTAAGAACTCGATGTAAACATTTGTTTACATTTCGAAAATACGGCGCGTGCAAACTTCCGACTTTGATGAGCTGCAAAGGCCGACAACTTTTCAAAAAAATACTACGGTATGGTGTACGATTTAGGCTATATGATTTATAAAGTATTCAGTGTGGTAATTATCAGATCTGGCGAACGCAGCTGAATTTCAAACCACATTTTTTTTACTAAAAAATTTTTTTTTGTCAAAATAATGTGGATTCAGCTGCGTACTTGCGTATAGGCAGCTACGCGCCTGTCATTCATTCATTCATTCATTCATTCTGTGCAGTGCTGATATACTTCATCTCTTCTATCACTTTATCTTTTGTTCTTTGCTTAACTTGTCTGGAAAATGCAATCTATATTATATATTCTGATTTAAAATTTTCACCAATTATTTTATATTTTGTTCTTTATGTAACTTGCCTGCAATTCTGTCTGCAAAGTGAAGATTAAACTAAAGTTTCAAACTGTGTTCTTTTAAACATAAGATTTTATAAATAATAGTTCTTTGTAGTATTAATTAGATCAGTATCTTTCCCATTTCCACATTAGACAAGAGATTTCACACCCCTTATATAATCTATATTGTTTCAAAATTGTTCAAAACGATCTTGTTTGTGACGACAACGATATATGTGTCATGGAATGCAAAAATGGGGTTTCTTGACCAAATTTTTGATTTTCACTTTTTTTAATTTTCTAAATCTATGAAATGTCAGAAGTAATTCCTGAAAATTTGAAGGTCGTGTCTTTCTTATTTACAAAGATATACATAATTTTGTGAGTATGGTGTCCAGTAAGTAATTAAAAATACACATAAAAATCTTTGATCTTTGTGATGTTTAAAGGTGCATGAGGAAAACAATTTTTGAAGCTAAAATGAATTTTGTGAAAAAATTGTTTTATGTTATTAAAGTTAAAAAATGTTGTAGAATTTTTTTGGAATACAGCCACCATAATTAAAGTATCATTTACATTATGTTGCCTAGCAACGGACCTATTCCTGGGTTCTTTCTGGCCTTTTTCGTGTAACAAGTTAGGTGCTAGGTTTATTTTATAACACTTGCAAGTATCAATTCAAAATATATTCTTCTTTCACATTTGCAAATGGTTCTATTGCATTTCTACAGTGTTAACAGGACATATTACTGTTGAGAGATATCATAATACAACTTCAAAAGAACTAAACACAGTGTCCATTTATCATTCATTTATTAACTTTATTCAGATATTTACTCTGACAGCAGACAACAGTTTAATACAACAGTAAATGAAAGATGACTCAAGTATAACATCATCAAAGGTAGTAACACTAAATAAAGGGCATCATTACACAAATACAACATGAAGGAAACTATATTCTGTTACCTAGCAACCATGGAATATCCTAAATTTTTGTAATTTATTTTGTAAATATACAAATTTCTTGGTAAAATACAGCTAACAAAGCAGCAGAAATAAATAAATTTTCAATAAAATTATAAACAATGCCTATTAATTACTTTTCAATAATTTTCCATTGAAGATATAACATACAATCCATGTTCTGTACACTTGACTAGTGTTAGTAAGTCATGCAAATTTTAGCAGAACTCAGTATTTTTGCCATGTATATTGCTCTGTATGTTTTACAATAACCAATAAGCATTTGATCAAATCACTGTTACTTTCCATATTACATAAATATATCTATCTGCTGTATAACTGATTTACATAATACCTAAGCAATAAGTAAAAATTAATTAGTGTTGCCAAGCAACCACAAAATCTTCCATAATTTCCTTTTAAATTTTACAAATTTTAAGTTTGATTAAAAAAGATCTCAAAATACCATGAACAAAGCAGCATGATTACAAAAAACAAATTACAACTATTAAAACTGCAAATAAAATTTTAATAATAGTTCTTGGATCAAAGTATCCTTAAACTCACTTTACTATAGGTTTTGAATTTATATAGATGATATACATAATTTCATAAAAGTATGTTCAGTAACATCTGGTGTTAACTACACTGTTTCACAACAAACTTTGAAAGTAAGGACTTTGAATTAACTAGCATTATATTTAATTAAAATGACATAAAGATAATTCCTACAAAAAATGTTCATTACTTAAAACTGTCTCTGCATATAATTAGGTTGCTTAGCAACCAATGAATAATAATTATTTTTTTTATAAATTTCTAAATTTCCAAATTTTTACAGGCATACAGGAGATTACAACTTAGTTAAAAATAGCAATTTGTGCTATTATAAAAATATGAAAACAATACCACAAATAATGTGTAACTGAACTTAATAAGGTATTCAGAGAACAGCCTGCCTCACCATTCCTTAATAATATAAATTAAAAATGATACTTCTAATATCATGTTCACAACATTTATTTTCAGGTACATTTAAGGTTCTATATTTTAATATTTTATAACTTAGTGATGATTATTTTTCAATTATTTTCAATGTGATCAAACATATAAAGTATTTTCATTCTGATGCACCTGTTTAAAATCCTTCCCAACTGAAGGGAATATTGGTTGCCTAGCTACCATTGAATATTCTTTGATTTTGCTGCTTCTTTTAACAATTTTAAGGATTGGTGATAATTTACAATGTGATTCTACACTAATATCAACATAAATATTCAACTGACCTATCATTGTTATAGATCATATAGATTTCATATTCTACAACTATAAAATGTTTAAAATTTGACAACAAGTACTGAAGCTTAATGTTACTTTACATTTTCATACAGTCATTTTCAATCTAGATTAAAGCTTAAGATCAGTTGACAGTTGATCAATTCATAACATGCATAGGTTCAATAGAATTCTATAACTTAGAGTAAAATGACAAATGTTGTATTACACTAAACTTAATTTAATGATGGAAATTAGTAACTGGTAAACTGACATCCAAAAATAATATAGGCAGCCATTAAATAATATCTATGCATCAATGATCCACACACTTGTTAATATAGCATTAGTCCTAAGAGCAACAGTTATGCAACACACTTGCAGTCTTATCTTATGAAGCATCTACTTGTATCATAAGCTATATTTGAAATGAAGAAAATAATGACAGTCCATACATGACCACTATGTTATAGGAACTCCAATTATACTCAAGAGTAAAAGACTGCTCTTTCTCTTTCCACCTTTTTCACATAATTGTCAATATCCAACTTTATTTCTGTTATCGGGATAACTGGTTTTTGGCCACACAGTATTTTAGCTATGTCAGATTTGAAGAACTGCCCAATTTGTTCAAATAGATACTAATGTCTTGCTGCATCATTACTGTACTTCAGGTAAAAGACCTCTGGGAGGCAATTGTTTCAGTAAAAACATTTTTACCTCCACAGAGTTAATATATTCTTTACATGTTATAACACTTGGCTCCATTGCACTTGCACAAAAATGGTGGTATTTGGATAACAGTTTGAGGGCTTAACTTAAGAAATGACTTCATAGGGATTTTCTGGATCATCTTTAAGCTGTAGGATATTGTGCCCATATCTTGATGACTTCAGGACAGTACACTTAGGCAACCTGTTGCATTGTTTTTCACTTTCCAGATATAAAAGTACCAAGCATGTTGAGACTGACACTTCCATGAAGTCCTAAAATACATATAAATTGGAAATTTAAAAAGTTTGCATAGGATATAAATAGTACTTAAGTAAAAAATACTTAAAATTAAGATTATATTTAACTGAATATTCCTTTTGCAACTGAAAATACTATAATAGCATAGGAGAATAATAATAAAATTCATGGCAAAGGAACACATCTGACAAGAAAAAAATATATAGAAATCTACCTTGATAATATTTTTTAACATGTTTTTACAAAATGCACATGAAAACATATGTCAAAAAATGTTATGGGCAAACTAACCTGATCCCTCTACCTAAACACCAAACACATGGAACATTCTTGGTGTCCTAAAACATATTGGACCAACCGGTTGAGAATGATGGGAAAAGTGCACTTGTTGGGCATAATCCCAAAGGTTGGAGTACTTTACATCAAGAGTGCATGGTGAAGTGCCTGAAATGTACAGTAGTTAAATTTATAAATTATGTTTTATTGATATACAGTTTTTACAATTTATAGAACAGTCAGATTTTCCTGAGGTCCTCATGTTTTGCTAATAGGTGGCGCGATAGCTCAGTTGGTTAAACCACTGACTATCACTCCTGAGGTCCCGGGTTCGATCCTGGGTTACACCCTTGGGATTTTTCAGAGACACTTTCAGTGTTTCCCACCTACCTAGAGGTGTACTGGTAAGAAATCCAGGTAATCCTCGCATGTATCAGTGCTATACACTGGGCATGTAAAAGAACCAAGGGGTCTATTCAAAAAGAGCTAGGGACTGGTTCCCGGATTCCCTTGTATCTTAAAGCTGTTTCTTAAATGTATACAATGTATACCTGCTTAGAGTGATCGAAAACGATTTTAAAGCAGTATGATGTAGAAAATAAGGCACCTGCAGATATGATTCCTTTAATAAGTATCCTTTCTAGAAAGCTTGTCATAGGGCTGTGACTTTTTTTAATTAAAATATTAGTTTAATCATTTCAAACAAGTTCAGGCTTAGGTTGATGTGCTTCTAAGTGTGAACAAACATTTTGATATGTGACATCATATGCCTTACAGAAACATAGTGTAAATACATGCTAAGTGTAAGCGTTACACTATAGTCTAGTTGTGTCAATGAAAAAATATATGTCTATGCACTCATTCAATACCCTCCATTTATTGAGTCTGGTTATGAGAAATTATGGAAACTGCAACGTCTCCATATTTTTAATTTTAAAGATCTGAAATATTTAAACAGCTCAAACAATGGAGCCAGAGATATATTTTCACTTTTGCCTTGGGATACAAGTTTTCAACAGCTCAAATTTTTATTCTCATACAGTACAGTATGCATGGAAGAAAGTAAAGATTAAAATTCTTGAAAATCTTGAATTTCCTCACTTTGATGATTGTTTTAACTAAGAGATTAATTACATAAATTTTGGTTTTAATTGCTTTGAGTAAATAATTACTTGGCTGCCATTTTCCATGTTGCTATCAACAAACCGTTGTCCAGGAACTGCAATTGTTTCTACTTCCGGGTATAATTATTTTCCGATAAAATACATATTTAAGCAAAAATACTAGAAAAAATAAATACTCACCTAACCAGAATAATCCAGTTATATATAAGTTTTGTCAAAGCAGACGTTGCCAGTGTAAAATATTCTTTAAAACACCGAAAAACATCAAATCTATTCACCAATATTTTATCAACAATCAATGTCAGATGACGTAATCAGTTGTCCTCGTAAAAATCTTTTCCCGTGATAATTTTACTTGCTGTCATAGGATGAACGGTAGCAAATTATTTTTGCCGTTTATTACTCTGTATGAATCAGGACCCAATGTGCTGACAAGTCATTTATTATATAATTAAGCGCTGTTTTACTGCCAGATGAAAGGAAAGATAATGAGGAAAAAATGGCGTCAAAGATCTCGCATTTTCTCGATAACGACGTCAACGTCAAGAAGCCCCATTTTTGCATTCCACTACACATATACAGTTCGATATTATTGTATTTGGTGGGCGGGATTTAGTTTCCGAATATTAATTAGGCCCCATTCGGAAAACCTGCGAACCAATCGCATCATCTCAGCCATTTCCGTCAAACTTCGAGACAACTTATTGGTATTAGCCGAGATGATCCGCGGTCTACGGCGGAAAAGGCCGAAAAGGGTAGTTTGGTCCAAATCACATGTCAAAGATGGCAACACGTGAAATTATGCGAATGAGTGGTCGACTCAATGTTTTGAAGAAATTTCAGTTGATTTCTCAAGGGACACGTGCACTTACATTTCAGGTAAACTCAGATAAGTAGCTGAAAATTACATGATTTTCAAAACTGTGTCCCTCAAAAAATTTATTTAACTTCAAGGTCGTGTGAAAATCGCGAAATCATAAGACAATTAGTATAGTATTTTTTTTAAATTTTAATTTTCATTTAAAAATCTATGATAATCTGCATTTATTTAAGACTGAACTGTATTATCTGAACGAATTATGTCAAACAGACTTGTCCTCGTAATAGATCTAAGTATGTTTAATTTAAAAATGACTTGTCCATATCTGCATGAGGTCAGGATTTCGTCATAATCTCATGTACCTGTCCCAACGATATACAGTCTACTCCACTTACAACGAGATCGGATTTAACCAGATACCGCTTATAATGTACATTCTACTTTGTCCCGGCACATTCTACTTTGTCCCGGCATTTTTCCTTTCATTCTCCTTTCATTTATATTGTATATAACAAGATCTGTCTCTTAAAAATGTATACAATTATGTATACCTGCTTAGAGTGATCCTAATTGATTTTAAAGCACTATGATGTAGAACTAAGATCGGTTTTAGGGAGATATCAGTTACAACGTACATATATTTGACGTCCCATACGTATTTTTTCAGAATTTTAACGAGGTCACATCATTGGCACTTCGTCTGCATCGTCGTCACCTTGAGAAAAACAATGGTGATCAAAAACAAAGGGCAATTAGGGAAGAAATTAAAATTATTTAGCAATTAGCACCTTGTTTTGTCAGCGTTATGGGCTAATTTGTCCTTTAGGTGATGAAATGTCATAACAAAAAATTTTTTTTGAGTCATTAGCACAAAGGAAGCGTCTAATTTCTTGCAGTGTTATTCGGTGTTCATGAGAAATACACTGTGTGACTTGAAAACAAACTTAAAATTGTACATATTAAGACAAACGTAGTTGGTTGGACGTAGTATTATGTGTTTTCATATGTTTTGTCTGCTAGATATATTTATATTATGTATATTTAAAAAAATAAAACAAATACTTCTAAGTGCAAAGTGTTACCTCCCTTTGTGTACTCTTTAAAAAGGATGTTTGTGAAAGCGAAAGTAGAAATAAATGATGTTCGACGGTGTCGGATTTCACAATTTGTTCTGTCCCGGTTATAACAAGGAATCATGCGAAGTCAAGACGATCTTGTTGTATCTGGAGTGCACTGTATATGTATGTTGTTATTTATCAAGTTGCAAGACTGAGTGATTTTATAAACTGATATATGATATACATAGCAGGGCTCTTGCAACTGGACAAATTGGGGGACTTAGTCGTCTGAAGTTTCATAACTTTGCCGAGTTTGAACATTTAAGCGAAATCGATTTCGCAGCACTTTTTTTACTTACTGCATGTACAAATTTTTACGTATCCAGGGCCTTTTTACCTTTTATAACAGGGGCCGGTATAGGGCTGCTTCCCCAACGAAAATTTCTTTAAAATCATGCAGTTTTCCCCAGAAATTGAATTTTCATCAAGTTTTTTCTTCCCCTTTTGCAAATATATCGTGTAATTTTTCCCCAAAATTAAGGGCTGGGCTGCTTCCCAACCTGTGATAAAAAGCCCTGGTATCACACAGGGCTTGTCTTTGCCTCCAGGCATAACTTCAACAGAATTGGTGACAACACAGTTATTGCCGATAATTGACCGCAATTATCACATTCAAATGACATGATATGCCAATCCATCGGACATAATTGCTCTCTAATTTACCAATAAAAAAATCGGAGACCCAATAACCCTGATTGACGGTCGGTAAATTCAAATAAACTGGATCATATAAACCTAGCCAAATTTTTGGAACCCTGTTAGTGTCTGAAGTTGGTTGAAAGAAAATGTTCCCAGGTCATCCAGGAAGCTGTCTTAAAATGAAAGATGAATACATGGATGTAATTATTGCTTTCTGCTTTCAGAGAGGGCTTCACAAAGTTGTTCAGCCTAACCACGGTGCTGTTATACACAAACAATGGCCAATGAAACAATGCAGAACTGCTGCCACTTATGAATATTCTGAAGTAGAGAAAACACAGGATGTTGATGGTGATTTTGATAAATATGATATTTCAGATGTTACACAGAAGAAGCTCAGAAGTAAGTTACTTTACTCTGTTTATCCATTATATTAAACATGAGCTTTCAGGGTATGATTATGTCCAACATTTGGTGTTATGCTTTCACTTGTTAGAAAATGCTGATTCCTGAGATTTTGATTCAGATTCAACTTAGAACTAAGAAATGATGCTTGGGAACTATTGTACAATAAAACTCGATTTTCAGGGTTTTATTCCAGGATTTTGGGAACATGACTAATACCGATGGAATTGGGAATTTCAGTGAAGTTTTATAAAAGAATTGGGAAAAATGCATGACTTTAATTTTGCAGTAATTAAATGAATGTAAAGAATCACTGTCTTAGGATGGCATCTTCAAACATTTAAGCACGATAACAGTGAAGAAGCCCTTATTTTCAATAGTTTTTAGAATTTGTTAACTTTCATTTTGTAACTTTCATTTGGGAATTTTTTTCCTGTGGATTGGGAAAATAATATACTATTTTCAGTTGGGAATATGACCAAATATCGGCTATAAGATAAGACAAAAAAATCCCTGATTTTCTTAAAATAAGACTGCCAACAGACAGGCTTTAAATGTCATTATCTCCTGTACTGGATGGCAGACTTTGATGATACATAATACAAATGATTATTTGTTGGTACTTTAATGCTTTTAACAAATTGAACTTTGACTTCAGGTGTTGTAAACCTTGTTTCCCAGGTGACTTTACCTTGACAAATCTTGTATTTTTCTGGTCTTCTTCTTGATGTTGGTTTAAATTATATAATGACATATTTTAGAAATGGGTATAGAGAAACTGCTCCCTGTACAGTATCACACATATGGCCCTACAATAGAAGGAAAAGATGTGATTGTTCAAGCAAGTAAGTATTAAAGTTCTTGTATAAGATCAGTTTGACTTAATTTTATACAAGAGTGATTTAGTGCTCTATTTCTAATGCAGTAATGGTCAGATTGTTTTGTATGAATATGTCTGCTCTATTTCTCTAATAGTCAGTCACTATCACTATCTTATTGTTGCCATCACATTATTCCACTGTCGTCATGGCTTTATCGCACTGTTGGCATTGCATTGAAGCCATCACACTATCGGATTATTGTACTGTCCTCATGGCATTATCACACTGTCGCCATCAAACTATCCCATTGTCGTCATTGCACTGTCGTACTGTCGTTATTGCACTGTCGCATTGTTGCCCTCTGGATTATAAAGTGCCCTCTGGATTATAAAGTATTTAGAAGGTGAAAGAACTGTATGAAAAATACACATACACGAGAAACTAAAATAAATAATTGCATTGAGATGTAATTTGAAATTTTTTGTCAACCGAATACATTTAATCAGAAGTTTCTAATGTTATAAGCAGAGATGTGGCGTATTTTTTATCAGAAATATTTTTAAGAGGTAAATTTGGTATAATATATAGATTTTTATTTTCTTTTTCTTTTTAGCTCACCTGTCACAAAGTGACATGGTGAGCTTTTGTGATCACTTTTCGTCCGGCCGTCCGTCCGTAAACTTTTACTTTAAACCGCTAAGCCAATTTCATCCAAATATTTAACAGGAATGGTCCATTGGTGGTCACCTTTAAAAATTGTTCAAAGAATTTAATTCCATGCAGAACTCTGGTTGCCATGGCAATTGAAAGAAAAAACTTAAAATATCTTCTTTTAAAAAACCGAAAGAGCTAGAGCTTAGATATTTGGCATAAAACATCTTCTAGTGAGTGTCTATCAAGTTTGTTCAAATAAAAGCTCTGGGGTCAAAATTGGCCCCGCCCCAGGTGGTCATTGCTTTTCCTAATATGTATATAGTAAAAACTTAAAAAATCTTCTTTTAAAAAACCGAAAGAGCTAGAGCTTAAATATTTGGTATGAAACATTGTCTGATCAGCATCTATCAAGTTTGTTCAAATAAAAGCCCTGGGATCAAAATTGGCCCCGCCCCAGGGGGTCATTGCTTTTCCTTAAATGTCTATAGTAAAAACTTAAAAATCTTCTTTTAAAAAACCGAAAGAGCTAGAGCTAAAATATTTGGCATGAAACATTGTCTGATGAGTGTCTACCAAATTTGTTCAAATAAAAGCCCTTGGGTCAAAATTGGCCCCGCTCAGGGGGCGTCATTGATTTTCCTTTTATGTATATAGTAAAAACTTTAAAAAATCTTTTTTTAAAAAACCGAAAGAGCTAGAGCTTAAATATTTGGCATAAAACATTGTCTGATAAGTGTCAACCAAGTTTGTTCAAATAAAAGCCCTGGGGTCAAAATTGGCCCCGCCCCGGGGGTCATTGATTTTCCATATATGTATATTGTAAAAACTTAAAAAAAACTTCTTTTAAAAACCAAAAGATTTAGAGCTTTGATATTGAGCATGAAGCATCTTCTAGTGAGTGTCTACCAAATTTGTTCAAATAAAAGTCCCAAGGTTAAATTGGCCCCGCCATGGGGTCTGATTTTCCTTATATATCTATAGTAAAAACTTAAAAAATCTTCTTTTAAAACCCCAAAAGAGCTAGAGCTTAGATATTTATCATGAAACATCTTCTAATGGGTGTCTACCAAGTTGGTTAAAAAAAGCCCCTGGGTTAAAATTGGCCCCGCCCCAGGTGAGCGATTTCAGGGCCATCATGGCCCTCTTGTTTTTTTAGCTCACCTGATCATATGCTCAGGGTGAGCTATTAGGATCACTCTTCGTCTGTCGTACGTCGTCCGTTGTCCGTTCACACTTTTAAAACGACATCTATTCTGAAACCATAAGGCGAGCGACTACAGGGCCATCATGGCCCTCTTGTTTTTGCATGTATTTATTCATCTATTTTGTGATTTTGTTGAGTAATTAATACAAGCTTAACTACGTTTGAGAAAACCCCTAACATTAACTGCTATTATGAAGTATGTTTCAGTTTCCAATTACATTTTAGTTTAAGATAGAAAGGTCTTATATGAGTTGTTGTAATGACTAATCTTCTTTTTCATTATTCAATAGGAACTGGTACAGGAAAAACGGTGAGTTTTTTTGCATAGGTTTTTTTATTATAAATTTCTTCTATATATATATATAAGTCGGATTTTACATCTATTTCACAGAAATGATCACCATTTTGAGACAGCGTGTCGCACGCAACATTTGGGTCTCTACCTTGAAGGTCTAGGTCACAGTATGACCTTGCGGCAAAATTGTGCCCGGCCCATAACTTTGGTATTTGAAGTTGGATTTTACAACTATTTCACAGAAATGATAACCATATTGAGACGACTTGTCGCGAGCAACATTTGGACGTTACCTTGAAGGTCAAGGTCACAGCATGACCTTGCAGCAAAATGTCCGGCCCATAACTTCGTTATTTGAAGTCAGAATTTACAACTTTTTCACAGAAATGATAACCATATTGAGATGACTTGTCACACGCAACATTTGGGACGCTAAATTGAAGGCCAAGGTCACAGCATGACCTTGCAGCAAAATTGTGTCCAGCCCATAACTTCGTTATTTGAAGTTGGATTCCACAGAAATGATTACCATATTGAGACAATGTGTCGCGCACAACATTCGGGTTGTTTTAACACTTTGAACTTTGTCTGTGACATAACTCTGACACTACAAAAGGTATACCTTCCGGTGTCCAAAACTCATTCGGGGAGCATCACCCGGTTCAACCGGCTCTTGTTTAATGTTGCTTTAAGATAATTAGCATAAAAACAAACTGGATGCTTGAGCAAACAATAGGAACAAGCATATTGTAGGAATAGTAACAAAGTCTTCTTAAACTTTTTGCAGTGTAATAAGACTCTGTAAGATTAGATATATGCATAAGAAATTTATAAAGCAAAGATCACCCAAAATGGATATGTATATAAATTTCTTATTGACCATTTATAAATGGTTTCATTTCAGCTCTCCTTTGCTATTCCAATTGTAGAAAAATTGGAACAGAACAAACACAGACTTGGCGGTACCAAACGTATTCCATTGGTAAGAAATGACAGTTTGTAACTAGCTTGGTAACATCACTTGAAAACTGGAAAATCAGAAATCTGTTTATATCATAAAACATGTAGTTTGCTACACTTGCATAATAATATTGTAGTTCTTAGTAACATTCATGTATTTTAACCTTTTCCCTTATATAAGCGTGTTTCGACGGCTTTTTGCCCCCCCCCCCCCCCCCTTTTTGAGGCCTCAAACAGTGAAAAAATGTCCTATTTAGACCACAAACACTGTTTTTCGTTTGAGAAATGTTGTTAAAAAAGTGACCATTTTTTCGGCGCCGTCCCCCATCCAAATAAGGGGGTTGCCAGAAGGGGGATATGCCCCCTTCTGTTTGGGGGGTTTGAAGGGGGCGGAGTCCCCCTAATCGCCAAGAAAATTTTGGACTTGTGAGAGGCTTAAAATGACCCCAGGTTGATCATAAGGTAACGTGTAACCAACGCTGAAAAGCCTTTGACTCTATCTCAATCCCTTGAGAAGTTGCAGCATTTTGAAGTTAATTTTGATGGAAAAAATCGAGGCAAAAAAGTGATTTTTGGCAATTTTGAGATGTCCCCTCGTTGCCATGGTAACAGGAAATTTAAGACTGAGCATGTCGTTACAAAGGCAATGGTCCAGTCAACATTTGTGCCAAGTTTGATCAGTATTGAAGCATTTTTCATAGTTTCATAGCAGTTTGAACTTGTAAGAGGAGGCTTTTCAGTGAAAATGGCCATTTTTCACAATATGCTCATGGGGGAAAGGGTTAACTAAAAAAATTATAAATGTTACAAAACAACAATTTTTCACCAAAATTAGGTAAAAGACCACATGTTACCATGGAAAAACTAGATTTTGGGTGATTTCAAGGTTTTTCATCATTTTTTGTTAACCTTTTCCCTTATATAAGCGTGTTTCGACGGCTTTTTGCCCCCCCCCCCTTTTTTGAGGCCTCAAACAGTGAAAAAATGTCCTATTTAGACCACAAACACTGTTTTTCGTTTGAGAAATGTTGTTAAAAAAAGTGACCATTTTTTCGGCGCCGTCCCCCATCCAAATAATACATCAGGGGGTTGCCAGAAGGGGGATGTGCCCCCTTCTGTTTGGGGGGTTTGAAGGGGGGCGGAGTCCCCCTCATCGCCAAGAAAATTTTGGACTTGTGAGAGGCTTAAAATGACCCCAGGTTGATCATAAGGTAACGTGTAACCAACGCTGAAAAGCCTTTGACTCTATCTCAATCCCTTGAGAAGTTGCAGCATTTTGAAGTTAATTTTGATGGAAAAAATCGAGGCAAAAAAGTGATTTTTGGCAAATTTGAGATGTCCCCTCGTTGCCATGGTAACAGGAAATTTAAGACTGAGCATGTCGTTACAAAGGCAATGGTCCAGAGAACATTTGTGCCAAGTTTGATCAGTATTGAAGCATTTTTCATAGTTTCATAGCAGTTTGAACTTGTAAGAGGAGGCTTTTCAGTGAAAATGGCCATTTTTCACAATATGCTCATGGGGGAAAGGGTTAAATGAAAGAGTCAATCATATGTTATAATAATAGTTTTATGTCTTTATGTCTCACAAAGATGACATTTACTTAAAAAATAATAATAGTTTTATGTTTTTATGTCTCACAAAGATGACATTTACTTAAAAAACACTCTATTATTAGTTTGCTTGATGCTGTACAAGTTTGTGAGCTTTATATCAAAGTATGTGTTAACTTTCACAACTATTCTGAGAAACATAATACTAAGAAGCTTCAAATCAAATAATATGTTTGGTATGATAAAGGATAGCATGTATGGTATGGCAACAGATGTCATGTATAGTATGGCAAAGGATATCAATTCAACAAATTTGCTTGTTTCATTATGAACATTTGTATTATACCATTACATAAGGAATAGCATTTGTTTGAAATTATATGTTTGCAAGCTTAACATTTAAAAGATAAGGAAAAAGTTCCTGACCTTTATAAGAAAAATTGACAAACTGATCTGTGTATAGCATTTTAAGTGGTCTGATTACACTAGCAGTCACTTTGTTTTGAGAAATCTTGATACAAATTTTCTGTTAGATAATTACTGCATATTTTGTGTTTCCTTTAAAGGTTATTGTATTAACACCAACAAGAGAACTAGCTAATCAGATAAAAGAAGTGTTTGAGAGTTTATGTGACAAAGCAAGGGTGACCTGTGTATATGGTGGAGTAAATATAGAAAAACAAAGTAAGTTTCTACTGTACAGCACTAATTTTTCTCACAATTTTAATTTGAAAAAAATAATAGATGTACTGTTACAGTCATGGCGGCATTGCCATTTCCGTCCGCAAACTTTTTAAGTTGTTTGTGTATTGTCTTCATACTTGACCACAGCAACTGTCGGACAAGACATTCAAGTAGACTAATCTTGACCTTTATTCATAAAAACCATGACCTTCAAGGTTAAATGTTTAAATTTTTCTTAATTTTTGCTGATTTTTGCTTTTAGTGGCTATAAATTTGTAATTTATGAATGGATTGTCTTCAAACATGAACAAAACAATCTTATAGGTTAGACCTTCAAGTTAAGCAGACAGACCTTTACCCTTCTCTTATAAATGACCTTGACCTTGAAGGTAATTCAAAATTACCCTCATTTGTAATTTGAGAAAACAGTCTTTAAACTTGCAGCGTATATAGTCGATATTTTTATCCTTTTGTCGGTAAAATTTGCTAATTTACATTAGTCTGATCTCTATTGCGTGATAATGATCGAAAGCGTTATCGCTGATTGGCTAATCGCTTCACGAGTTGATGTGCATAGGACCGCCTACCTATAGACTGACACGCGCTGACGTATTTGTGTATTTGTGGTTGTAAACAATCGGTAATGTTTATGCGTCCCCAGGCAAAATTAAGCGCACGTGGAATCCTTGCTCTGAAATATTTGCGTCCAGCTGTAATAAACATGCGTACCGGGACTCCGAAATAAGCGTCCCCGAGAACCCTGTGTATATGAAATTTAAAATAACCTTTGTTCATTAATGACATTGACCTTGAAGCTTAAATTATTGAATTTTTACTGATTTTCGCTATAATTGACTGTAACTTGGTAATTAATAATGGATTATCTTTGTATTTGGACAAAACAACCTTTCTCTCATGACCTTCTTAAAGGTTGAACTGATCTTGACCTTGAGCTTCAAATGACCTTGGTAAATTCTCATAATTTTGTTATTTATAGACAGATTTGGATTACACTTGGACAAAACAAGACTTTTTACCAAATAAACATAATGAATAATTCAGATGTGACCCTGTCCATGAATTTACCTTGATAATCAAGGTCAAATCAATGAAATTCTCATATTTTATCCTTTAACCATGAAATTTGGACCTTATGCACATTTTAAGATATAAAATAGAACTTGGATCAGCTGATCTAGTGACCTACTTTCTTGTCCTTTGATGTACAGCTATGAAATTTGGTCCATATGCAAAGTTTTAGATGTGAATTGAACTTTGATATCAGCTGACCTAGATTTTGACAAAGTGACTTACTGTCTTGTCCTTTGATGTACAGTCATGAAATTTAGGCCCTGTGAAATATGACCTTGACTACTGTTTAGTGTTGTAATGTGGTGGCATAGCATTTTTTACAAATTCAATCTTGTTTCTGATTCCTAAAAGAAATTTGTATGCTTTCATATATTGCTCTGTCTATGCAACTTGCTCTTGTTTATTTATAATTCTGTACAAGGGGATATTTTGAATTGTACATTTAAAGATGAACATGTTTGTTATTGCAGTTAATAGTTTACGAAATGGTGCTGATGTGATAGTAGGCACTCCAGGTAGAGTATATGATCTGATGAACAGGAATGAACTTGTGCTAACGGACCTCCAGCATGTTATACTGGATGAGGTAGATCGCATGCTTGACATGGGTTTTGATGAGCAAGTCGAGAAGATTATCATAGACAGCTATCAGTCAGGTGAGTGACACCTTCTATGTGTTGAATTTTAGTTATAGACTTTCCACTATAATTATCTTTCAGTAGCTTTTTAAGTGTTGCAAGATTGATCCACAGTAAATTTTATACTTGAAGCTTCCATGTTTGTCACTCATGATTACGCTCTAGGATTGACCATTTTAGTGTCAGTACAACATGATGCTTGAGATTTGATACCATGTATTCATGCCTTCATTGTAATATTTCAGTATTTAACAACATAAGTAGACATAAAGGCCTATAGCAGAAATATAAATTAATAAAAGAAAGCTTTAAAGGAACTCCACTGAGATCCAAAAGCCTTAAAACATACAATTACCTACACAGCTCAGGTTAGGCACAGAAGGATATGCAAAAGAAATCTACTCAGAAATGAATAGAAAGTTCTATTTTTTGTTATTTTAGCCCAATTTGAGCAAAAAACATTGCAATGCTAATGTTTCACATTAGAATAATTGTTCTGGGAAATGGATTGAGTGAATGATCTGAAATTTGACACAAAAGTTACTGGTCTAGACCTACATGAAATTAAACATTTATCTCGAAAAATTATTTTAAGTCCCATCATGTCAAAAAAAACTCAGCCGAGTCCCTTTAGTGAAACAGATGCAAAGAAATCAGAATGTAAATAATTAATAAGGAATATTACCATAGGACATTAGCAGGGCTCCACAAATTTTTTGGAAGCAACTCGTCCTGCAGAGGAGTAGCTTAGAATTTTTACTCGACCTGCTGCAATATGTACTTGTCCTATAGTTCACTAAAGACCACACATTAGATTAGAAAAGCTGACCATTAAAGCGTATGAATTAAAAAAAAAAATCTGCGATAGCCCTCCCTAGCCTAGGCAGTTTTATGTTGCACCTCCCACCCACTCCAAAGACTATATGATAGATTGGACAAGACTGTACAGAATGGATAGAAAAGGGAGAAGATCACATTTATAACTACATATGATCTTTCCATTCTGGTAAACAGATAGATAATTAAAATGAATATAGCTTACCTTTCAACAATGTCCGTATCAGGAAATGAAAAACTGAAAAACAACAACAACAATGCTATAGATTTCTTATGTGTTCTGGCTCATTTTTGAAGACACTGTTTAACTTTCTCCTCCCTGGGCAAACATGTGCCAATTATCGCATTGTGACATTTTAAAATATTTTTTTGAACAGAGTTACAGACAAATTTTTGTATTACTAAATAAATGTAAAGATCGTTGTTTGTGGAACATCTCGGAATCCCTGCAGCAACTTTTAGTAAGATTTAACAAAACGGAATCAGACCAAATTTAGCGTTGCATTCAACAAATCAACATCCGTTTTGCCGTCAACACGGGGGAATTATTTCGTGCTCTGTTTTACTAGTGAGACTTGAAAAATGGTTTCAAAAGAATACAAAAACTGAATTGAATTGAAATTTGATTATTTTCTGCTAGAAATTTCACTCGTCCTGTAGGACGAGTATTTCTGGGAGATTTACTCGTCCCGAGTCAATTTTTACTCGTATTTACGAGGGGACGAGTGGATTTGTCAAGCCCTGATCAGGAAAACAACTGAAGCAGTTTGGTATTTTGATTCATTATGTGTTGGGTCACTTAAGGAAATGTATAAGTGCACCATCATGCAACTTTTGTTATAGGATTGTTACATCATCCCCTTCCTGAACCAGTTCGTAGATTTTTTACCAAAATTTACTAAAATTATCCTGAAATGGTTGGCCTGCTACAAAATTGAATGGTCATTGTCTGCAGGGCAATCATACCCTGTCTTAATTTTCTGAAATAAATGAATGCTTTGTTATTAAAAACAACCCTAATATCATTAATTTGTTTTTGTTTACAGCAAATAAACCTCAAACTATGTTATACTCTGCCACCATGCCAAGTTGGGTGAGAAATGCTGCAAGAAAATACCTTGATGATGATTATGAATTGATCAGTTTAATTGGTAAAAATAGTGAACAGACTGCTACTACAGTCAAGGTCAGTATTTGGGCCGCGTCACGACAAAACCAACATATTGGGTTTGCGACCAGCATGGATCCAGACCAGCCTGCTCATCCGCGCAGTCTGATCAGGATCCATGCTGTTCACTATCAGTTTCTCTACTTGTTATAGGGTTTGTAAGCGAACAGCATGTATCCTGACCAGACTGCGCGAATGCGCAGGCTGGTCTGGATCCATGCTGGTCGCAAACCCATTATGTTGGTTTTGTCGTGACGCGGCTCATATCATGGTTATCATTGCTTCACTGTAAAATATCATTATAGATTCATATCACACTACAATAAAAGTCAGTAATGCAAGGTTAGTACTGAAACTTTATTCACTGTCGTAACTGTCGTTAAACAATTCAGCATTGTTCAGCAACTAATAATGAAGTGTTTTCAAAAAACATGAACATGATCCCAGATATAAATTCATTTTGCATGCTTTATGTTTAATGTTCCATGAAATAATGTGAAAATTTAGTGAAATATTGTGTATGTCGATATTTATGCGTCACAAAAATTTTGCAAATGTCAAAAAAGTGGATTTTTTGCGTGCAGAAATATTTGCTAAAAATATGATTTCTTGAATTTAATGCTGTTTTTGTGATATTAATTAAGCAGGTACAAGTAAAGAATATGCCGTTATTGTAATCGTTCTATTCAGTTGTTTAATACCTTTGTTATTTATATTATTGTTTGAAATATACATTGTTAGTTTGATAAAGCACCTGATCACACATTTCTTTGTCAGATTTTGAAACATTCTTTTGTTATATGAATAATCTATTGTGTAACTAACACATACATTGTTCCATTCAAACATTTGTGATTTATTAAGACCAACTTAAACAAACAAGCATTGGGAAAAATCAATCTCAGTACATGAACAGTCAAAACTTATTGTAGAAGATGCTGTATGAAAAGTGTATTCAAATGAAAGAAGAAAGTTTGCCTAATAAGAAGTAATTTTGCTTGATCAAATATTTGCGAATATCTCAGATATTTCCATGTTGCAAAGTTGACCAAATCAATGTAATTACATATATTTGTTATTTCAGCAATATGCAATAAAATGTATGGTCTCACAGAAACCGTCACTGATCACATACTTTGTGAAGAACTTTTGTCAGCAGACAGGTAGAGCTATTGTATTCTGTGAGACTAAAATGGAAGTAAATCAGCTGACTGGCAGTGAACTTATACGTCGGTCTAGAGCATTTCATGGTGATATTTCCCAAGCTTCAAGAGATCTAATCCTGAAGGTAAGCTCTGTTTTGATAAACAAAAAGCTAATGTAATTCAAATTGAATCATCTGCTGAAATATTTGGCAAAGTTTGTCTCCTCCAAAATAGTCCATAGTTGACTTTTATGTTCATATTGGTTAGTTTGGTATGTATTTTGTACTAATTTTCTTTAGCAGGTTTACCAGAGAATATTTACACATGTAGTGGTCAAACAAAAGAAAACAACCTCCCATCAAATATGATAGGGCAGACAAAAGACTTCCCATCGTATTAACTTGAAACTTAGTATGTAGATAAACACAGTAAAGTTCTATCTGTAACACCTATTATAAATCAAAGTTCAAGGTCACTTGGACCGGTAAAAACAAATCATAAATCTGCCCATTCTGTCTAAGTGCATTTAGGCTTAGAAACTTCAAAAGTGTATGTCTATGCATCTTTATGAGTTCTACTGGCCACACCTATTTTCAAGTCAAAAGGTTAATTGCACTAGAGCCTGTAATTATGGTACATTAAACTGGCTATTAACTCAAAATGCCTTGACCTGGAAGCTGTGAAGTGTGTAGGTGTACCTTAATGAGTTCAACCTGCCACACCCATTCTCAGATCAAAATGATCAAGGTTGCTAGGATCTGCATTTAAAACATAAAATTTAACTGAGAAACTACAAACCTACCAAACTCAAAATGTCAAAGGTCAAAATATACTAACTTATTTACCTTCTTTATGCTCCCTATATTCTGTAAAATAAGAACTACTGGTGAACATTTTTGTGCGGTATCACAATTAGACCAAGGATCTGAATTGTGACCTTTAATGACTGTTCTTGGTGGTTCATTTAAGTGCCATTATGGCTCTCATGTTCTTATTTGCTTTTGAATAGTTAAGTAATTTTTCATTAGCTTTTGTTTCAACATGCATTTGAAATGATATATTTCAGGATTTTAAAAAAGGTGATTTTCAAGTACTTGTTACAACAGATGTGGCTGCTAGAGGTCTAGATATACCAAATATTGATGTTGTTATACAGAGTTCACCTCCTAATGTGAGTCTAATTCTTACATGACTCTATGTTATGTTTAAGCTAAAATAAAAATATATCTTTTTAACAACTTTTAAAAAATAAATTGAAAATATTTTCAATATTGCCTCTTCCTATATACACGGGATAATGTAGAACTTAAATACACACTAATTCACTTTACCAGGGTTATAAGGCAGTGTTTGCGAGAGAAAGTAACAAATAAAAATTGGTCAGGATGCTTGTCTAGTGAATTGCTCTGATAAGTTCGAACATGGGTCATCTCTGATGTAAAACTAGGTCACAGGAGCTAAAAATCCAAATATCTTGGAAATTGGTCTGCAAGTTTGTTTTGATTATTTCTAAGTCAAGTTGAAATATGGGTCACCTGGGGTCAAAAACTAGGTCACACTGCCGAAATATGGAAAAACCTTGTCCGACATCATAAAAAGGGGGTTTTGTATCCCAAAATGATCGACTGGGTCTCAGATTACAAAATGTTTTATAATTGGGGAACCAGTTAATGTTTCAAAGCTTGCAAGTTTGCATGTCTTTAGAAAAAAAAGGTTCTCCTTGCTTTAGCTATTGATCTCTCAAATACTGGTCAGCAATACACACAATCTTTTTACATAACTGCAGTATCAAGTTTCAAGCTCAAGTTTATTTATTTTCAGTTTAAGTGAACTTATGCTTTTTGTTTTTAATGCAGGACACAAATTACTATATTCATCGTGTTGGTCGAACAGGTAGAGCTGGCAATACAGGAGTATCTATCTTAATGTATACAAAACAGGAAGAAAATGAAGTGCATAATCTTGAAAGAAAGGCTGTAAGTTTTAAACTATTAAACCCCTTCCAACCATAAATTTTAGGGGACTGTTCTAGAAAATATTTAAAAAGAAAATACTTTTCTTTCTTTGAAACTAAATCAGTATTCAGGTACATTTGTATTTATTTTAAACTTGAAACATTTTTGATGATGATTTATGATAAGTCCAGTAGGTCAAGTTTCTAAACTTTTCACGTTTTGACAAAGTTATGTCTCCACTTTTTAGCTCTACTATTCGATAAATATAAGTAGAGCTATTGCAGTCACCCGAGCCTCGGCGTCGGCGTAACCACTTATGTTAAAGTTTTTGTAATAGTTCAAATATTTTCAAAGTCCATAGACATATGGCTTTGAAACTTTGCACACTTGTTCACCATCATGACCCCAACCTGTAGACAGGAGGAGGTAACTCTATCAAGCATTTTGACAGAATTATGCCCCTTTTTCGACTTAGAATTTACGTTAAAGTTTTTGTAATAGTTCAAATATTTTCAAAGTCCATTGACATATGGCTTTGAAACTTTGCACACTTGTTCACCATCATGACCCCAACCTGTAGACAAGAGGAGGTAACTCTATCAAGCATTTTGACAGAATTATGCCCCTTTTTCGACTTAGAATTTACGTTAAAGTTTTTGTAATAGTTCAAATATTTTCAAAGTCCATTGACATATGGCTTTGAAACTTTGCACACTTGTTCAACATCATGACCCCAACTTGTAAACAGGAGGAGGTAACTCTATCAAGCATTTTGACAAAATTATGCCCCTTTTTCGACTTAGAATTTACGTTAAAGTTTTTGTAATAGTTCAAATGTTTTCAAAGTACATTGACATATGGCTTTGAAACTTTGCACACTTGTTCACAATCATGACCCCAACCTGTAAACAGGAGGAGGTAACTGTATCTAGCATTTTTTTTTACTATCAAGCATTAAGAATAGTCCAGTGTTGCTGTCCTACCGACAGCTCTTGATTTAAACAACAATAATTAAAAGGATTACCATCCCTTTTCCCAGTTTTGAGGAAAGCTATCATTTCCCATCATGCTTGATATTTTTCATTTTCTTCAAGTCACAAGTAATTTAACACTTGCATATGAATTATACTTCCAGGATCATGTTTGTTTAATACTTATATTCTTAAATGTATACATTTCCATGATTTTTATGTGATTTTTTTCTCCTAAAGATATAAGTAAAAAAGGGTGCGAAAGCAAACTAAAAGATGAAATATCATTCCTTTTTCAGAAAACCCCTTTTGAGCAATTATCACCTCCAACACTGGATGACTTTATGGCAGTGTGTGAAAAAGATGTTACCAAGTAAGTTTGAATGGACAGAACAAAAATTTTAGATCCCTTAGGTTATGTGAAATAACATTCTTGATGCTATAATATGAGATAATAAAAATATAATATATACCCGAAGGAAAAAGGATGCAGGGTAAAATAATATGGAATAGATTTTTAATAGCTTTGTTGGATCATGAAAATTTTTCAAATTATTATCTGGGTCACTGTGTACTCAACACGGTAATGAGAATTAAGGAGGCATGTAATGTACTGTGTCTGGTAGTGTACTGTGTCCGGTAGTGTACTGTTTCCGGTAGTGTACTGTTTCCAGTAGTGTACTGTGTCCAGTAAGGCTCCCACGTTTACAATTTTTTGGAAACGTTTACACGACTGCTAAGAACCGAAACGATACCGTTTAAACGGTGGTACCTCTATGTACTATACACACCATGTATTTGAGTCGCCAAATGATGTCTTTCATTCTATTTTTAATACATGTACAAATAAAGAATGTGCAAGGCTCATCACGATTGATTCAGCACACATTTTTTTGCATTGTAACCCCATTTTTTACCAAAAATGTATTATGTCACGAGCAATTTTGCACACCCATTTTCCGTTTGTTTACTTTGGAATAAACCACTAGAATTGATAAAATCCATAATTACAGGCAATGATTTAGAAATTTTGTAACACAATATGGTCATTTCGATTAAACGGTAAACAATATCGTAAACGTTTATGAATGAAAATCGAAACGAATCCGTTTAACGTGTAATCGTGGGGGCCTTAGTGTCCAGTAATGCACTTTCCAGTAGTTTACTGTGTCCGGTAGTGTACTGTTTCTGGTAGTGTACTGTGTCCGATAGTGTACTGTTTCTGGTAGTGTACTGTGTCCAGTAGTGTACTGTGTCTGGTAGTGCACTGTGTCCGGTAGTGTACTGTGTCCAGTAGTGTACTTTGTCTGGTAGTGTACTGTTTCCGATAGTGTATTGTGTCCAGTAGTGTACTGTGTCCGGTAGTACACTGTGTCAGTAGTGTACTGTGTCTGGTAGTGTACTGTGTCCGGTAGTGTACTGTGTCTGGTAGTGTACTGTGTCCAGTAGTGTACTGTTTCCGGTAGTTTACTGTGTCCAGTAGTGCACTGTTTCCGATAGTGTATTGTGTCCAGTAGTTTACTGTTTCTGGTAATGTACTGTGTCCTGTTTCTGGTAGTGTACTTTGTCCAGTAGTGTACTGTGTCTGGTAGTGTACTGTGTCCTGAATTGTACTGTTTCCGATAGTGTATTGTGTCCAGTAGTTTACTGTTTCTGGTAATGTGATGTGTCCTGTTTCTGGTAGTGTACTGTGTCCAGTAGTGTACTGTGTCCAGTAGTGTACTGTGTCCGGTAGTGTTCTGTGTCCGGTAGTGTACTGTTTCTGGTAGTGTACTGTGTCCAGTAGTGTACTGTGTCTGGTAGTGTACTGTGTCCGATAGTGTATTGTGTCCAGTAGTTTACTGTTTCTGGTAATATACTGTGTCCTGTTTCCTGTAGTGAACTGTGTCCGATAGTGTACTGTGTCGGGTAGTGTACAGTGACCAGTAGTGTACTATGTCCAGTAGTGTACTGTGTCCTGTGTCTAGTAGTTGATGTGTCCAGTAGTGTACTGTGTTCATTTGTGTACTGTTTCTGGTAGTGTACTGTGTCTGGTAGTGTACTGTGTCTAGTAGTGTACTGTGTCCAGTAGTGTACTGTGTCTGGTAGTGTACAGTGACCAGTAGTGTACTATGTCCAGTAGTGTACTGTGTCCTGTGTCTAGTAGTGTACTGTGTCCAATAGTGTACTGTGTCCAGTAGTGTACTGTGTTCATTAGTGTACTGTTTCTGGTAGTGTACTGTGTCATGTGTCTAGTAGTGTACTGTGTCCAGGATAGTACTGTGTTCATTCGTGTACTGTTTCTGGTAGTGTACTGTGTCTGGAGTTTAATTCCATGTAGAACTCTGGTTGCCATGGCAACCTAAAGAAAAAACTTAAAAAATCTTCTTTTAAAAAACCCAAAGAGCTAGAGCTTAGATATTTGGCATGAAACATCTTCTAGTGAGTGTCTAACAAGTTTGTTCAAATAAAAGCCCTGGGGTCAAAATTGGCCCGGCCTCAGGGGGTCATTGATTTTCCCTATATGCATATAGTAAAAACTTAAAAATCTTCTCTTAAAGAACTAAAAGAGCTAGAGCTAAGATATTTAGCATGAAACATGTTCTAATGGATGTCTACCAAGTTTGTTCAAATAACAGCCCTGGGGTCAAAATTGGCCCCGCCCCGGGGGTCATTGATTTTCCTTATATGCATATAGTAAAAACTTAAAAAATCTTCTTTTAAAGAACTCAAAGAGCTAGAGCTAAGATATTTGGCATGAAACATCTTCTAGTGAGTGTCTACTAAGTTCGTTCAAATAAGAGCTCTGGGGTCAAAACTGGCCCCACCCTTGGGGGGGTTATTGATTTTCCCATTATGCATATAGTAAAAACTTAAAAATCTTCTTTTAAAGAACTAAAAGAGCTAGAGCTAAGATATTTAGCATGAAACATGTTCTAATGTGTGTCTACCCAGTTTGTTCAAATAAAAGCCCTGGGATCAAAATTGGCCCCACCCCGGGGGTCATTGATTTTCCATATATGCATATAGTAAAAACTTAAAAAATCTTCTTTTAAAGAATTAAAAGAGCTAGAGCTAAGATATTTGGCATGAAACATCTTGTAGTGAGTGTATTTTCCATATATGCATATTGTAAAAACTTTAAAAATCTTCTTTTAAAGAACTAAAAGAGCTAGAGCTAAGATATTTAGTATGAAACATGTTCTAATGGTTGTCTACCAAGATTGTTCAAATAAAAGCCCTGGGATCAAAATTGGCCCCGCCCCGGGGGTCATTGATTTTCCTTATATGTGTATAGCACAGACCTGGGGATAATTACATTGATCAGTAATTGATTAAATTACAATTACTTTCAGATTTTATTGTAATTGATTAAGATTGATTACTCACATTTGTCTCTGTAATCAATTGAATTACAATTACTTTTAAGAGAGTAATTGATTGATAATTGATTACATTGAATGTACATTAAACCACCCCAGAATTAAGACCACCCTGCTATTAAGACCATTTTTAAAAAGATTCTTTAAGTCAATGGTTTCATGATCCAGATTTAACCACCTGCTTATTCACTTTTAAGACCACCATTATAAGTCAGTCCAAATTTTTGTTTTAATTTTAATGTGACTATCGAGACCACTGATATTGAAGTCAACACCTATCTAGATCTTAAATTTGTTGTTATGATCTGCTTGAATGCTCTTGAGCATGACACTTGATTTCACAAGGTGTGAAAAACTGTTATTGGGTTATTTTATGAAATTAGGTGAGAAGGTCAATTTTAGAGTGGTACATTGTTGCTTTCAGCACATTTATTTTTTGAAAATTTAAATTTTCATTTGATTTATGTACATCATATAATGAGTGATACTGTAAAATTAACGTTAAATTTCTCCAGAAATATGTTTTCCTTTTATCAGATTAAATATCAAGGCATTCTTTGATAGTTTCTTTTTAAATGTATTTGTAGATACATATAAATAAACATATTGTTTATTCATGATAGTTTCTTTTATAATGTATTTGTAGATACATATAAATAAACATATTGTTTATTCATACAAAATGACTTAAGTAGACCATGGTCTTAAAGTATGTAAGCAATGATAAAAATGTTCACTTTTATCAGTCTAATTGAGGATTTTTACTGTATAACTAATAAACAAAAGTTAAACTGTATAATGTAAAATAAAGGCATCCTTTGAACTTAAATAGTTTCCTTTTAAATCTGAAAGTAATCAATGTCAATCAAAATGTAATCATAATTACTGACTGAATTTAAGCTGTAATTGATTAATTACAATTAATGTAATCAGTTTTGGGCTAGGTAATCAATTACATGATGATTACAGTGTAATCATGTAATCAATTACAAGATCAATGATTACAGTTACCCCAGGTCTGATATAGCAAAAACTTAAAAAATCTTCTCTGAAAAAACCCAAATAGCTAGTGTTAAGATATTAAGCATGAAACATGTTCTAGTGAGTGTCTACAAAGTTTGTTAAAAAAAAAGCCCTTGGGTCAAAATTGGCCCCGCCCTGGGGGTCATTGATTTTCCTTATATGTGTATAGCAAAAACTTAAAAATCTTCTTTGAAAAATCCCAAAGAGCTAGAGCTAAGATATTTGGCATGAAACATTTTCTAGTAAGTGTCTTCAAAGTTTGTTCAGGTCAAAACTGGCCCGCCCCAGGGGTGTCATTGTTTTGAACTATATATGTATAGTAAAAACTTAAAAAATCTTCTTTTAAAAAACCCAATGAGCTAGAGCTTAGATGTTTAGCATGAAACATCTTCTTATGATTGTCTACCAAGTTTGTTCAAATAAAAGCCCTTGGGTTAAAATTAGCCCTGCAAGGGTGGGGGAAGAGGTCATTGTTTTTCATTATATGTGTGTAGTAAAAACTTATCGTGAAAAATCTTCTAATGGGTGTATTCCAAGTTTGTTCAAATAAAAGCCCGGGGGTTTAAACTGGCCCCGCTCCGGGGGCCTTTATACAGGTGAGCGACCTCAGGGCCATCTTAGCCCTCTTGTTTCTTTTATATTTGATTTTAAAGTAATACTATGAGACATTTACAACAATAAATTTGCTATCTTTCTTCAAGGAATATTTTTGTCTATGATACTTTCATTGGGCATATATTGCTCTGTTAAATGTTGTTCTGCGTCAGCGGAACTCTTGTTTCTTTAGATTTAACATGTTAACATGTGTCACAAAAGCAGCACAATTTCGATGAACTAATTCACTTATAATTATAAACTTTTTACTTTCCTTTATTTTTCTTTTGGTCCCCCTCCCCAAATATTAAATAATACATGTATGTATTGTGACAAAATTGATAACTGAATAAGGCTAGGAAGTAAATATCTTTACATGTTTTGATAAAAATTTTGATATGAGCAAAATTCAACTTGTTTTAACTCGTTGATCAGTGTAAAATTTGAATGTTAAACACAATATTAAATTGATATACTTTACTTCAAAAACCAAAATATGTAAGTTTAATGTTATGTGATTTGCCTTCAGTAACAACCACTTACAATCACCATGACATTAGAAATGCAATACATAAATAATCATACTCTTTTCTGTGCTGAAGACAGTATGCATGGTATCCTATTTAAATTATTGTATTTTTTGTTTTGAAGGGAACTTCAGAGTGTACCTGATGAATTGATAAATCACTTTATGGAGAGAGCCGACATATTGATTCAGAAGGAAGGGGCACAGAAGATGTTAGCTGCATCTCTTGCACTTGCATCTGGTGCTAAACAATTCTTCTTCAGATCCCTTATAACTTACCAAGAGGTACATTTGATTAGATATTATGTCAAAATCATTTCTTATAGTTTTAGGCAAAATTGTCATATGTATGTAGTCTTAAAGTGTAGGAAACATACAAAATCCCTCTTGGTTAAACTCGTCTTATCTTAAAACCAGTTTCACTGTAAACATGTCTAGTGATGATCACCCACTCTGTTATGGTAATAGGGGGGAAACTTTTGAAAATTTGTTGGATTTTGTTATCATTTTCCAAAAAAGGTCCTTTGGTAGCTGTCAACCAATATTGTTCAGATAATTTCATTTATTTAAAAGAAATATAATAAATAATGAAAACTATGAAAGTCAGCTTGGTTTTATCCGCCAGATACATTTAGATATGAATAAATCAATATAGAAAAAAATTATATGTTTGTTACTGTCTAAAAAGATTGGTAAATTTGTTTTTGAGAAGTCAAAAATGAAGGTCCATAACAGGTGGGGTTGAGTTTTGATATATGAATATGAGGAAAATTTTGCAAATCATTACAAAAACTGTTGTGAGTATGATATATAACATATCTTGTGTAATATTTCAGGGCTTAAAATACCTTGTGTAATATTTCAGGGTTAAAATATCTTGTGTAATATTTCAGGGCTTAAAATATATTGTGTAATATTTCAGGGTTAAAATATCTGGTGTAATATTTCAGGGCTTCACAACATTACTTTATAAAGGAGATAGAAGTGATAATCGTCATGTACAGGAGAAAGTTAGGAGATATTTTGAAAAGATGAATGTAAAGTATCAGAATGTCCCCAAAATTTGGGCAGACAAACTTTAATTAATTTTCCATATCATTTATTTTTGACTTCTTTAAAGTGGAGAAAAATTTGTTTTAAAAAGTCTTTTGGTTGCTATAGCCCTGAAAACCAAGAATATGGTATTTAAAATTTATTGGCAATTGTTTTAAAAACGTTTATGGTAAAAGGTAAAAACAAAAAAAAAAAAATATTTATGAAAAAAACTTGAAAAAGCTTTGGGCCCATTTCATTAGCTTTATAAAGGAGGTTTTTAAACAGTAATCCCCCTTAAATGATTTTGAGTTTTTAAGGCAAAGTGTAAGGTTTTTTAAAAATTGCCCTCACTGCTGTGGTTTGAACTTTGGATTCTTTCATGTGAGGAAACTATCAGCTAGCTTACGGAACATCAGTGGTTCTACTCGCGTGCCAGTTTCTGCCTGAAATAATGCACGGAAGGCCACCTGAGGTCTTCCTCCACGAGTAAAGCTGGAACATCGCCATATGACCTATGATGTGTTGGTGTGACTGAAACCCAATGAAACAAACAAATTAAACTTGTTGATGGGGGTATGAATAACATTTAAGGATAGCACCAATGAACCGATTACTTTGTCTCATAATTAAAACATTTCATAATTAAAACATTTCATAATTAAAACATTTCAGTGGAATCTGCTTATCTTCAGTCTCAGTCTATTCCTACTGTACACTATACATGTTCTATATTGTTTTTTAATAGAGCTTGGTTTTTGATGTGAAAGCAGAGGATGCAAGGATTGTTCTGGAAGGATTTGATGATGTAAGATCAAGTAATTCAGAAAGTATTGAGCAAGTCAGAGAATTACCAGACATTAATTCAGTACACAGATTTACAATGCCAAGAAAACATAATAGGTATTCTGACAGGCATGGTTCATTTCGAAGGCATGGAAACCAGGGATGGTTGGATAGAAATGAAGATGGAATGAATAGATATGAGCAAAGAGATAGACCTAATAGACATGAGCAAAGAGACAGACCTAATTTCAGGGGTAGGTTTAATGATGGAGGAAGAAAGTTTGACTTTGACAGAAATAGTGGTTATAGAGGTTCCCATGGTAAACAGAGAAGACAAGAGTTTGAATGGGATGATGATGATTTCTAGGCAGCAGTTCTAGAATCCATGCAGTGTCAAGTAGATCATGCGACCAATACAAATGAGATCATGTACTTTAGACTTAAACTTTGTTAAATATGAGCAGTTTTTCATGAGACTCAAATAAAAGTCGAGAATTTATGTATACATCTGGTAACGTAAATTTCTAATCTATAATTAGAATCTTTTACATGCGAGTGTCAAATTATTCCATCTTTCATCTATGGAATAGGTAATCAATCAGGTTTTCGAAAGCTAGCAGTGTGTTGAAGTGTGATATGTCATGATTTCAAGCTACTTGATGTCATATGAATAAGAAGCACACCTTCTGAACTTGTTTTTGAAAGTGTAAACTTAACATATGATTGTGCAGATAGTTTTGATTTAGCACATGTATTTCATAAGATCTTCGGCTGATGATATACATTGTATGCTGTTATTTTCGCTACTGGTTAAGTGGAGAAATTGTCAGTTATGATGTGGGGCTCGTGCTGGTCCAGAATGAGAAATGTCGGCTTCTTTGTTGCTTCTGCAAATATGACTGAAATACTGTCATGAGTTTATGTTGAATATAATGCCATAGACTGTTGTGTATTGTTGATATTTTAGGACATTTTGCAACCTTATGTCTGATAATCTTCAACATAACATATATTTTAATTGATCCTGTTTATATAGAGAGAATTATAAATAGAATATCTAGTGTTTCAATTTTCTTTTTAATTTTTAAGTAGAATGTCAAGTATTTCCTTTTTTAAGTTTTAGGAAAGTTACATTAAAGTCCATCTTTATCTCCATTGATATGCTTCCTGGATATACTTGTAAAATAAATTCTTAATGTACACCAAAGTTCATTGTTGTTGCAAGTTACATCATATACATACTTACTAAATAATACAAAGTCCATAATTGTACCAAGTTTGATTATATTCATCCTAACTAGCCAATACAAAGTTTATTGTTCTGGTAAGTTACATGTAGGTGATATCTATTTTACCCCGGTTATTTTCGTATTAAGCATTCGGAAAATAAACTTTGGGCAAGCTGGATATAAACTAATTAATGTCTGTTTTAATGTTTTCTTTCACCAATACAAATTTCAAGTATTTGATATCTCATATTTTAAAAAGCAGCCTGTCCTGTAGTCAAAATATTTATTACAAAATAATGGTATAAACAAGGGAGTTGACATAACTGAAGAATCTATTTACCCCAAATTATATTCCCTTTTTTGCACATTTGATTTTAGTTTGATTATCCTATATATCAGTGAGTTTGCTTAAATTAAGCTCTATATATTTCTTAGTCATTCTACTTCCTGAACTTTAGTAAAATAGCGCAGTTATTAAAATTAACATTTGACACCTTATGCACAGGGCATTTTCCTACTCTGAATTTAGAGAAAATGTTATCTGTTTCTACATGTTTGATATATTGGTGGCACTTTATGACTAATAACTAGTACAAAATGTACATGACACCATTTTCAGAGTTGATTTCAGCAATTTATCAAACAGTTGCTTGGTCGTGAATGAAGTTTTGTGGTATGTGTGTTTACCTAACATAGATACATGAAATAATAAAGATGTTCATTTATTTTATTACTATTCATAGCCACACATGGAATATTAATAAGGACAGTAAGTTCACAAAATAATAATTTGTTATAGTTTCAGTTAAATTATTGCAGATATTTATAAAAATAAAATGATGAATTTTTCAATTGGTTATCTAATTACTTTACCCTATATGATGGTAGTCATGCCCCATTTATAATGATATCCACTGCTGATAGAATAGGGAGATATTGAAATTGTGTTGTACATTCTTTTGTCCTTCAGTACAGATACATTTGGGTCCAATTTTAATTAAACATTAAGTGCTCTCAAACTCTAGCTAATATTTTTTTGATTTATTTTTGTTGCTTTGTAAAATGCCTTTTTTATGAAGGAAAATGACCATTTTCTGCCATATTTTACATCTGGTTGGTTAGTTCATTATGAAATTCAGCATAAATGTATAATATAATAAACAAAATTAAATGTTTTGTTTGGAATGATAAGTAAAGAGATAATCAATGACTATGTATGTCTATCTATTTATTTATTTATTGAACCACTACACAGATTCCTTCACTTAATTTTATATCAGTAGTTACAGCCTTAACAATCTTTATCATTTAACTTGACGATTATATCTATATTATGGGGGAAAGTCTATCTACTCATCTGGATGTTTAAAGTTGGTTTGAAACTTTGTATACTTGTTACTGATCATCATCCTAATAATTATTATAGATGTTGAAATATGAATTTTTTTCAAAACAACTTATATTAAGTTTTTTTGATATATATGATCAGTACATGTGCTGGGAATGACAAATATGCATTTTATTTGGATTTTAAAGGCGTTTTGAGCTCCAAACCCCAAGTGTCTGTGGTTTTGTCTCCCTTCCGTTATAAATCTATACACGTGTAATTTAATTGACTTTATACATTTATTACTTCCCTTGCGCCTATTAAATAGGACAGATCATTTTCGAAAAAGATAAAAATAGAAACAGTTTTTACACAAATTTTTGCTGATTAGGAATTCCTGTGACTCTTTATTGAGGTTATGGTATCCTGCATAAAAAATAAGACTCCGGCAACTTGCCAATGTATTGATCATTTATTGATACAAATGTTCACAATACATTCTCCATAACCCTACATTCATTTGTATATGTATGTATACGTGTTTAACTTATCTTATTATGCTTACTATCATTTTACATTTGCACGTATCAGTGCAAAAAGTGACGTTGTGTCCATTCTTGTTAATAATATAGTGGATGAACAGGTGAAAGTCAAAATAAGTAAATAACATTTTGCCATATGTTTTTTTTCAATCGAATAAAAGATAATTAACTCATGGCCAAAGATATCCATCAATTATGTAGTTATCATTAACATTATCAATAATATAGTTTACTTGCTTTAAACAATTATGCAACTTTTTTTAGCACGATATATACGCAGCGAAAGGTGTTTGTTTAATGGAACATGATGGATTTGTAAGAGAGACTAACATAAAAAATATAGTCAGTTCCGCTCAAAAAATGCGCATAATGTCACTTCAGTCCGAATCTACGGATCGATATACATTTGTGTATTACATGCAATATCCTTGAAAAGTATAATATATATACCAGTGAGCGACTTCTAATTATATATTCGATTTTTAAGGTCGCATTTTGAATAGACAAGGTAGACTATGTTTACTTTATTATAGGTAGGTAGATACATAAATAGATTTTTTAAGTGGAAATGAAAAAATTCCATGAAATCTTTTATTAAGACTTTTTCAGTAGAAGTAAAAAATAGGGCATTGATCTGAACTAAAGTTACAGGGTGGTGATTTTAGACACATATATATTGTTTGATTTTTTTGTAAATCCGTATTACCCAGCTCAGATTCGGAAATTCAAATGTCTAAAAAATTTTTTTTTTTCATTATTAACCCAGTCATGTTAATTTTAATTGATGCCATGTATGGTCATTCGTTGTATTATAAATCTTGCACAATAATGTGCGCACTTGATAATCACTGAAAATAGCGAGTTTTGACCTCGATTCCGCTGGAAATCCAGTTGGCAAATTCGTTCTAAAAATAAACATTACATGCAAATTTTCGAAAATGGTTTTCCGGTATAAACAAACATGACTAATACACCGTGACATGCCGTATACAATATAATGATGGAGGTCGGCCTTTCTGTTATTGTGATGTACACCGAATTTAAATGTATCATCTGTGAGAGATCCATGTCGTCTTTCAGCAATACAAAATACGGTTGTGGATTCGTCAATTGTAATTTTACATCTTCGTAACGTCTTCAAAAGGAATGTAAAAAAAAATGTAAATTACTCCACTGCTTACGTCAAGCATTATTATTTTCAAATAGCAAACATAGTTGCTATCAATTACAATGATTGACGATAAAATTGCTTTAATATTGTAACACGCCTAGCATAGCTAGTTTTAAAGCAAAATTTTTATATTTCACTCATTTAAATGTATATGTTAGTGTTTATTAAGTGGAATTTTAACGATTAAGAACCCCATAAGAAAGCGACCGGTAGCGAGCAACGAAAATGCTCACTTAATAAAAACTACCTTACTTTGTCGTGTTAGTGTCCAAATAAGAGGAACATGCTCTTCTTAGGAGTTCTTAAATGTTAAAAATTCATTAATACACACTAACATATATATTCGTGCAGACTAAAAAATTTTGTCACATATTTATTAAGTCGAATACTTAATCTTGATCATAACTTAACTTGTTACAGCAACCATTTGGGACAAGACCTTTAAATAAAACAGACTAACCATCGACCTTTATTTATAAATGACTTTGAACTTCAAGGTCAAATGACTAAATTTTGTATGTTTTTTTTTTTGCTGCTGAATTTTGCTAAAAGTGGCTAATAATTTTGTTATTTTTTAATGATTGTCTTCAAACTTGAAAATAATAATCTTTTAGGATAGACCTTCAAGATAATTAGACATACTTTAACCTTCACTCAAAAATGACCTTGACATTGAAGGTCAAATTATTTAAGTATTAAATGTTTACTGTAACTAGCTTTAACTTGTTATTATTGAATGGATTGATGTTTTATAATCAATGTTACTAGTATAACAGAATATTCTAAGAAGACCCTCATGTATAACAAACTCATGTTGACCGTGACTCATTTATGAATTTGACGGTTAATTTTTTGAATTTTCACTGATTTTTACTATGACTGACGGTAAGTTGGTAATTAACAAATGGCTCACTATGTGATCAGGTGAGATATTAATGTTTAGCTCACTGTGTGATCAGGTGATTATCTTAACATGTGTATGCCAGACACTTTGAGGTCCACAGCCTTTCTTTTTACCATGCCCACCAAAAGGTTACAGGGTACATGGGTCTCTAAGGTAAAGGCTTCCCTGGAAGCATGCACACTTTTCCCCTTTCATCAGTGTACTTGTATTATTTTTTCATTACAGGAAGTTTTCATCATGTCGTGCTTTAACGGGTGCTGTAAATCTATACTTAATTCGTGAACACTAATAATGTTTAATACATTTATTGTATATACATATTCACATAATACAAACAAATGCATGTTATAAATTAATACACGAGTAAAAAAGCAACCATAAGCAGTGATATTTTTACAGCGCAATGAAACATGACTAGAGATTCTGTTATTATCAATGCAGTTTTCTACCTTCTTTTTCAAATCGTCTTCATCATCAGAATTTCCCCTCGAAATTCAAGTATATACAAACATAACATAAAAGCACCGGACATGTCGTTTTGGGCAGTAGATTGAAGTTACATTTCATGTCTTGAAAGCAGTTTGATGCGATTCAATTTGAGAAAATAAAATATATTGCACAATATTCCAATTTCATGGCGGTGTAAGTGGGTTATACATGTAAGGGATAGTGGAACCTGTAGCCTGGTTTACCCTGTAGTTCATGATACATTGTCGATCCTCGGATTGGTTCAGCTGTGCTGTCGAAGACGACGAAGAGACGTAGCTCTTACTAAGATCTGTTAGAACGATACATCCTTCAGTAGACTCACCAGTCACACTGTCACCTACTTCTTCCTCATAAATTGTCTAAAACATAATAAACTTAAGATACTATATGCCATATATATCTCGTATAACAGTAAAATATTATAATAACAAAACGTCTATGTTGAAGTTATGTAATTATACCAATAACGGTTATACAATATCATCAGGAGGATAATAAAATACCAAAATGAAAACGGCGTCATTGACCCTTCATAAATGCATGACTTTTTAGTTAGACAGACAAGCCACACAAACACGAACATTCAGTAATTTTTTTATTGACTTTTTAGTTTTTATTCTTTGCAATCTTAAAGGCACATTTTGCCTCAGAAATCAATTTTTTTTTAATTCTTTAAAAAAGACAAATATGTGTTTAATAATACTTCAATAATGTATTAGAACATGTTAGATTTTAAATAACAGAAGTAGTACTTATTATGCAGTTATGTGTCTTTAAGATAACAAAATGCAAACAAAGAAGTATTTTGACTTCCATACATAATACCAGTTCACTATAATTATATCCAATTGCCAAAGAGCAAAGGATAGTTAATCTATATGACCAATGATTAACTTTTAAGGAAACTGTACCAATATACCAACAATAAAAAAGGTTTTGAGACGTAAAAATTATAACATTTTTGGGCTAAATGGGCCTTTAACAGAACAGAAAGTATAAAATTTCAGAAATACTGACCACCTCTATATATTCATTTGAGTTGCTATCATTTGAAACATCTGACCCTGAAAATAATTATAGTTTGTTAATACAAAATCAATCATACTTGATAATGACTAAGATATGCCATCAAGGTTTAAACTGTATAAAATGTAATGATTAATTTATACGTACATGTATACTATGTCAACAATAACTTGTGTAACTATTCTATTGCATACCCGACTATAGATAAACCAGATTTATAACCACTTATAAACAATATCGGGAGTAACAAACGGTGTAGGCGGTCATTATGATAAAATGTCAAACTAATATCTTAAGTTTTAGTGTATTGAGTCTAAAAACTTGTTAAAACATGAATCACTTTAGTAAGGCAGTTCTCATGTTTAGGGGCAAAGAAGGGATCGAAACAGTTTTGCTAAAAATTGTAAATTCAGGGGAGAGGCCTTGGAGATTATTTGTTACTTGTTCGAACATTTTAAGGTTTCCAGAATTGTTACATTTTGTTAATAGAATGTTCAGCACCTGGTCCCCTCAGCCCACACATCTACCTACTTCATTTTTTCAAATTCCTTTAAGAATTTACTGTCAATCAGCAAGGAAAGTAACTGGAAGCAGTATAACGTATTCTGACAAACAAAAACGTAAAACACCTCAACTAATCAAGTTACTGTCTGTACATAAATATGGTTCACATACTACATTATAGACCTTTCAAATTTCTAATATGGTTTCCGCTTCGAAACTTGAAATACGATCCGCATTAAATTATTGAAATATTGTCCATAATAATTATGATATGCAAAAGTTAAAGATCTTAAAAAGTTTAAGTTATGACGTAAAGAAATTCATAATTATTGAAATTAGGAAGTCCGGAGAACGTATGGGAAATGGTCTAATGAACAGAACCACATTACCATCTGGTGTATCAGGAAACGTCAAAATGGCGGAATTGTCTCGCGTAGCAATTTGTTGGGCTGTATATTGCGATTCATCTGTGGATGCATGGTAAGCTGGGGTTGTATATTCTGTCATTCTGGTTGAAAATCTTGATGAAGGAGTTGTCTGTTTTGATGAATATCTAGCACTTAGTTCAAGGTCAGACTTTATTGTTAAATCACTGTCCCGCCGGGCATGGTCTGTCGTGTCTGTGGTAAGTGAATTGAGAGTATTTGGTAACGGTACATGGAATGCTTCTACAATGGGCGTGAGAGGCTTCTCCTTTTTTAACTGCACGACCTTGAAACCCGAACCATGGCGAGGAAGGCAATGACTTTTGCCAAATTCTGAAATTAAAAAAAATCTTAAAGATGATCATGTACATCTTTCTGCTGTATGTTCAGTATAAAAATGATATGCCTATATTAAAACGCTGTCACACTAGAGCGGCAGTCTCACAGCCAAAATTCAGAGCATTAAAACAAAATCGCAGTTGCATCGCTGGGATCTAATACTAAGGCGACCGACGGCGTTTGTTTTGAGCCTGCTCAGAGCAGCACAAACACCATATAAAGACAATATAGCAGCACAGTAGCATCTCCTACATGCGCAGGCTTGTCTGGAGCCATGCTGGTCGCAAACACATTATGTTGGTTTTGTCATGACGCGGCTCATATGTATATATCATCTGATACTATATTGCCTCGTATAGTAAATAGTATCTTTATTACACTAGTCTAAAATATTCAAAATGTCTGCAAACTCATTCATCTAATATTCATAATATACAGTATACACATTAAACTTCCTGTTTTCTAAGAAAACTAATTCGCTAAAATGTAAAGGCTTTCATGTTTATATTTTCAATGGTATGCCAAATTTCAGAAAACGAGGAGTGTTTTGTCCGGTAAGCTTTTTAACTTCCTTTTGTATTTATTTATTTATTTACAATGTATTTATTCTTATTTATTTACTTATTTATTTATCTATGATTATATAATATCATCTAGTAAAGCATCTAATCTAAAAGGTGCAGTACAAAGGCGAGGACAACGACATGTATACCATATACATGTAATTGCCATATCTGTTTGATAATTGAAGCAAACTATAATGATAATTTAAGATAAACATTTCAAAACAAATATTTATGATATACAACTGCTCTAAATAATGAATAAATTATGAAGAGGTAAAATTTCACAATTCGTTTAAAACTGCCATGGCCAGTTAATATAGACAGTAATTATCTTAACGTTTTCATCACCTTTGACCTAAATTGGATTTCTATTTTTTCAGGCCAAAATATTCATTTCCTTAAATACCAAAAAATAAAGTGTGTAAGAAATTAGCTTCGTATGTTCTTCAGATAAAAATATTTGATATAATTGACCAACTTTTATAATCAGTTAGCAACATGTCTTATTATTCGGTTTGATCCATCGGTTTCTGCAGATTAATTGTATAATTTTTATATTAAGTTAATTATTTTTTTTATTTTTAAAACGTTGCCATATACTTAAAAAGGTCGTCATAGTTTTATGTTGCTTTTAAAAATGAAGGTTTTGTCTTCTAAAAACAAAGTTTATCTAATGTGCTAAGCTCACATATAAAACAAAATAAAATTTCACGCTATTTTCAATTGAATAAACACAAAAGACCAAATTGTACACCAATAAATTAAAAGACAGGGTCTGTAATCTATCATATACAATTAAACATTTGTTTATAATTTTATATTAGAATGGAAAGTTCGCTTTTTATTAATATAAAGATATAAATAAAATTTTAATTTTAACGAATATTTTCACTTTACATGCATTTCATATAATAATTATATATGAGAACAAACTGTAAAGTTGTTAATCAAAAATAATTTCTGACAATATTTGTATTGCTAAAGGTAAACATGCGGTAATCAGGAAAATATTTAACATACATATATTACTTAGGTGATCACAATAATTTTATAATACATATTTCGTTTATCTATCAATTTCGATTACCACATGCACTTTACACTAAATCATTGAATACATATGAGTGCATCTCACATTTACATCAACATTTTAAAGCAAATCATGTTGAAATAGAAGAACTGGCAACATACATGCGGTGATGCATGCATGTGACGGGTTAAACTTACCTACGAAACTTGTTTTGATGGAATTATACTCTGTTTCTGTAAGATGTATAGATATAGGATGAAAGACTGGATGATAGAAACAGCAAAACATGCCTAACTCAAAATTCTAGGTAGCATTTATAAACTCTTAAAATTTGAAAAGTGTCTGTCCATACGTGTATATTTTGGGGACTTTAAGTTTGAGGTAAACGTTGGTGTAATCCATTGGGAAGAAACACACACATCTGAAAAAAATGACCTAAATACTGACCGACTCACAACACCATATCATGTATAATAGTTGAATATTGCTTAAACATGTTAGAGGGGTTGGGGGAGACATGGATGTAAGGTTCGTCAAACACAACCACCGTTGATGTCGTTTTGAGCGTTCTTTATGGACTGTTTTTTTTTCTTTTTTAATAGTGTACCTAGTTTTGATTTTTTTATATTAACATTTGAGGGGTAGTATGAAAACAAATCAAGGTTTACACACCATCATGATGACAGCCAGTATGCCACTTATTCGCAGACACAGTGACCTTGAAATTGATCAAAGTGACCAATTTAAGGGTAGAGGTCAAATATCAAATGAGCCGCGTCACGACAAAACCAACATAATGGGTTTGCGACCAGCATGGATCCAGACAAGCCTGCGCATCCGCGCAGGCTGATCAGGATCCATGCTGTTCGCTATCAGTTTCTCTACGTGTTATAGGGTTTGTAAGCGAACAGCATGGATCCTGATCAGACTGCGCGGATGCACAGGCTGGTCTGGATCCATGCTGGTCGCAAACCCATTATGTTGGTTTTGTCGTGACGCGGCTCAAATATGTAATGAGGGAAAGATGAAACCCCAGTTACATACAATGATACACCATGCCTACTTAAACCAATTAGTAAGATGTCGGTCAAAGTCAATAAAATAGAATGCCGAAAAGAGATAAAAATATAAAATAATGCTAAAATATTTAGCAAAAGAAGTTTCAGTTGTGACTGGAATTAAAATGTGTTAATGTCCATTAGCCTTGCTGCATAGGAAATGTGTCAACGCTAGGCCTTACAGTTGATCAGAATAACGAATTAATTTTCAAATTTGTCTCTTTTTGTCTGTAAAATATTAACTTGAACATATACATATGTATTTTGCAGATATCCTATATGCAATGCTAAACTGGTTACGGTATTTAAGCATTATGTAGCGAATTACAAAATAATGTTTGACATGCCAGATCATAACTGGAAAACAGGTTAAAGTTTATTATCAAGTCTGAAAGAAAAGATAGAAAATAGCATGAACACATTTTTTTCTATTGTCTAAAGCATCTTTAATTCTATAAAGATTATTTCACTATACGTGTTAATGATTCAATGTGATTTTGTGAGAGTTATAGACATAAACCCCTTCAATATTTTATATTGTTTTAATAGGCCTTTCTATTGTGGAATCATTTTCTTTTATAGGTCATCATTTGGCTTATGAGGTCTTTGAGTTACAGGTAAATCTGCAAGATGAAATGAAAGAACATGTACCATATTTTAAAAGGATTTTGATAGGAGAAATATATTTTGAAATCCGAGAAAAATAAACGATTTCACATATAGTATATACATGCACATATATGTAGACACTTACCAAGTTTGTAGAAGTTTGGAATGATCTTATCAAAGATGGGAATCTTTGAACTTGTATCAACATTTTCAATTTTTATTTCTGTAGCAGTAGCACATGTGTGGATATTATTATTGTGTGATAATGGTAATGGTTCATCTACTACACTATCCGTGTAATGCTCATCCTGAAATGCATATAGATGTTTTTGTCAAATAAAATTACTATTTGTTCTATTGATAAAAACGAAGAATATGGATAAATTGTCAATGTTGTTTTCTGGTAAGGATGTAAATAAACTGCAGATATGTAACTAAAACATTAACAGAAATATAACTTTCCTGTGAAAATAGTTGAACATGTGTATTTTAGATATGTGGTACAAAGAATGTTAATAACCTGACTATCTGTCTGATAGCCCTCACTTTCACTCTCTGATGACCCGGACTGGTCGTCTGCTTGACTCCTGACAGATGTCGTTTGTGCAGCAAGTCTTGCACTGGCCCTGACATACATGATGGTTTCTGTAATATGTACTTTATAAAACTAGAGAAACATCAAAATACACGGACGTACAGATGCGGGGAAGAGTTTATTAATTAAGCAAATAAGATTTTCTTATTTTATTATTGTATGATGAATACAGTGCGAATCATTCCTAATGTCACCATGCAACAATCTAATGATAAGTTTAAATGTCATGTAAACATGTAATCAAAAAGTTGGCTAATATGCTTAACGACTTGATATTATCTAGCTTTTAAAACATAATTCTCAAAGTATTGTTGGCATATAGTTTACCTTTTAAACCACATTTGCTATCGTCTGGAACATAGTCAGTCTCTGGTTCAGTTTTCATACGCTTAGTAACTTTTTGTTTATCCGTCTTCTTCCGTGCTTCAAGCATTTTGTAAACTCTGAACGCATTCTGGCCTTTGCTTATAGACAGGTCTTTCACTTCCTGTATGTCTTTCAGTGAATTTAGAGCACATCGGAAGTTGGCTTTCCAGCGCTTTGGATCACCATCGTTGTAGCGGCCTATCAGAATAACAAGAGCGTCTTTCAAAATTACTTCACCAGAGGGAGTGATAAGTGAAACCAGAAATAACACTAAATTGTCAATTTATGCATGGACAAATTGTATTACAAGTTTACCTGAATGTTGGGCCCATTTTTCAAACAGGACTGAATCCTTCAGAGTCCAGCCATGTCTTGAACCATGGCACCATTTTATACGGAATATTCTCTGTTCCTTGTTTACCCATTCTAACCCCGGAATTTCTTTAGCGTTAAGTTTGTCAGATAGCCAGTCTCTCATTGGTTGACGTTCCACAGGTCGCATTAGACGCTGTCTTCCTCTTCCTGTCATTATTGCAGCTCGTGGATGTTCACGTGGATGTTCACCTACGATACAAGTTATAAATATTTGTGTAATATAAATCATATTAAGATTAATATAAAATATATTTGCTGTAATTAACTAATTTGATTGTCATTGAACAATAAATGTAAGTAAAATCAACTTAATTTTTTTAATCAGACCAACTATAAAAGACGGTACTTATAATGTCTTTTATAAACGGATTGGTCTCTTAATAAAGAAAAAAAACAAAACATAACTTTAGCTACATAATCTTATTTTGGGAGATATCCCGTCTTATCAATTACCATTCACTGGTCGTACATAGAGACGACATTGGTATGGTGTATCATAACGACATTGGTATGGTGTATCACTGGTCGTACATAATAACGACATTGGTATGGGATATATCACTGGTCGTACATAGAAACGACATTGGTATGGGATATATCACTGGTCGTTCATAGAGACGACGTTGGTATGGGATATATCACTGGTCGTTCATAGAGACGATATTGGTATGGGATATATCACTGGTCGTACATAGAAACGACATTAATTGGTATGGGATATATCACTGGTCGTACACAGAAACGAAAATGGTATGGGATTATCACTGGTCGTACATAGAAACGACATTGGTATGGGATATATCACTGGTCGTACATTGAGACGACATTGGTATGGGATATATCACTGGTCGTACATAGAAACGACATTGGTATGGGATAAATCACTGGTCTTACATTGAAACGACATTGGTATGGGTTATATCATTGGTCGTACATAGAAACGAACTGCCACTGTCATGGCGTGAATACCCCCGTAAATTGGTACCACTTACCACTTACCACAAATTACCACTTTGTCCGAATCAACAGTTGCAATTTAGAGCTCAAGGACAACCTCCCTGAAAAATCTGAGGTTACTAAACCAGTGCATTGCTAAGTTATGTATTCTACATGTTTTCAAATGTGAAAATGTCAAAGTCAATACACTGCGGACAGGCATTCTTAAGCATTTGAGCAGACAATATTATTATAGTAAAATCCCTGTGACCTTGACCTTTGACACAGTCACCTAAAAATCTAAAGGGGTCATCTACTAGTCATATACAACCTCAATACCAAATATGAAGACTGTTGACCAAAGCATTCTTAAGACCAAAGCATTCTTAAGCAATTGAGCGGACAAGCTTTTCTTAGTCAAGGCCCCTGTGACCTTGACCTTTGACCTAGTGACTTAAAAATTAATAGGGGTCACCTAATGGTCATGATCAACCTCCATGCCAAATATGAAGAATGTGGGTCAAAGGTTTCTAAAGTTATTGGGCGGACAAACTTTTTGAAGCCAAAGTCTCTGTGACCTTGATCTTTGACCCAGTGACCTCAAAATCAATAGGGGTCATCTACTAATCATGGATAACCTAAATGCCAAATATGAAAACGTCTGGTCAAAGAAATCTTAAGTTATTGGGCGGACAAGTTTTTTTAGTCAAGGCCTTGTGACCTTTACTTTTAACCTAGTGACCTCAAAATTAAAAGGGGTCATCTATTCATCATGGCTAAACGCCATGCCAAATATGAAGACTGTGGGTCAAAGGAATCTTAAGCTATTGGGCGGACAAGGTTTTTGAAGTCAGACCCTTTTGATTTTGACCTTTGACCAGGTGACCTCAAAATCTAATGGGATCATCTACTAATCATGACCAATCTAAATACCAAATATGGAAACTGTGGGTCAAAGGAATCTTAAGTTATTGGGCGGACAAGCTTTTTGAAGTCAAGACCCCTGTGACCTTGACCTTTGACTCAAATACCTCAAAATCAATAGGGATCATCTACATACCATGATCAATCTAAATTCCAAATATGAAGACTGTGGGTCAAAGGAATCTTAAGTTATTGGGCGGACAAGGAAAAACCGACGGACGCCGGACGGACGGACGGGGAGACGGCCGGACGTACAAGCTGATTCCAGTATACCCATTTATTAACTTCGTTGTGCAGGGGTATAATTATTTGACCTTGGCGGCCAAGGTAATTTAAAGATCAAGGTCAAGGTCAGTTTAACCTTTTAGAAGGTGTTGTCCAAAAGGTTGTTTTGTCCAAGTATAAAGATAATCCATTTATTAATTACCAAGTTGCAGTCTATTATAGAAGAAATTAGTGAAAGTGAAAATTTAAAAATCAAACATTCAAGGTCAATGTCATTTTTAGTGTTCCTTTGTCCGTTTGAATTTGATACACATGAAGGTCTTATCCTAAAGAATGTTGTGTCTCAACATTAAGTCAATCCATTCATAATCATTCATAACAAATTTATAACCATTTCAATAATTTGACCTTTCATTTATGAGTGAAGGTCAATGTCTGTTTGGAAGGTTATCCTAAGAGATTGTTGTGTTCAAGTTTGAAGGCAATCCGGACCATTAGAAAATAACAAAGTTATAGCAACATATAGTACAATTCAGCAAAAATCAAGCAAAATTTTGACATTTATGAGTGGATATCAAGTTTAGTCTTGTTTATTTGAAGGTCTTGTCCCAAGAGTATGAAGACAATACGCCAAAACTATGAGCGAGGTTAAAGTTTTCGAACGGCAACGGCAGCGGGAACGCCGATATGACTGTATCAATATACCTCTATATATGTTTCTTCAAAAAAAGTGTAGCTAAACATAGTAAATGGAAAACACCGGATTGAGAATATTTCCCCAAGAAAACTTGTTGGTAAAGATTTTATGGTGTTAATATTACCGTTTAATATTGGTTTTCTGAAAATGCTGTTGTTGACGAGTATGTTATTTTCACATATGACGTGTCTATATTTATAGTGTTTCTGACTTGTTTCATCAGATGTCAGATATAGAACTGGTTCTATTAAAGGCACATTAATAATATCTAATAAATTCTTTAGAAATGTCAAATATGTGTTTAATCATGCTTTAATAATGGACTTACAGTATGTAAGATGTTTACCAGCTGAAGAAAGCAGCTCTGAGTGTGCCGTTAAGTGTCGTGAAGGTAGCAAAATGTTAACTAAGTAGTATTTTGAAATTCACTACAATTTTATCAGTTGCCAACTAACGAAAGAAGCAAAGATAATTCATCCATATGACAAATAAGTATATTTTGGAAACTGTATAACAAGATACCAAATGTTTAAAGTTTTGGGAAATAAAAACGATTGCATTCCTTAGGAATAATTGGCCTTTAACATAATCTCACATGGTACCTAACATATACGATCATCTAAAAATTTACCTTTCAACCCTCACACCCAAATATTTATTTTCTTAACAACAGATTAATTCTACTATATATTGCTGTAAGGTTGGTTTTCTGTGTGATACAACAAATAGATAAGCTCATTTTTTCTGGTCCTGTGATAAAGGATAAAGACCTATAAGGCAAATGTTTGGCAAAAAAATCACAATCTCGAAACTGAAAGAGGTTGACCATATAGTAGCTTACTGTGCTTGTTTGTACCTGCGCATCAACCATTGATAACGCATTTTCTAAAATTCAGTGTCGCTCTTAGTTTCGTATATTACGTGTAGTTATATTTAGCACGGACGCAGACAGATTTTGATGTGAAAACTTGAAATGTTCAATACCTGTACTGTGTCATTTTAGAAGCTTTATATAATTCATTAATAAATTTCATCAAGCTCTTCAAATATTAAATCAATTTGATACATTTCAATTAAATTTTGGACTGTTCTAAATTGGGCATAGCTTCACTGAATTCGTTATAAGAGCAAAATGATTTAAACTTATTTCAAATTATCTTTTACACTTTTAAAAGGTCTTTTGTGCTTTAATTTATGATAAGATAACACCTTATCACGCGACGTAAAATATTTGTTTAATGTATGCACATTTATACAATTAGTCAAATACGAGTACCAAAGAATTTTGTACCCAGTCTATTAGATCTTTATTTTTACGTCATTTGAGCCGCGTCACGACAAAAACAACATAATGGGTTTGCGACCAGCATGGATCCAGACCAGCCTGCGCATCCGCGCAGTCTGATCAGGATCCATGCTGTTCGCTATCAGTTTCTCTACTTGTTATAGGGTTTGTAAGCGAACAGCATGGATCCTGATCAGACTGCGCGAATGCGCAGGCTGGTCTGGATCTATGCTGGTCGCAAACCCATTATGTTGGTTTTGTCATGGCATGGCTCAAATTATGTAAATTTACATTTAAACAAGAAACGTGTGCAAAATGGATATGGTGGTACAACATACAATTAAAAATAATATGTATACAGAAATACTGAAAAAATACACATTTCTATATATATCTGGCAGTCCTTTCTTTTAGTACACGTCACATATAGTTAAATGAATGCCATTCAAACAGTCAGCATTATCAAATATACAGGTATAATGTTTAATGACTATCAGCAACACAGTCATGACAACTGAAAATGAGTTTCATCGTCTACTTCATTTCTTTTACAAAAACTTCAAACAAAACGACCAGTATGTAAAATGCCAAGTAGGGATTGTTTATACTTTCTGTAGGTGTTGCCAAGTCTATCATGAGCTCGACTTTTAAAAGAAAAAGTTCGAACACTTGCTACAGTCATGGTGACGGTCATCCGATAACTTGAACGTTGATCTTAATTTCCCCTTCTTAACGGATTACCTTCATCATAAGCCAATAAATGCAATTGACGATCAAGCTTTTTTTTGCTTGAATTTTGCTATAACTGTCATAAATTGTTGTCATGCTTATTATTTATTTATTACTTTAGTTTGCTGTAACTTTGTGAATTGTGATAAGTGAAAATATGGTGTTCGTAGAAAAGAACTTTTGTTACATTTAAGACCTTCAAGAAGATCAAACTGAATTCTACATTACTTTGGAATGTGAACAAATAGAAATCGTCAAGGTCAAATTATCGAATTTTGCTAAAATTGTCATACAGATTTGATAGATACATTTGTAGTTGGACACTAATGACAACTAAAAGATTATTACATTGATCTGTACATGTTCTTGTCTGTCAACGTCAAATGTGAAATT